TCGACGTGAGACATAAGTGTTCTTAATCATAAATGTTCAAACATTTTTCCTGACTTTTTTCCACGCCCGTTCAGTTGACAATCCCCTAACCTGAGATCCGGCTCAATTTTCGTTTCGCTTTGTAAACAACATTCCGGAGGGCAAGGCGAAACGATTTTAGTGCTGGCCGTTAGAGAGAATGTATGAGAACCGCTAAAATAGGGTCTGATCTCAGGTTAACAATCCCCTGGACCCGGTCTTCTAGATTCTAAAATTCTTATTCTAGGCCAGACAGGCGATTAGTTTTTGCTTTTATCTACGATTCATTGTATTCATCTTCCTGTAGATACCGCTGTGACTATTGACTAGATAGTCAATAGGGTGTAATAACTGAGTATAGGAGTAAAAAGGCTCAATAATAGAAAAGAATTAAGCTTCATATAGAGGTCCCTAGATCCCGAAGACAGGATAACTTCCAGTGGCTGTTTGTCAGTCAATTCCTTTGGAGCTAACGCAGTTCCACATACCTATTGGAGCCTCCCTTTAAACTCCTTCCGCCAACTAATCTTTTCTAAATAAAAATATTTTATAAAGCTGTTTGTTTTGTGCATTTTTTAAATAGAATTTAGTTCTTTGTTACATTTAGCCGAATACATAAACAGCAATTTTATAATAAAGTATTATTTACTTAGGATCTGAGACTAAAACACCTATTTCCTCTATTAATCTACAGCGAAAGAAGATATATAGCACTTCAGTTTTGGAGCAGTTATACTGATTTTACTGTCACCTTGTCAAACTGACTACTCCTACTTTTTTACTTTTCAGATCTACCTGTCCGTTTTGTGGTGGTCCCATTGCTCGCCAAATTCTTGGCCAAATTGCAGACGAGATTTTCAGCCAAATTTTCAGGAAAATTCCAAGTGAACTATAACTTACGAAACGTGCGTGCAATTACTATACCAAAATGCACATTAGTTACTCTTATCACAGAATTCTCACTGACTGAGTCTGTTCAGCATATTCACATGTAGATATATTTTCCGAGCTATGAAAGATTGAGCAATATATTTTCCTTTCCTCAGAAGTAGATGAATTTATAACATGCGCAGCGAAATTTTTTATTTATTTTGCCCAGATGAACTTATTTAGACAAAGTTTATCCGAGCATATTAAAGTATTACTCGGTTTTTACCGCTATCTTTATGAATTGGGAAATGACCCGTTTTATTTTGAAAAACACTGACTATCGTAGTTCTCACTTGAAAGGATAAGACTTAATTTATTTCTAAACAACTCAATCAAGTAAACGGGCAAAACATTGCTTAGTTTTATACATGCTATTTTCCTAGAAACCAATTGAGTGGAATATTATATAGCGCGCTATATAGCCAGGAGTTTTGCAAAAATACATGCAGTGTATTTCATTCTTGAAATAATCTTTGCTACTAAAGGTGCTTTCGATTGACCTTAGCAGTCTAGAAGAGAAATTCTTTCTGGATTTTATTCCGGAAAGTTTAATCAATGGAACAAATAACGTGCAGCTATAGTTCGTCTAACAGAGTGAATTCAGCGATGTGGCTGACGTCTCCGGATTTTTATATCATACCATGCACTAATTAACATTCGTTGATGAGGGATGTTGCTTTTTTAAAGAAGGAAATCTAGGGGAAATTTTACAGAGTGAACTAAACTGTCGTAGAGAGATGTATTGTTTTGTGTTTTGGAAAACTAAAAGAACACCGGACATCTGCCTCAGTGAAGAATTTTTACAGCATTGAGACGCTCTTTTCTTGTGGTTGGAAATATTTCGAAATATGTCAAAGAGTTTCTTCTCTGTTCCTTTTCTCACCGACTACGTTCGCTTTTGTTATTGTTAAAAGCGAGAAAAATTACATTATCATTCTGTCTAAAATGCAGTAATCCCACACTCTGTTCCCTCTCCCGGAGTACCAGTAGATGTTCAGAATATTTTCAACCCATCCCGGAAACTCGAACTAGAACTCGAACTGGAACATTCGAACTCGAACGGATGTTCAGGATTATTCTGTTCAGGGTTATTCTTATTCGCTTTCAGAATGAAGGTCAATCTAACTTTCATTCCTTTAAGTGAAGTAATTATTAAGGAAAATTTAAGTTCTAAATTTGCCATCACAAATACTTAAGATGTTTTAAGTAAAGGTTAAGTACTTTAGTTCAGTTACGGTAGATACTTATTAAAACCAGCTATTAAAAGATATCTTTAACTATATATATATTCGCTCTCTAAAGGCGAATGAAAGTTAACTTGTGCAAATTGTAAATAAAAGTCAATTTTAAATTACAACCATTAACTGATCATGAAGGATAAAGTTTCAACAGTTTTGTGTATTTCAACAATTAAATTGTTTAGAAAGGGCATTCTCAATTTAGGGCAGAATTTCAACCGGGTACAAAGTAATTTCACACTTCGCGCTGCTAATCGATGTTAACCTAGAGGCCAAATCAATCCAGTGAAACCTCCGTATAACGAAGGAGCAACGGAGTGGAAAAATATCTTCGCTATAACGATTGCTACGTGATTGCTCGTAGTGGGCTAAAGAAAATCGTTCGTTATACATAGGACTTCGTAATCAATAGAGCTACAGGTTCGTTATATCGAGGTTCCACTGTGCACACTAGACGAGATCGTCCTGCCATATAGCGTAGCTAGTTTATGATAAAGCACATGAAAAATTATCCTTAGGAACTTTGCACTACTTTGACCAATATATGTACAAGGCCGCCATGCCATGAGATCATTTAACTAGGACGAGTACCTCGTACTTTCGGGATCTTTCACATTATCTTCATTGTTCGTCTTTGTCTGTCAGTACCAAGGGAGGATCTGACTCTATTGATGATGTAAAGTTTTCAGTAAATGTGACATTCATAAACTAAAACAAAATTACTGAGCTCATAGTAATTAACATATCATTTGAAGGCCCTAAAAACCGGAAGACCGGAACATGGAACAGATTATTTTTGTCCGCGGATGAAGACACCAAAACACCGGAAGAAGTTGCAGGTGTACTCAGTTTTCAGGGGTCATTCACCTTGAAACGCTCGCTCAGGAATTATCATGAATCCTCAAAATCTGCTGGGTTTAGAGTTCGATCTGATGAGTCCCTTCGGAGTGTGAATTATTTAAATTCAAATCCACTTTTTTTTATTTTAGTAACGAAACGCTTGAAATCTGTTTTTTGGTGGATTCTAGAATGCGGATTTGACTTCGACACATCCTGTGACAGGCCCTGTGAGGTATATTACTGATGTTACTTTACTGAAGTTCTAATAGCTTTGCAAGGTAAATGGTTGCCAGACAATTTTGTGTCAGGAGATATCGCTTAATTATCCTATGCAATGTTTGTCTTGTTGATTCAACGTCTCTCACAAAGATGCAGCAAAACTCAGGAAAAGTTGCAAGAAATATTACCAGCGGAAATAAGATAAAAAATAATGTGTTTAATTTACCGGTGGTATACTTTTTCGGGCTTTGGTCTTGAACTTTGTACTTTCTGATTACAATCAGGGCGGTCCAAAAACAAAAACGGAAAAGGCGTTGTTATCAAAAAACAATACATTCAATGAATGAGCTGGGTTTTTCCGGTGTTCCGGTTTCGTACTTCCTCAATCGGTCCAAAGACCAAAACGAAAAAAAAGCATTTACCATTATCAAAATCAAACATTTAAGAGCATTAGCGCGTGCCGCTATTCCGGTGTTCTGACGAGTTTCGTGCAGTATTTGAAAATAGAGGAAGAAAACAGGTTCGCGAACGAGTTCTCTCCTGCCTCCCCCATATTGGAAAACGAGAAGAACCTGGGGACGTGGTTGCAGGAGACGTAACACGCATGATCATAGTTCAGTTCGCCGCCCTAAACGGATCTTTTCAACTAAGAATTGTACCAATCATATTGCGCTCAGTTTGTTCACACTGCGCTCGAAATATGTTAATTCCTATGCGGGTACATTTTGCATTATGAACATTCCTTCTTGCTAGCAACAGCGAGGGAACCAAATTTCGATCCGACCTCTTATCCCGAGGAATACTTTCTTTTTGGCCTATAAGGGGAGGCTCAGCCCAAAAGAGGTACCTTTTTTGAAATTCAGACTTCAGGTGGTGAAAGGGTAGGGATTTCACGAATTGAAGAATGTGAAAGGGTAAGGAATATCGTAAAATTCCGAAAATAAGCCCAGGGGCTTATATTTTTCAAAGGCCCTTTTTGAGGGGCTTATTTTTGGAGGGGCTTATCTTCGGAGAGAAATTTGCGTTTCAAAATCGATTTATCTAGCTTGTAGTGGGAGGGAAATTTACCATTTTTTGCTTTGTTTTACTTTGTGCTCGAGGGAAAATTCCAATTACAAGCCCCCACGGGGTTATATTCGGAGGGACGATTTAACGGAGGGTTATTTGTGTTACGATTTTGGGGGGCTTATATTTGGAGGGGCTTATCTTCGTAATTTTACGGTATATCATTTCGGTCTGTAAAAAGACCCAAAAGGTCTTATAGACGTGTTTTATGACCTTGAACAAGTCGAGAAAATTTTATGTTCCTGTCAGTTATTCATATGTGAAACATGCTGCATTTACAGCAGTTAAAAGGGATGCAAAGTCTTAACCGAGCCTCCCCATATAAAACTTTGTTGAGTACCCCAACCTCCCCACCCAGGCCTCCCCATCCTCGGAGACCCAAGGGCAGTCAGTTGGATCTGGAGAAAAGGCTTGGTCGAGAGCCACCCCGTATTGCACAGCGCATAAATGTCTTATCCGATTTTTTTTAAAGTGATTACTTATCTGTATTTCTTTGCGTTGTGGGCTTAAGACGGAATCCCGTCGCTCGCTGAAATACGGCAGAAATGATATTTTCTTTATTTGCTGAGAAACTGGCACTATCGCTCCCATGAACCTTTTCAACCTCAGCGTGACAAAGCACAAATTGGTCATGCGCAGTTCTATCCTTGTTCGCCATTGCCGTGAGAGAGTTTCCAAGTTTCAAACAAAATGCCGGATTATTTAGGAAAAGATCAAAGGAAAATTAAAGACGACGAGAAAAAAGACGATAAGCCAATCCAAGGTGCGAGTGATACTTTGAATCATACCAAATCACGACGGGACTTATTAGTAACACGACTGACATCTTTCTCACTACGATTGCACATGGAAACCAGGATTCAGATCTTTCATTAAAAATTTTATTGTCATTTTTACCTCTTCTAGCTCTGGATGAAGGAGATATCGAAATTCTAAAGACATACGTAAGTACATCAAAATGTATCGCTTTTATGCAAAGTGTAACAGGATTTTATATTTTTGCATGGCTTGATATGTTATGTTTTATCACAGGCTGTATTCAGGAAATTTGTTTAGGTTCAGTTTCAATATCCTTGGCTTGAATTTTATTTTTTTTTGTTCCGAGGTACAGTAATGTATGATAATCAATTTGAAACAAAGGAAAGTAAAATTTAAACTAAGAATAAAACTAAACCACATCATGTACACTGACATAAGCTTATTATTATATGCCTGTCAATAATATTATGGTTTGTCACTTCTGACTATTACTGAAGATTACATGTATATCTCACTTTAGCACAGTTTCTGAAGTTAATTCATAGAAGGATGTTGCATACTGTTGAAAACTTAAAATCGCTGCCTAAACTGTTATACCAGGTGTATTTAATCAATAGAAATCAAAATAATCCAAAGTTGGAACATTATTTTTTTGGTAAAATGGCTTTTAGAAAACATAATGGTTTCAGCAACCTCTCACTTCATGTTGTATTTTTTCGTGTGTTTGTGTCTATCACAATACTTTTTGGGATTGTCGCGTGCACTTTCTCTGACAACCTTTCTCGAAATAGCTGTATATTGCTTGCTGGAAATGTTGTTGTCTCAAGATGATCTACATCATCATGAGTGGGTTAAATGGGGGACAAATTTTGAAACTGCTGCAAACGTTGTTGCCTTAAGATGATCTATGTCATTATGAGTGAGTTAAATGAGTGAAAAATTGTGAAAGAATGAATGAAATGTTGTGGGTGAGAGGACAAAGAACATACCCTCTTTACATTTCAAATATCAACATGTTAACAGCATGCTTGAATGTCAGCATACAAGGGCGCCACTGCTAGCCGCTATCTGCCCACTTATGAGCTTACTGTAACCCACCTAGCCCATGATATGAGTGATGTGTGTGAAAGGTAGACCACACCACCCGGGAAACTTCCCCTCCTCTTTTTGATTGGTAGTTGCCATTGGGTTGTTTTACGTCCCTTTTGATCTGACTAATGATAGAAGGATGAAGGAGACAAGGCCAATGGCCTCAGGTCACCGTCCAATGACTAGATCATTAATATTTTGAACTGAGACAAGATCTTAAATCACAGCCAGCAAGATCTTATGAGTTTTTTCAAAGACCCTGGTCGGTTGTTCGGATAGAGTTTGAACCCACAACCTCCCCCACGGCAGACTAGCACTCTATCAACTGAGCTAACCAGGCGGTGGATATTGTAAATAACAGTATGAGTATTAATGGTAATTTTATGAACTGACTAAGCCCCTTTTCTGTCTACTGATTAAGAGGGTTTTTTAAAACTGTTTAATACTGACTCGAGGTGCAATAGCTGTTGCAAAGTACTGTATATGATAGGACTATGGTTACAAAATATTTCTGTCTTTCCTGGCTATGTTTTCAAACAGGGTGCTGGTTTATACAGCAGATCAATAAAAAAAGTGGAAGATGATATTCAAGGAGCACTGAAGAAAGTGAATGAACTAACAGGTAGAAATATCTTTTGTGATATTTAAAGAAACTGCTACTGTTAAGAAATACTATTCACTTACTGACTGAGTGGGAGGTATGGACAGGAAAATATTTTGCCCTAGTTCAGACTTCCTAACAGAGAACCAAATATTTTCCAATCCAGCCCAACCTAACTCAGTCAATAAGCATTTTATTGTATGACTGTTGTTTTTTTTAAAATTTTTCTGATGGAGCGAACCTGCATCAATCAGTATGCTTTACAGCAAGGCCATATGCATTTTTCCAGCCCTATCTCTTGATGCGTCATTCCTCATACAGACATTTTTTCATATGGTTTTCCAACAAAAATTAATTCCGCACAGGTCCATAAGATAAAGATATCTATTCAACAAGCTTTGGCCTGTTTGACTGAATTGTGCTTAATCTGGCATGGTTTGAAAGGTCTCTCTGCCCGGCGCAAGTTAAATGTCTGTAAAAACTAGTTGTACTAGAGGTAGTCATTGATGGTTCAGATGTTAATGGGCCAATCCTAGACCATATTTACTCCCCATGGTCTTTCACTTTTTCTTTTTTTACTCTGAAACATAAAGGGAGCTTGAGATCAACATTAATTTATACATGTACAAAGTACTATGAAGCCTTTAAAGATCTTAAAAAAAACTAAGACCTAACTCATTTGACAATTGAATAAACTGTTGTTGTTGTTGTCGTTGTTGCTGTTGTAAAGAAACTCATCACCTTTAGTCAGCTCCTTTTGTTGGTATTTATTCTGAATTAGATCAGGCCCCAGTTGTTCAAAAGCTGGATAGCGCTATCCGCCGGATAAATCTTTATCCAATGGATAGCGCAATTTGTTTCCCTAATACTTATCCACTGGATAGAGATTTATCCGATGGATAGCGCTATCCAGCTTTTGAACAACTGGGGCCTGTCCTTTATTTACAATGTATGTAGCCTGTACATGTAGTCAATGTTAATTTTGTTTGTTTTCAGGTATAAAAGAATCAGACACCGGCTTAGCTCCTCCAGCTTTATGGGATTTAGCAGCTGATAAACAAACACTTCAGGGAGAGCAACCTTTACAGGTATTTAATATAATAAATTACACCTGCTGAAAATAAATACCTTATTTAATCAAAATAAGGAAGATCGAGCCGAGACAGTCAACTTACAGTCGTTTTGAGTGTTACCATATTTTTCCAGCATTCAAAGAAAGTCGTGTCCAATAGCCCGGGGCTAGTGGATTTTGCTATCAGGCTAGTGATTTTTGTTCTTAACTTGCCTGATGGGCAAGTGCTGTTTTTTGACGAAATTCAAATTTCAGAAGAATTGTAATCAATTTTGCTAATTAGAAAGGGTTTTTGGGCTAGTTGAAATGACTTGTGGGCTAGTACAAGCTAGCTACAGCTTGCACGAATGCCAGGCTGTAAAACTGACTTTCTTTGCACCCTGTTTTCCTTAATTCACTACTACCTGTTGATGCATGGTGATGTTTATAGACTTTGTCCACAGCTTGTTGGAACCCTTTTGTGCTTATTATTTGGAATAATTACCACTCAGTAACTGTCTCATTTGTATGGAACCTTGCAAATTAATTATAACTGAGCACTTATTTTATGTGTTGTCTTATCTCTGTCAGGTTGCAAGGTGTACAAAGATAATAAATGCAGACACTGATGATGCTAAGTATGTGATAAATGTCAAACAGTTTGCCAAGTTTGTGGTTGATCTTGGTGATCAAGTGGCTCCCACAGATATTGAAGAAGGAATGCGAGTCGGGTATGATCCACATCACATTCAATAAACAATATTTGTAAATCCTGTTTAATTAGAAAATACATGGCAGTTTTGCAGTTAAGGCAAAATTAAGCTTGAGAAAGTGTCGTGTGGTGTCCTGTTTGCAAAGAAGTAGGGTAGTTAACTAGTTTGGCTGGCTTGGGTCCCATTTCTTGAAAGTCCCAGTAACTTTTCAGGGCCAAAATTAAAATAATATTCAAATCAAAAGCTGAACAAAAAAGTGCAAGTCCTAGCTAACAAAACTGATACAGTGTAGCTGTATCATTTTATTTCAATCTGCAACACTATTGAGACTCTCGATCTTGAATGTAACTAACAACAACTTTCTCGAACTGTCATTTATCAGGACTATCAAGAAATTTACCCCAGGACCCTTGCACTTCATTTTGTTTCCCTCCCCCACCCCCCTCAGGTACCTTGGGTATACATGTACAAGCATATTACTCTGGTGGTACCTTGGTGCATGTTATTGCCACTCATAAGCCTGCCGTGGTAACCGCTTATGGTTGGCATTGCATGTGACTAAAGCAATCTTTCAGGCAATGAAAGGTTGCTGGTTTTAAACATCCTCAATGCGTCTTGCCCCATGCCTTATGTTTTTTTCCCTATTTTTCAGGGTTGATAGAAACAAGTATCAAATTCACATTCCCCTCCCACCAAAGATTGATCCAACTGTTACAATGATGCAGGTAATCTACTGAGTACAACATGTTTGCAGTACATATATCTACATGTACCGGTAGCTTATGGTTACTACAGTGAGGGAATTAAGACCAGGGAATGGTCAAGGGATTTTATTTTAAAGGCAGCTTCCTTGCCAGGTAAAGAAAAACTACTGTGTATTGTTCAAGCCTGTTCACAATACATAGTTTTGAACAAAAAACTATGGGCACCAGAAATATTTTAGGAATTCATGTTATTATGTTGGGAGGAAACTCTGATCTGAGTATCCAGGATAACTTATCTGCAAACAGCACCAGTGTAACATTTATGTATCCTGATCTCCAATATGTTATGCTGTTAATCATAAGACTGTGAACAATTCTGAAATAATCAAGGTGTTCCTGTTTTTTTTTTTCATGTTGTTTAACAGTAAAATTTAAGGTACATGTAAGTGGCTCAAGAGGTTTTTCAAGACTAAAATCTTTCACTTAAAGTACCAAAAAATGTATGGTGTAAATTGTTTTGCAAATTTTTTCTGTAGGTGGAGGAGAAGCCAGATGTGACATACTCTGATGTAGGAGGCTGCAAGGAACAGATAAACAAACTACGAGAAGTTGTAGAAACTCCACTACTTCACGTAAAGAGCATCAGTTTGTATTTTTTTTTTTTTTGTAATATGGGACCACCGGTTAAATGTCTCTGATTGACTCATGATTGTACGGTGAATTCTGGTGGGGCCCGACAACTTAGAGAATAAAGATTAATCAACATTTTCCCATGGCACTGTACAGGTATTTACCTGGGTTTGTCTATTTCTCTCTGCAGCCTGAACGGTTTGTGAATTTAGGTATAGAACCTCCCAAGGGAGTTCTGTTATATGGACCACCTGGTACAGGCAAGACTCTCTGCGCAAGAGCTGTGGCAAACAGGACAGATGCTTGTTTTATCAGAGTGATTGGTTCTGAGCTGGTGCAAAAATATGTTGGAGAGGTTAGTGATAGTGATTTGAATTGGTACGCTTTCTGCATTGTGCAAAGATTTTAAATCATTGAAGAGTCACTTTTAACTCACAGTTGCTAAATACTTTTGTTAAAATTGAACTCAAGCTTCACTAAAGGGGCCCTGTTTCTTGACTTGACAAGCAATTCCTGCTTACTTTAGATGGATGAATTAACACAATAATTACTACCTCTACATGTGCCTCACCTCGCCTCATTGCGATCTGTTCAAATAAGGACTCTGCACATCTTCCCAACTGCTACCGTTATCTTAAAAAGTGTTACTTAGTTTCGTTGGTGATATTTCTTTTTATGGGGATTGGACATAACACCTTGCCCAACCCCCAACTTGAACGGCCAGGCATTGCAAGTCGATTGGTCTTTCATGCAAACCTGTCTGGCATGTTTAAATCTTCCAGGGACTGAGGTCCAACTACTATGGCTTCCCTTGATCATAAAAACCTTGCCGCTGCATTAAGGAAAAACACTCATCAACACTATAGCACAGACTGAAAATGACAACATTTTCTTCCCCTTTTGTCATTCCTCAGGGTGCAAGAATGGTGCGTGAATTATTTGAAATGGCCAGAACAAAGAAAGCCTGCATTATTTTTTTTGATGAAATTGATGCTATTGGAGGTATGTCATCAATTTTTGTGCATAAAGAAGGACAGAATTTCTGCTGAAGAGCTCTTAAAATCTGTTACTAACAAGGCTGGGGATTATTGTATCAGTTTCACTAGATTTGCCTCTCCACATGAACCACACCAGTCTAACTATTTTGAATTTGCGCAAAATTTAAGCACTTTCAAAGGCATTCTACCGACTTAATGGAAAACAAGCTGCCTTTGCGATATTACAGGTATTAATGGTTCGGTGCCTTTGTCCAAGATTTTATGGTTTCTTTTTTTTACTATCTGCCAGGCACTCGGTTTGATGATGGCGCTGGTGGTGATAACGAGGTTCAAAGAACAATGTTGGAACTTATTAATCAACTTGATGGGTTTGACCCACGAGGAAACATCAAGGTTCTTATGGCAACAAATCGGTAAGTATAGGGAGTTTAGGCAACCACGTTTTTGAGTGAGGCGTGTCAACCGGCACTGAACTTTTTGAACTCTTCAGCTGTGATTTTGAAAAACCTCTTGGGTAATGACGCTTAGTAATACAAATTTCGTAGCCTTACGGCATATTAAAAGAGAGCAAGGCTCACTTCCGGTTGACGTTTGTCGCTCAAAAAAGTCACTGATTTGTCACGTCATGACTTTCATTCCAAAATGTCACTTTTTTATTAAATACTTCTAATATTTTCACTCGACTGAAATTTACAAACAAATGCCCAAATTAGCCTCCGGTACGACCTTAAACGGCTCCCGAATATTTATTTATCGCCCCATGTAAGGTAATCCGGGTTCCGGAAGCCGGGAAATTTTCGCTTGTGGAATGGGGAATCCTGGGCTTTGGAATCCGGAATTCAGTTCAAGGAATCCGAAATCCCACTAACGATTGGAATCCAGAATTCACAGCTTGGAATCCAGAATCCAAGACTGTCTTGGATTCCCTCACTTGGGACGATATGTACAGTGAAACCCTTCTTGAAAAAAAGAGTTTCATAATGACGTTACTACAAGTCTCGTTCTCGTCGCCGTTGTCGGATCTTAAGGCCTGTCCCTTATAGACACCACAGCGAAGGCCCAAGAATCCTCACTATAAAAGTGTCCCTATTATAGAGGTAGGGATTGTAATGCAGTTTTGTTCACTTAGAGAGCTGTTGGTAATAGTGTTATAATGTCAACCCTTAGCAACGATACAACTGTGTTACGATGCACTTTTATTTCAGACCAGATACTCTTGATCCTGCACTGACCAGACCAGGAAGACTGGACAGAAAAATTGAATTTAGTCTACCTGATTTAGAGGTACTTCATTTGCTTTTTTGAAAGTGTCTTAAGCTTTTAACGTTCTAGTGTGGTGATGCAAAGCTGTCAGGATCCCCTCAAAAAGGTTCAGAAAAATACTGTTGGAAAGGTAATGGAAGACGACATTTTGGTAGTTTCAGCGGAAACTTTGCGGGTGAAACGGAAAATCTGAAAATGCACTCCTGTTTTTGTCCGGACGGAATGTTCCAAACGGAAATTGATCCTTGGTACCAGTTTCAGACTTTTTCGGTCGTTTTTTCGTTAAAAGGAACTGGGACGAAATTTACCAGTCCTTTTCGTCAAACGCGGGTACTGCGTAGAGCAGCCTACGAAGCCTACGAGTGATACGCAACGAAATTCTTGACCAATCGCAAAGCAAGCCGTTAAAAAGCTAATGCGAAATTAAACGTAACTTTGTTTAAAATTGCTGACAGGGTAAAACGATATTTCTTTTGTCTCCACACAGGGTAGATCTCACATATTTAAAATCCACGCGCGTTCCATGAGTGTGGAGCGGGATATTAGATATGAGTTATTGGCCCGTCTATGCCCCAACACAACGGGTGAGTAAAAACAGCATAGTATTTGAAATTACTGCGGACGAAAGAGGTTTCATTTGAATGGTAACACCGTAGGATTTCATTCACAGACTCAAAAGTTAGAACTACATACTAAATAGATAGTACCATGTGAAAGTACTGCTGAAGAGGTTTCATTTGAATGGTAACATCATAGGATTTCATCCACAGACTCAAAAGTTAGAACTACATAGTAAATAAATAGTACCATGTGAAGGTACTGTTGAAGAGGTTTCATTTGAATGGAAACACTACACGATTTCATCCACAGACTCAAAAGTTAGTAGACTGACATGTCATATTTTAACAGCCAAAGCCGGAGACAAATGGTTTTAGGAATGAATTTTATAGGCTTAGTACATTTGTGACTTATTTGCCCTTATCCTCTGTGGTGTTTCAGGAGCTGAAATTCGCAGTGTTTGTACAGAGGCAGGCATGTTCGCCATTCGGTCACGAAGAAAAGTAAGTACCAAGGAAGATCTTGTTTCCTTGTTCCCGAAAACGACATTAAGAAAGTCAATTTACGTTCTTTTAATCTTCATTAGTACTGCTCAGTGACTTTTATTTGAACTTAACAGTTTAGGATTCAGTATTTTTTCGAGGAAAAACTCGCCAATCTAAAGTGTGACAGGAAAAAAAATTGAGGACCAGAAAACACAGTCATCGTTTTGGAAAAAGAATGTAACTTATTAAGGATTTGAAGACTTATTTTGGTTTTTGCTTTTGACAGGTTGCGACAGAGAAAGACTTCTTAGAAGCAGTGAACAAAGTGATCAAAGCTTACGCGAAATTCAGTGCCACTCCACGCTACATGACCTATAACTGAGAACAAAACAGATTTTTTTTCGAGTGTCTATTCCTTTATAGATCGGTTTTTGGCGAATCATTTCCTGCTATCTTGTAAACCAATCAAATGTAAAACACGTGACTTGCTCAGAAGCATTTCCTGCCCTTTTCGCGGTTCAAGCTCTTACTGGTTCATTGCATAATCTGCCTTCATTTTGATTGGCCGGATTTGTTTCACGTCTCCACCCTACAGCTTTAAAATACCAAGCCTCGCCATGTTGAAGGTGGTTTTTCGCAAGTTCTATCAGTCAAAGAGGAGTTTTGATAGAGAAACTTAGAAAAAAATTGTTTGTTGATAACTGTGTATACGCTTTGAGAGAAAGTATTAAAAGTGTTTGCAAATTTCAGCTTTCTGTATGTGCTATTTTTGATTCTATTGACGACTGTTGTAGTGGAAAGTAAATACGAAATCTGCCAATAACGCGCAAGTCTTTTTAAGTGTTGAACAAAAAGATTTGTTTCATCAATTATTTAAGTTGATGATGGTCAATTTGGTCTCCGTTTTGCCCGCGGGGAAGCTCTCTTGCTCGGCACCCTCCCCACCCGCCCCTCCCGCCCACCCTCAGTTGAGCCCCTTTGAAACGAAACCATTCAGAAATACAAGCCCTTCTAAGAAGCTTCTTTTTCAAGGAGAATGAAAATATAAATAAATAAATGATAATAATAAAACGATGAGCGCTTTAAATCCCAAATCATTTTGCATTAAGAGTGCTTTAGCTACTTAAGGTTGACCTAGCCTTTACCAGGCGTTCAGATTGTGGGGAAGGCGGACTTCTTTTACTTCTTACAAGAGCCAGATTAGTAGAGCTGCTGCGAAGCGAAGCTTACAGTATTTAATCCTTATTTAAAAAAAAAAAACACAAACACACAGTCTTAGGCGGGAGCGTTCTCATTAGTTATTTTGAGGCTTTGATTTGGTCTGAAATAAATAAATTATTGCATCCATTATGGAAGCGCACAATAAAGTCGCCCAAATACAGAATATTTATAATACTTATATTTTATTAATGCCGAAGCCGGTTTGTGAAAAAGGGGAACCGGAAAGGCTTTTACCCATCGGGGGTACTTGGGTTAATTTTTGTTGGGTATGTGCCGCTGGCCTCTCAGAGCCCCTACCTCATTATAGTCTCTTCTGTGGCCAATTATAGACCCCATCTTAGTCACTTTTGAGCAAATATGTAATTATCGTGATCCCAACTTAGTCACTTTCTTTTTATTTATCTGCCTTATATTGAATGAGGAACACTCTACCTCTCACCTATACTGCAAACATTGTGGTGCGTTTGCTAACCGTAAATATGTAGAACTGTCCTACACCAAAAATCAGAAAATGTGAGATCCCATTCTAGTAATTGTATTGAAAATGCGACCGCATGCATCCAGCGGCACATCCCCATTAGCCACTTATAAGGAAGTACCCCCCCCCGGGCGCTTTTGCGCTTATTTTGCATGCGAAACAGAAATAATAATGCGATTTAGGTAATTTAGAACAGAAATGATTCGCCTTTGAAAAATAATGCTGTGATCTAGAGCTAAACACCAGAAAAATAACGTGAGAAAAAATCACCTTGCTTGGAGCCTGTAGGATTGCGAAGATCATCAGTGATTTCGAAACATGTTGATGTAATAAGACCTGCGGTCAGGCTCAAATTTAGCAGCTATACATATCCCTTTAAGTAGATTTCATTTACCAAGCAAAACGAAAATGGAGCAAGTAACAACCAATATTATGCCAACCAATTGGTTCCTCTGCTTTGTTTGGTATCTTGTATGATAGCTTTTCAAGTTTACTTGAAATAAAAAGCAATTACTTCCTTGTCGATCCACGTCAAATGGTCCACTATTCCAGCGTCCAGGTGAATTTTCTCAAGGTGTGTCCGGATTTCCGGTATGTCGTCGAAAAGACTGGAAACTAGCTGGAAGGCAAAGAAAGGCAAACGTACTGCAAGAGGTCTGTGCGGTTTTAAAATCCTCGTCGATAATGCCGCTAACCTAAAAGTGTCCATGAAGACGGTCATGTGTATGCTTAAAAAAATCTTTTAGTTCTTCCTCGGAAATTTCTTCGATATCGTAGACGTTCAATCGTTCGATTATCAAAATGGCTTCCCGATCGCTCGCGTGATGTCACCTATCCATTCGCAGTGAACTATCACTTGGTAAGGCTAATGTTTCTGTTTTTTCTTTTTAAGATTTAAGAACTAATCAAGTTGTTTTATAACTTGTTAACATTCTGAACCACATAAGAATTCATCATTTCGAGAACCAGCGATTTACTGTTTGCTTACCATATTTGAGACCTCAAGACTGAAAATATTTCTGCGTCGTGCAGTTAGATGTGCGAGCAGCGCTTCTGGACTTCTAAACGCCACTGAGCGTTTATCATAAAGTGCTCGCCATAAACTGCTACAAATGATTTACTGTTGAATTCTTTTTGAACGCAAAATCAGTGTTTTAGGTTTTATGTTATTTTTATACAGCATCCAGCTGTTATGTGCATCCAGAGCATACTTTATAAAGCTCACTGCGCATAACCTGGTCGATGTACTTAATCACTTCGAGATTATAAGCTTAGGTGCAGATGTAGATTTTAGAATTACAGCTGGCCTACTTGTTTACGTCTTATTGAATCAGATAGACTATTGTTTTAATCCTTTCCCTATTAACTGTTATCACACACATACAGTGTAAATCAAGTGGAACAAAAATCCTGATACTAGTCCTCTTTGGGAGGGAAATTGAGCAGTTGTGTGTCCTATAACAAAGAGGCAGTAAACTATAGCATTGTAAAATGAACTGCCTCTTTTGTAAGCAGCATATTGTCCCCACAATGATTTTGCATAATGCATCTGTCAATTCCAGCTGCACCCAACCCTCTACACCCTCCCTCCCCCTTGGGTTACTACGGGGCATTTGCTTTTAGCAAATTTTCCACTGCCCATGGATTAGGCATTTGCCAACCCTGGGGCTACCCTTGAGCTTTTGACAAAACTTACCATAAAACGTGATCTGTCTGTTGCACCAACTAAAATCAAATTGCTGTAGATACAACTAGAAGAGCTAATGGGATGGCATCTGAGTTGGGTATCAAATTCTTGAGGTAAATTTCAGTGAGATTTTGATCAAGGGAAGGGAAAGTTAATTTGAATTAGTGGGGAATTTGAATCATCCAAGCTTAATTTACCCGTTACTGAGTAAAATTGACTGAAAAGTGGGGTGAAATCCAATGGAAATCAGACTTACTTGACTTGCTTGCTCGCCCACAACTAATGTTTATTTTATAATCTGGAGAAATATGCTACTTTCATACAGTATAGAAACATGAATTGTAGTGTTTTAACTTGAGCAAGATGACTTCTAGATGACTTGGCCAATATAAAGTCAGCCATGCATGCACCATGGGCACTGCAATTCGTGTATCTATTACATCAAAGTGTTAGTCCCTGTTATGCTGCACAATTAACACATGGAAGGTTTTAAAACAAAGCCAAATGGAGAGGTGCAGCCGCTAATATTTTACTATTAAAGTAGTGTTTAAAAAACAAGCCGGATTGTATAATCACAATTGAATACTTGAGATGAAGCCACAAGCTTTTAAACCAGATAACACATGACTGCAAGTTTTTTTTAATGGCATCAAAATCTCTGATATCAGGATTAACTCATTCTTACACTAATATTTAGATTTGGGGTTATTTTGGTGTAAAAAATTGGACGTAAAGTTTAGCCATGTCTTTATCAGATATAAAGACACTCATTAATAAACATTAAGAAGGAATCCATGAGGTAATTGAGTAATTTAGTTTAAAGTTTATTGCATTCTTTTTACATTTTTCAAGTTATTTGTAATAACACCAAAGAAAATTTCTTGTTGGAGCCCAAGAAAATAAATTTCAAAAGTTTCAAATTTCACAAAATGAAATCTTATGTATGAAATTTTACTTTTGTTTGTACAATTCCTGTGAAGTTTGACATCAATTTCCTCTGGCTCCGATAAAAAATTGTCTTTGGTGTTATTACAGATAAGTAATAGCCCTTGAAAATGTACAAAAGAATGTGAAATGGCTTGATTTATTCTGGTACAAGGTTTTTGTCCAATGAAAACTTATTTTACTCAGTTTCCTGATGGATTCTATCTTAATTTTTTTTTCTTTTTCTTTATGAATTATTAATAAGTTTTTGAATTAGAGTCGACTCCCATAACTCAAACCTTCAAGGGAAATCTAAAAAGGTTCGAGTTATCGGGAGTTTGAAGCAAATAACCGAAAGTAAGCAAATAAGGAAATGGATGGGGAGGAAAGGCAATTAAGCAACAAAGTATACACAAATGGACACTGAATTTGAACTGGGGTGACAAAAAAGTAAAGACAAAGGATAGACAAAGGATTTACTCAGTTGTTTTGAAATAAATTCAATGTTTCGAACTTCAACACCCGGTTTTTTTTTCCCGACTTGTCACACGCTTATAACATGGTTTGAGTTATCAGGGTAAATTGTATAGAAATGAGCTGAGGGGAAACAAAAATTACTTCAAGTTGGCAGGAGGTTCTAGTTATCGAGGGTTTGAGTTACTGAGGGTAAAATTACAGTAAATGAAAGAAGGAAATCCAGGGGAAATCAACTTTGGTTCGAGTCAGTGCGAGGTTCGAGTTAGCGAGGGTTCGAGTTATTGGGAGTCAAGAGTACTATATAAAGGGAAAATAAAAATTACTTCAAGTTGGCAGGAGGTTCTAGTTATCGAGGGTTTGAGTTACTGAGGGTAAAATTACAGTAAATATAAGAAGGAAATCCGGGGAAATCAACTTTGGTTCGAGTTAGCACGAGGTTCGAGTTAGCGAGGGTTCGAGTTATTGGGAGTCAAGAGTACTATATAAAGGGATGATTTTTTATTTAAAGTTTTATGTTATAATTCTGTAACCTTTTTTATTTTATAATTACTGTATCACTTTTACCCCTATAGCAATATTTATACATGTAAATGTATTTCACACTCATGGTCCTATTTCAAACTCATTCATGTGTTTATTGGTGAGACCACATTCAACTTGCACCATTTTGGAAAGAAATAACCTTTTTTTCAACATTCAAGTCCCAGGAGTGGACGAAATCAATTTTCTTCTTTTATTATCACAACCAAGAGATGAAGAGCTGATGGAAATGTGTAGTTCCGGAAAATATCCATAGTCCCCCAACAGAAGGAATTGGAAATTCCTGGGTGGTGGGAGGTTCTCAAAGGCCCAAAAATTTAAGTAAATGTGTGAACCTTGACTGGAATTTCCAGAGATGGGGTGGGGGGGGTCTAAGGAAAAATCCCTTCCGTGGGGGAGGTATGGATAATTTTTGGAACCACACAATTAACTTTATGATCACTTACTGTCATAGAAAATTCTTCAATTTTGAAACAAATTCTCTATATGAAGATCAATCTAGAGAATTTCTACAGTTGAACCTCTTTTAAGTGGCCAGTCTCGGGGTACGGGGAAAGTGGCCGCGAAATGGAGGTTGGTTGCTCAAAAGAGGTTGGTTATAAATTAGTGTAATCTTTAGCAGAAATGTCATTTTATTTTGAAATAAAACGTGTGACGGGAAAAGCATTACTGGTCCACAATGGTCATCACCTATCTCGCACTGTATTTTCCTTTATCATATTCTTAAAATGAAACCAAACTATGAGCATCAAGTGCTTAATGGCAGCTTAATAGAGGTGACATTTTTTAGTGACAACAAGGGATCAACTTTCCTTGGAATGGCCAAAAGGTGGCCACAGCCGCTTAACAGAGGTTGCTGCTTAATTAACAATACATGAATGAGGGGCCTACGGCCTCGGTGGATAACACCCTCCTCGATCTCCATAATTCTTCATATGATACGAAAGCCAAATTCAATTATTGTTTTATTATTCATTCAAAATAATTCCTAGTTTAAAAACATAGCTAAAACAAGCTTACCTGCATCGATGTTAAGTTTATCTTCGATAGTTTACGTTTAAGTTTGTCCAGATCCATAAATATTCTCCAAACAGCAGATGTCATCCTCCGAGTTGTCTTCTTGCTGTTTTTGCTATGTTTTTAGCTATTATTTTGCCTAGTTCCAGCTGTAGTTCTTACTCTAGAAACAAGTGAAGTGTCCACCATTTTAGTTTTTACAATGAAAACAACTCAATCTCGTCCCCAGGTCTTCTCGGTTAACGGTGCATTAACCTGTAGAAGGCTGCATTTTTGATGTCATTTCCTCGTTAAACACAAAATTCTTCCAAATTTGGTCATAAGTAACTGATTATGGTGAATTATGCATGTGCTTTTAGCCAATCAGAATTGGGGAAATATTTTGAATGAATAATAACAGAGGTTTAATTTCCCATTTTTTTCTACAATTATTTTGGGACCTTGATTACTGACTACTTAAAACTATAAGCCCCAATATCTGCCTACAAATTCTCCAAACTGATTTCTATACATTTCCTTACTGAATTAGTAGAGAGAATTTGAAAAACGATTAGCGCATTTTTCCTTTCGTGATCATTTTATCAATTCTCATAACCTATTCTCTTGAATATGTATTGATATTATTAGGAGAAAACTGATGTTTGTCACTCTTGGCACTTAAAAGGTTAATAGGTGGCTGCTTAATGGAGGTTCGACTGTATATGGATTAAAGGGTTCACAAACAACGATCTTGAATTTTAAGCTAGCCACTTATGTTTAACGCGACAGTGTTAGAATCCTTTGAGAATATTCTAGCTAAGCTGCTCTAGCAACCTGTAGACTTACTCTTTGTAGCTAAACTTGTAAGGTTGAGGTTACATTAACCACAGGGCACCCAACAGAGCATCTCATAGCTGTAGGACGTCCTCATGAACGCTGTTTAAGAGGAGCTGTGCAGGATGCCAAATTATTAATCCTTGTCCCTCTAAAATGTCGAATTGATTTAGAACTAGAACTAATAGAAATTCAGCAGCAAGAAATGTTCGATTCTACGAAGGAATGAATTTAAAAAAACAACTACAGATTTTTAGACAGTTTTAGGTTCTATCGTAAAACAGGTACAGATTGTCAATTAATTGGTTTAATTATGGTTCTCAACTCATTCCTTTTTCTCTTTTTTAAAGGCCCATGTGTGAAAAGTCAGGACCAAAGAAATGAGGACAGTTAAGTGTGTCTTAGTGGGCGATGAAAACGCCGATAAACGGGAGCTCTTCATGAAGTATGTGGAACTGATGAACGCTGAGGTTGAACCAGCCACAGACGAAATCGCATCTAGCGCCTGCGCAGATCCGCTACACGAGGAAATAAACGAGACTCTCCGAAATGGGGAAGTGACTCAGGACCAAGATTTAAAGAAAATCGCTGAGAGGGTTGAAAGCACTCACACTCATCCGAATTTCAGGGTTATTCACAGCGATGCTGAGAAGGGGAGCGTGTCAAGCATAGACTCTAACCAGGACTCTTTAGAAGAGTGGTCTGGCACGGTTACTGTTAACGGGAAGTATTTCTTTCTGGAAGTGTTTGACGCGCGATGCAACGAAGCCTTCGACAACATCAGACCCGACGTTTATGCCGACACGGACATTTTCCTGGTTTGTTTTTCGGTGGTTCGCGCGACGTCCTGGGACAATGTCTTGAGCAAGTGGATACCGGAAATCCAAGAGTTCCGCCCCATTACTCCGTTTATATTAGTTGGAACGCACACGGAATGGCGTGAGCTCTGGGATGAAAAAGATCCTTCGAGGAAACCGGTTTATTCAGTTACAGGAACCGGTTATGCCCAGCAAGTTGGCGCCGTCAGGTACTTGGAGTTTTCGACTTGTGACAATGAGGTGCGACAGATATTTGACGCGGCTATTCTTGTGAGCGCCATGGACCGCATGGAACTCTCTGCGTTCAGCCCAGATTTCGACAAAGAGGGATCAACTCTGCTTCATCGCGCTGCCAGACGAAATCACATCCCTTCGCTGGAAGCCCTTGTCGATTCCATTGACGTGACAGCTAAAGACAAAGAGTTCAATACCGCTTTAGATGCTGCTCTAAAAGGGAACAACTTGCAGGCGGTGCGCTTTCTCCTGGAAAGCGGATGCGAAATGCCCACCCCACCCGAACCGTGGAAGAAAGTCTGTGAGTTCTGGGTCAACGATAGCGAGGATTCAGATCGTGTTGTGAATAGTGAAATTACTGAATTTACCCGACAGTTGACCTTTTTTTACACTTCTGCTTCGCCACGCCCGCTTGCTAGAATTCTTCTGATTGGTCAGAACGGGACCGATGTTGCCAAGTTTGTGAACGAGACCGTGCCTATGTTGCCAGTGCGATCGCTTACCATTGTTAACACTGAGGGACTTGCGCTCTTTGATTTCTCACAAGTGCAACACTGCTTGGAGTCTTTAACCATCACCAATTGTGATTTCGGCGGCATTGAGTTACCAGGGACAATTTATTCGATAACGAGCCTGCTGAGTTTGTGTGTCGTTAAGTGCGGCCTGTCACGTTTGTCTGAACGTCTGGGCGATTTGAAAAGCTTGCATCGTTTACGTCTTAGTGGAAACAAGATTAAGAAACTTCCCGATACGATTTCCAGGTTGCAGAAATTGAGGCATGCGCACTGTGATCGAAACGTGCTGGACAATTTGCCAGACACTCTCGGCTGCTTGGGCTCGCTCGAGACCCTGAATATAAGCCACAACAAATTAGAGAAGTTGTCCCCTTCGCTGGGTCTATTGACTAAGCTGCAAAATCTCTGGTTCACGAGAAATCGACTGAAGTTTCCTCCCACCCACATTCTCAATAAGGGAACTGAAAGCATTTTAGAGTTTCTTAGCGATTTCTTAGATGATCCTGTTTCCAACAGCCAGATCAAAATGGTGGTCGTGGGAGAAAGCAGCGTTGGTAAAACTGCTGTTATAAAGGCTCTTCACCACAATAGAGACTGGCGAATCGGCGGTGTTGGTGAACTCGACAGAACGGAAGGGGTGGAAATCTCGTCTATTGACCTGATGCTTCTGAAGCTGAAAGTTTTTGATTTAGCTGGAGACGAAGCCCTGTTCAGTTCGCATCAGCTCTTCTTGTCAGAGAACACTCTCTATCAAGTTGTTTTCGACATGAGCGCGTTCACAGTGAGCAAGACGTCGTTGTCGATTTATCAGCTTGGAAGAGTAGAACTTTGGCTGCAAGTAATTTACTCCAGAGCTCCAAATTCACACGTTGTTCTCATAGGTACGCATGCTGACCACCCAAATCTCACAGATGAAATCCGTGGGCGCATCCGTGAAGACATTGAGATGCTCCTGAGTAAGTATCGTCGAGAACACAAACGCCAGTTCGAAGGAGAAGCAGTGCCTCAGTGCGGCCTTTGTGAGGGTACCCTTGTTTGTGAGGGCTTTGGTGGCTCAACGTTTTACGTCCAGGAGAAAGAACTTCCTCGTGCTTCTGCTGTCGCTCCAGAACCCTGCGTTCCACACGTTGTGGGTTACTACGAGGTGAGCTGCCAGGCCCAGTTTCCAAAGAATTTCCTGAGTTCCAAGAATGGAAGCCTGCAGAAACTCAAGGTGGGAGTGGGTTCCAGTGCGCATGTTCTCCTCAACACCAAGGTCAGTTCACGAATCCCGCAAAAATGCCTTTACGTCAGGGATCGCATCCAGGAGATGTGCAACGCGGACAGCGAGCTTAAGAAATGGCCGCTGCTGACATATGAGCGTCTACGCGAGATCGCTAACGGCTGTGGAGTCAATCAAGACTTCAAGCTCAAGGCTCTCATGACCTACTTTCATTCTCAAGGAGAGATTCTATGGTACGAAGACATGCCTGGTATCGGTGACGTCATCTTCGTCGATCCTTCGTGGCTGTCGAAACAGATGTGTCTCCTCGTCAGGTCGCACGCGGGTGCGAGCTCGGGTTTGGACGGAATACTTCGGATTGACAACCTGGCCAAGACATGGCCTGGAGTACCCGAAGGGCAACGTTTTTCAATGCTGACCTTGTTCAGGAATCTGGGATTATGTGTCCCCTTGTCGGAAACCGAAGACCTTGTTCCCTTTCAGTTGCCTATTGGTCGTCCAGACAAGGACTTGTGGCCCCCACAACCGTCGGAAGACGATCGGCAGATAAGCTCGGAATTTCATTTCGGCTTTCTTCCTCCGACGTTCTTCAGTGACCTTACAGTAGCTATCAACAGACGAAGCCTGCCGAACAGCATGGAGATAGAGCCGACCTTCTACCGCTTCCACATGGTGTTTGCCACCACATACTTAGCCAGCATGGGGTGTTCTCTCCACTGTAAAGAGATGACTGCTCACCCTTTAGCAGAGAACAATGTCGTGCATCGGGTCAGCATCGAAGCTGTCCCATTTGAGCACAAGCTGAAGGTAATAATTCGGGGATCCCTCCCTTGCTGTGTTCTACCAGACATAAGAGCTGCAATCAAGATGGTTGTGGACACACGCTATCCTGGAACACGCTACATAAGGCGGATAGTTTGCCCCGCGTGTGAACGCTCCGGGTTTCAGACCTCTGCTCTTCTAAGCAACTTCTTTAGTGAGGGTGAGAATTTCTGCTCGTGGGGTCACCCACTTGGTAGAGAGGCCGATATTTTAGCTGGCGATCCTCCTGCTGTTCGACCTGCTCCAATGCTTCCGCCTAAAACAAAAGGAGAGGTGAGACTGGGGGTGTTTTTCGACGAGGCTGGAGGAGTACTTGAAGACCGCTACTGCCCTAGACTCCTTGCTGTGTTTCCAATCGGCTTTCAAAGCGCACCGTTCAAAAACCGCCTTCTTGTGAACTCACCGCTACGAGACGGTTACGCGGTGCACTTTCTTTGCGAATGTCCCGGATACTGGCACTTAACAGAGGGCCCAGGGTTTCGCATTCCCAACATCCAAGAATTTTTGGAGGTCTTCGGTGGTCGTGCGTGCAAGCTCTTAAAACTGGCTTTCATGCTACGAGAGAATGACCCTGGAAGTGGGTCTGATATGTCACGCGTCCCTGTCAAAATCGTGTTGGGTGACATACCGAAATTTCGCGACATCCTGATAACGGACATACAGTATCTTCTTGAGCATTACTTCGTGGAGTTCCCTGACCTAAGGAACACCTGCACCAGTTTCCTGCAAGACGACTTAAAATATCTCCAGAGCTACGAAGCGCTAAGCCGAGGCAAGATGTGCAAATTGCTGGAAATTTCGCCGGATTGGTGGAGGGTCGGCCCACTCGTCTGTACTATCAACAAGCGAACGAAGGAACATCTTTGGCTGTGCGAAAAACATACGGTGTGAAGAGGAATAGAAACTCTTGCCCTTATGAATTCAAGTTTTGTAAGTTTAACCGTTGAAGAAATCAAAGCTGAAGGCAAGAGCAGTTGTCAGAGGAACACGAGACACTTGAGTAAGGAAACTCATATCAGTTCTCACACCAGGGCTGGGTAAGAAACAAAGATTTTCGACGTCCCTAAATCCGTCTAGAGAAAGGTTGCGTTGTCGGAGATCTGTATGGAAGACTCTCGCAATGGATATTTGACAAAATACTTGTCCCTGGGGGTGAATACTCCCTATAATGGCCTATACGGGGAGGCTCCGCTCGAAAGGGGTACCTATTTCAGCCTTCACGTGTATGAAAGGGTAGGGTTTCTGTGAAGTTAAAGTATATGAAAGGGTAGAAAAAAATCTGTCATTTTGGTCTGTAAAATGATCTATAATGGTTAAAAATGGATCTTATGGCTTTGAAAAAGTCGAGAAAATATTCTAGTTTTGTTATTTAGTCATATTTTAAAGAAAGCGCACTTACAGCAGTTAAAAGGGATGCAGAGTTCTAAACTAGGTATGAGGGGTGAGGATCGGGACCTCGGGGCGGAGCCTCCCCATACCCCATATATAACTTTGTTGAGTACACCCCCCTAGACACTTGTTTGAATAGTAACAGTACGATGAAGTAATCGACTTATGAACATTGTGTGTATGCATCAACAGAACATTTGCCCACTTGAACTGGCCAATTTCCACTGAGATTGGTAGAGAAGCTTGCTCAGCGTAAGAAAATTTTGCGTACCAGTTGGTGATAGGTCAGTTACAGTGGGTAAATTCCGGGTGTTCACAAAGTATTTAAGTCCCACACTGAATAGTTACTTTTTTGTTGGCCTATGTAAGGGGTTCAAAAGTTTAAGGCGTGTTCGATTGAACTTGTTCCGGAATAAGAATGGAAGGAATCAACTCGAAAAATCACTCATTTTGGCGTTCATTGCTTTGCAGAAAGAAATCTGCTTGAATCAAAATATCTAAATTAAATGGTCCAAATGTCACGATACAAGAGATTTGCAGCAAAATTTTGGTATATTCTTATTTCGGAATGCAACAAGTCGAACGCACCATTAAATAGTTTAAAACGGACTATAACATTCTCGTCCTCAGAGCTACTCGGCTTAATTTTTAACAAACGACCTCGTGACCAAACGAAAGGAGGAGGCTGTGATGACGAGAATACATGTGAGAGTGAAAACTAAAAGGAAAATCAGAATTTCTTACCGTTTTGCGTTCTTGTTTGTTAGTTTTCTTTCTCTTCTCCCCCCTCTTACAGTCTAGCATTAGTTACTTTTCTCTAGATCGCTTTTTTCACGCAGCTGTAATTTGTAATGTGGGGGCATGAATGACTTCAGTACTGGACGCGAGATTCAATCTTAAATCTTTCGTGTCTTTTTAAAATATTTGCACTGTTGGAATGGCCGCAGACATAATTTTAGGGCTTTTCCCTTGACGTTTATTTAAAGGAATCACTGCTTTAATTGAATATTTTTGAAACGCCCTTGTCAGGTAGCGTTTTGTTTTCAATTATGAAAAATCATGTACCTGTACTTAATTGAAATTTTCTTGGTAATATAGTTTAGAGCTAGATTTACAAATTATATTTGTACAGGTGACCCAAAAGTATTTTTGCAGGAAGTTGTAATTGTTCTCATCAAACGATCAAAAGAGTTTACAGTCGAAACATGTAGGGTTCGACTCTAGCAGGAACGGATCAATAGCTTGAGTCAGGGGGAGATACTTTCTTATCGGGGGGAAAGCTGTCGACCCCGTGTGGCTCTGTTTTTGGCCAATATAGATACACAGGTGACCCGAAAGAATTTTTGTAGGAAGTTGTTATTGTTCTCATCAAACGATCCAAAGTCTTTTCAGTCGAAACATGTGGCGAACCATGTAGGGTTCGACTCTAGCAGGAACGGATCAATAGCTTGAGTCAGGGGGAGATACTTTCTTACCGGAGGGGAAACTGTCGACCCCGTGTGGCTCTGTTTTGGGCCAATATAGGTTGGGTAGAGGCGGAGCCCCTTACCCTGGGTACCAGAGGTTTTTCTCGCGTGCGGCGGGAATTTTCGGTGTTGGCCAAAGCCGCGAGAAAAACTGTTCGCGCGGGTCACTATAAAGACTTGACAGAAACGGGAAACCGCGTTAGAAAAGTCTCTGGCACCCAGGGTAGAGCCCACTTCCCTTAATCCCGCGCCAATGTCAATAAAAGCGTCTATAGTTTTTAGGTAGTGAGTGTTTAAAGGTTGGGATCAAGAGAATTGCCCAGGTAACAGCGATGTTACCCTACTACAGAGACTTAAGACAGTTTTATTTTTGGTCAAGGAGAACAATAAGCAATTGTAATAAATGATACAGCTTTTCAAGTGCTGTTTCCAGTTGCTTTTACTTTTAAGACACTGAACTTGTTGTACGTTTACCCCGGATACCAGAATTTTTTTTCCCTCGCGTGCGGCGGGATGCCTCGGTGTCGAGCACAGGTCAACAAATCCTCGGCCGAAGGCCTGAGCCACGAGAAGACTCGACCGAAACCTCAAACCGCGTATGAAAAGACTCTTGCAACCAGGGTATCGCAAACTTAGGGTTGCCACGAAAAATTTCCTTCCTTCAGCGTGCGTCTTGATTAGTTTAAGTTTCAAGGGAAAATGTAGTTTTGCAGTCGTTAAATTTTTATGGTTGAGGCGGTTGTAGACTCCCTGTGCAAAATTACACTTTTGCGGTTCATTATCGCAAAGCTATATTTTTTCTTCCGTGAAAGAACGTCAAAAAACCACCTGAGGGGCCAATCACATTTCGAGGTAATCACTTACAAAGGGCGGCAAGCGCGAGCGAAACCAGCGCGCGAGACCCTCACGCTGGAAAACGGCGCAGTTGTTTAGTGCGCGAGTTTCCGAGTTCGACTTGTTTCAACTTCTTTTCTTTCTGTGCAGCTTTAATTAGCTTTAAATACCCTGAAAGCGGAGCATTGATGGAGAGAGGAGTTTGGGGGGCGGGGGGGAGGGGGTAAAATGAACCTACCGTCGAACTCAATTTTATCAGCTGAATTACTGTCACGAGTTGTCTACGCAAAATAATATAGTTGTTTTACCTTTTTTTACATTTCTCTCCTCACGCTCTGGGCAAAACGAGAGCGAACAAACTGGCGATGAGAGGCGACGCTTACATTTAACCGACCATTATAAGTGAGCACAAGGGCTTAAAGAATATTTATAGTGAACAACCATAATTGAAGTCAAGCTATTTCTAAGATTAAGAGACGCATGTAGGCGTGGCTTGCATAAGAATTATGTTATCGCAACCCTCTCTTTAAAATAGTGTCGATTTAGTTGTTTCACACTTTTGTTACTTGAAATCAAATTCCCTTAGCGCACGCTGGAGCGTTATAATAAATCCCATATTGCATTACTGCATGAGAAATGAAATTAAAAATGCTATATAGTTGTTTGACCCGGGAATTTTGGAAGCTTAGAACAACGCAAGTGAAGGCTAGCTTGTTTCAAGTATATACATATACAGAAGTGAAAATGAGAATGCTTGCTCAAGAATCAGTTGAATTAATACCCAGAGTCGATATCAACGACGTTAAAGTCATTCGCCTTTTAGGTTCGGGTGGATTCGGGTCCGTTTTTGAAGCGATTCACAACAACTGCAAAGTCGCTCTGAAGAAATTTCACACCAACACTCGCAACAAGAAGGCTGCGATGCAAAGCTTCGAAGCAGAAATGCACCACGAGGTTTTGTCTCTAAAACACCCGAATATCGTCAAGGTTTTGGCTGCGAACGTTGCGTCAAGTCTGGAAGACCAGCCATGTATAATTATGGAGTTTGTTAGTACCAGAAATCTGCAGCATGTTATTGACGATGCTGAGGAAAAGATCGATTTCAAACGGCGTGTAAAATTTGCATACGAGGTGGCCATCGCTTTGGAATACGTGCACGAGAATAACATTGCACACCTCGACCTCAAACCGGCTAACGTGCTTGTAACGCAAGAAGGAAACTGCAAACTCGCAGACTTTGGTTGCTGCCAGATAATTCAAGAACGACCGAACACGCCGTCCAGATCATACCTCACCGGCACATTTGCGTACAGAGCCCCGGAACTTCTGAAAGGAGAAAGCCCATCGTTCAAAGCAGATGTGTTCTCTTTCGGAATATGTCTGTGGCAGTTTTGGACACGGGAGATTCCCTACAAATTACAAAATCATCAAATTGTCATTTTCCGTGTAGTAGCCTGTAATCTACGACCTGAGATCCCCGAAGGAAATGACGTGGATAACCGGTATAGGGAACTGATGACGTCATCGTGGTCTGGAAATCCCCAAGATCGTCCAACAATGGCGGAGGTTGTAAATTTGCTTAAAGGGCTGGCTTGATGACTTGATTAAGACTCTAATAATTTGTGACTAAATAATAATTTTATCCTTAGAAATTTATCCAATGTCCGAGTGCGGGAGGTGGGAATAAAGGGCAGGCCCCCTACGATTTCTCCGCCTGCTCCCTAGTACCCTATCACTAATTCATACAATCCATGCACACGCAAATCCCATAGTTATATAAAAGAAACGTATCTGCGATATGTGTTCTATGTTTACATCGTCCAAATAGTTAAGATTATTTATTTCATAAATTTAAAGATTATTGAAGATATATTTTATTGCATAGAACAGAGTATCTATTTATCTATATGCTTAATATTTAATTATTTCTTTCAAATTACTTTATTTCATGATTGATATTTATAGAACTTATAGATGTATCAATTATTTAAATGCTATTATATACCCCTAGAAAAGAATATATCATCGTTATATAAATCAATGTTATCGGTTATTTCCCGAATAATGATGTTTTATGAGACAGATGTCCTTGAGATCAAGTGTGATTTTTTTTTTTATCTTATCGTCCAAGTTGTCAAAAAAGACTTACGATGGCCTTGGTTGCTATTTACCAGTAAAAAAGAAAAGGCCAGAATAAAAAAAACCCTTGGTCTTCATATGTGCTTCTTTTAATGTGTGAATGCACCATCACCTCAAAAAAGGGCTCGAGGAGATGAGGTTGGAATTTCACGAGTTGAGGTATAAAAGAGAATAGAGGATCGAGGACTATCGATCAAAACGCTTCATAGGTTGCCTTAGATACCAAGTTTCATTGAAGGGATACATTTTTGATCACCCCGTGCAAATCTTTGCACCCCTACCCAGTGTTTTTTTTTGGGGGGGAGGAAGGTAGAGTATAAGGGTGAATGGGAAAGTTATTTATCCCTATTTGAGCCATTTATTGAAACTTCCTTGTTGGTCAGGGGTGAGCATTCTCCTTCTCCCTCCCTGATCAATGTTGCTAGATTCCTTCATCCACCCAGTCTTGATCCACACCACTTATATGGCTATATTTACTTACCGTTCGTGCCTAGTTTGTTAACTCCCTTGCACGCGCGCAAACCAAATTTGTGGACCTTTAGTTCGGTAGTAACCCTTAGTAAAGGCGGAAAAAGATTAATCTTGGATCTGGTCATGTCCCATTTTTCAGTCGTTGAAGAAGCATTTGTGTTTTTAGCATTCAAACGAACGGGTGTACACTCTTCCAAATACACAAAAGGCTACTTAGACTAGTCAATCGCCAAAGTCCAACAGCTTTCAGCTTCTGAAAATACTATTTGAACCTATTACTTCCAGTGTTGTCAAACCGGATATCAGAAATATTGTCTAAAATTATTATGATCGCTGGGGCAGTATGAAAAAAAGTAATGAAAACAAAAGCGAAAAAGTGAATCATCATGGAGAAAACTCTCAGGGAGTAACAAATTGCGGGCTGAAATTGGAAAGCAAATTATGCGAATTTTCTTTTGCACGATCCGTTGTTCGTTTCGTTCAGGGAAACTATTCAATTTTAATACTGAAAGCAACAACAAAAGAAACGTGCAATGCTCATGAGATCGTGGCTGGAACTCCATCAGCTTTCATCTCTATGTAGCAGGAGAGTTCTACCGGAATTTGTTCTGCTGAATAATATTAACTGTTTCACTCACGTTTCAAACGCGCGTGGATTTTACGGTTGTAAGTCGACCTAAGTCAGACAAGAATCTTTTTTATTGTTATTTTAAATTGTGAGTAAATAAGGCCTGTTTCAAACATACGCGTCGTGCTACTGCCGTGCTAAGCTGGCTCGACTGTAGCTCGACTTCAGCTCGACACTGGCACGTCTTGATTTAATTCAGTCGAATAGAACGGCTGTTGCTGAAAACAAAACACAAAAATATAGAAACGGTTTAGCAAACTTTAAAACCGTATTCTAATGTATTTATAATGTACTATGAATTGAGTTCGACACGGCGCTTGCCGTGCAACACGACAGTAGCACGATGTGGTTTCAAACGTCGCGCTACTGCCGTGCTAAAGTCGAATTGAGTTCGGCACGGCAGTTGCACGACGTTTGAAACCGGCCTAAAACGCTTACGTGTCACATTTCGGTGACTCTAGCTGACTGCGTTGCTAAGCATTGTATGTTAGGTCCAATTATCCACTATTTCTTGAATACAGATGAGAGTCATTGTCCTTCGTGGTTTATTCATCAAATGTAGGCCTCTGCTTTGTGTTTTGTAATAAAACGTGTTAAATTGAAAATCCAGGAATTTTTCAGGGGGCTTCTTCTCTTGGATACCCTAAACTGTCCAAAATGCATGTTGTAATTGTCCTTGAGTTTTTTCTTTTTTAAGAAGTTAAAAAGGTGCTGATTTAAAATTTGGGGTAGCTTTTTATGACTAAGACCTTTTTGCGAAATGTTAAGGAAATTTTCAAAACTTCATTATTAATTTGTAGTCAATAAATGAAGAGAACCAAAATTCAGAAATGTGATCTTTCAGTTACTCTTGCCCTGGTCGTATATCTCTATGTAGAGTCTTGAACTGCTGTAGGTCTGTTTGATGTAAGCCCCGCCAAGGTAATTATTTTAGGCAAACGAAACCAACCACGTGGCAAAAAAGAAGAATATTCTCTAGGCTTGATACGAACTCTTACAGCTGAACAAACCAGGCACAACTGGAATTTCTCGCCAGGCGTTATATCCTTTTTGCTCGTTTAAATCTGGGCACCAAATTTTTCACCCTTCTGATTGGTCAATAACGAAATGACGCAATGACTTGGAAGCGAGACAAAGAAGCTTGTCGATTTCGCCTGATTCTCTTACGTAAATTATTCTTGTTGTGTAGGAGCACGTAATCGTTGCTTCTTTATTCGAGCCACTGGGGCCGAAATAATAGTTTTTTTTTACTCCTGTGACCGCCACTCTGGCTTGCTAACCCAGGAACTAATCCCGGGACTGATTTTATCGGAAACAGTCACCATTGCATAGCAGGTCTGTTGGAATTCTCAATTTGTGTTACGTGAGAGAAATGTGGAATATCCTTCGAATTTGCATTAGCCACGAGACACGGTTTTTGCTGTGCGCAAAACCGTGATTGCTTTTAACTTCTCGTCTTGTATTGGTGCTAAACAGCTGTTGTTTCTTTTGTGCCCTGTTTTAGTGGGACTGTAGATCCTGACCGGCAAACGGACCAGATTTCAAGAATATGGACAAGATAGCAAATGGGTCGCCATCGCCTGGCGAAGTTCACGGTCAAGACTCTATGTACAGCGACGGAGGGTACATCGCACAAACAGATTTGAACAACCATTTTGAAGAAGACGCAGGATTAGACTTGGAAGGCTATCAGCCTACTTACGCTGAAGCTTTCCCTCCTCTTCCAAGCTCTCACATTCAAACCTCTACCCAAAACGATACCGGATCAAAATGGCGAACCGCGACTGGCCCAATTCGGTCTTCCACAGTGACACAGGTATAAATAATCTCGAAATTTACTGAAACTGGTACGACCTAAAAACTAAATAAGGGCTCGTTTAGACGCAAATGCCATTACTTAATACTGTGAGCATCTTTGTTCATTATAGTGAGAGATAATGGTTTGATTTGGCGTCTTTGAAGAACTCCCTTCTAATATTCTTGAATTAGCTATCTTCCTAAAAATGGATACATGGCTTTTCTCTCGTGGAATTGTTTTTATTTTCTCATTTTTTTTCCGAGGAAGTTTTGTTAAGTGAAACTTTTCCCACGAAGACATGTCGTTGACGTTTTTGCATTTGGTGGCGAATTAGGAACCGGTTTTCTCTTGTACACAATCGAATTTTTGCGTTTTAATTGTTAGCGTGGCCACGTTTACATGTGAGCCTCTTCCGGTCGAACTTCACACTGTTGTCGTGTTAGTGTGTCATATTAAGGAATTGTTTCAGCAAAGTGTCCGCAGAATAGTCTCACGTTCGACTTGTTTCTCCATAATTCAAGGGCGTTACACTCGTTATCCAAGCAGTTAAGCACTATTTCTCTTTTGTTAAACGTTGATTATTCGAGCAAGTCAAGTTTTCAGCCATCTTCAGTATCAATAATTCAGACAGTTGTAAATTTCATATTCTTGCTTTTATTTTCGACTTGGTAAAATGTTGATATTCTTTGATGATACAATTTTTTGGAAAAGGGAATTTACTCTTGTTTTTTTTTTTTTTACTGATAGAAGTTGAAGAATAAAAGTTAATAGTGTGACTTATGACATTTTACGTGGTGGTTCGCACTTTCTGAATTCAATAAGGTTTGCAATTTTTAGTACGTTTTACCAATATCCGTTTGTGAGATATATTGCTATTCTTGATCATATCTTAAACGATTCTTTTTTAATGAGTTATATCCTTTACATGTTTTTTTTCCTTGCACGGGTTTAGAGAGCATTATCATAAAATCGATTTGCATTTTCGTTTTGTCGCTATTTTACAATACAAACGTCCCTATTCAAATTCGTGTCGTGTTACGACATTGCTTAAAAAGCGCAGCAATATTCCATCAAGCTGTCCCTCAGAATAAACCCGGTCGTTTTATAATGATATTGATATCACCTCTAAATGTGAATTCTCTAAAGCTGAAAAAAATAGATGATGAGTTTAAAAATTCGGATTTGGAATTGTCGCTGGAAATTATGACTGTAGTCATTTGTAACTTAATAATGTTTATATATCGTGAAAACAAGATGAAAACTACTTTGTCATTCTCATAACATTGTCACAAGATTTTTACTACTAAAAGGATGTAGTCTGCGGACTTATTTGTCCTAGCTTAACAACTTGATAATATCTAAGATGTGAAAAGTTCTGCTCATACAATAATCAAACAGTTACTTGTCTGTTTAGACATAAATATTTTTCTCACTTGTCTGTGATGGATTAATATGCATGTTTTTCATTTGCGGTAAATACAACCCCACTACTCAGACTTCTGCGAGAAAAACTTGTGGTGAGCATTAAATTTACTGGAAACTTACTGAAAGGGAAAGTAAACCAGTTTGAACTAGCAGTGGGTCTGGATTGATTCCAACAATACAGTAAAACCCCGGGAACTCAAACTCTGAAGGGAAACGAAACAGAGTTCGAGTTCGCGGGGAATTTGAGTTATCGGGGTAAATTTCAGTGCAATTTTGATTAAGGGAAAGGAAACTTAGTTTGAGTTAGCGGGGAATATGAGTTATTTGAGTTAGAGTTATCAAGGTTCTACTGTATTGATAGAAAATCATGGTGAAAGGCTATGAAAGTGAATAAAATGTCCTAATGGAAAATGCTGTGATGTTTAAACAAATCCTCTGAACTAATATTTTTAAGTAATGTTTGTTGGTCAGTGTAGAAAATTTGTATCTGGATAATGGGTCACTTGAGTTCAATTTAGCAGGAATCTATCTACTCCACTATCTTACTGACACTAGATTGTTCCAATATGAAATCAAAGGAAGATGTTTTGGTAGCAAATTACATCTATCAAGCCCGTAGCTTGTAAAGAGTCAAACATCCTTAACCCAAACTGGTGATGTTAGTTAGTGCACTTTTTCTAAAATATGATGTACTAGTTCTGTAAGTTTTTAAAAATATTTCTCTTGAATTTTGCCTCACTAAGGGCCTACAGCCTTACATCACCACTGTGGTAGAGAAAAATTAACCAGTTACATGTGCACATGTTAAAGAGATTTGCTTTTAGATGCATGTAGAACCACCTTTGCCCATAAAGTCTACTTGCTCCAACCTGTATGCATAGATGATGTAAGAAATCATGAGTATTATGAGTGATACATTAGTATAAAATCATCTTCAATCCTGAAAGGTCCAGTATTAGAATACAAATTCTCCCAAACTGGCCTCTCTCCATTTCCTATGATACTAATGGGGAGAATTTGTGTAGAAATTTAGACATTATTTTTATTGTCGCTGATCATTTAATGCACGTGTGAACTTTGATGTTTTTGTCAAGTGACAAGCTGAGAGCTTGGGTGCATTTGATTAGGGATTCTTCCATTTAGATCTCCTAACCAAGCTGCAAAGAATGATTTTGCATCTAGATCTTTTGATTGAAAGCTTTTTTTGTTTGGCAAAATCTGTCTTTGGATTTTGTTTTCAATAACTAGATCAAACAAATCCTGGATATCCCAGTCGAGCACACCTGGTGCACATAAATTTATAGGGCTTGAACAAATCTAAAATTCTTCCTTGCTTTGATATATTTTGTTTGCCTTGACATAGTTTGCTTAAGTTTTCTCTTTTGATAGAAGATAACTTGTCTGAGATCTTGTTCATCCAGAGATTAAGGGGGAAAATTTACTTGTTTTCTACTTTAAATTGTTAAAATAACTGAGGCTGCAATTGTGGCAGTTAGACAAGGTTTACAAAAGTAATTTTATTTGTTGAACATTATATAGTATTCTTCTTCAAGTTTTGCCCTTTTTTGCTGACAGGAAATGGTGTTTTTTTTATTGGACCCAGTTATGGCTATTAAAAAAATGCAATTTGTTATGACTTGTGTTGAGTAAGGCATACTTAGGGACAGACAAAACTAATCTTCTCAAGTCAAAGACCTACCAGCAAGTATAATACATGTATTTTTGAAAGAAAGAGGGTGTTAATGTGATGAAATTGGTGAGAACAAACTCAGCTGATAAAATAAACATTTGAATTTCCTAGGTAATTTCCTATTAATCTCTGTTTCGTTTTTCTTCTAAAGTACATGTAACCCAGTGGAACTAGTTCTTTTTTATAGAAAGCTTTTGTATTTTCTTTATTGGAGACAGGATAGTTACCCATTTTACCCCTTTTTATACACAATTTCTATCAGGTCTACCACTTTCATTCTTCCAGCATGGCTGAATTTCCTTGGTAGCTGACTTAAATCTCTGTTTTGTTTCTCTGCTGAAGTACATGTAACCCAATAGAATTATAGTTTCCTTTTCATTCAAAGCTTTGTGTTTCGTTATTATAGAAAGGATAGTTACCCATTTTACCCATTTTTCCCCTATTTACAGGCAAAGTTAATATTCAGAAACAAAAACAAGAATAACAAGTCAAACATGTAAATTGCAAAAGTACACTAGAATTTTTAGCAATGGCCACCACCCCACAATGGTAACTTATCTTTGTGTCCAAGGTGGCCTTTTAGAGGTTACAACATTGATTTTATTTACAGACTCCAAAGCTAGAACGGTCTTGTAATACTGTCAATCCTCTATTAAGTCCTGGGGGGGGAGTTCAGCACATGAAGCTGGAGGTCATGGGGCCAAAGACCAAAGTAAACCATAACTGATCAGTCCACGTTAATTGTTTGTGAAGAATAAGGATGGAGGGAAGGGGGATGGTGGGGACTTAATAGAGAGGGGGGCTTATTAACTTTTCTCCTCTGAAAAGGGGGGGGCTTAATAAAGGATTTACGGTACGAGTTTATCAAGAAGACAAATTGAAATGGTTATTCTTGAGTTTCTCAAGAAAAAAATAAAAGGAATGTTGAAGGAAATTACCCTCTTTTTTGGCATTCTGTTTTACACATGTAGAAGTTGCATTGTAGGTGATGATGTAAAATTCTAAAATAATGTAACCATGATCGACTTAATTCTTTTGTTCAGGTTTTTCGTGTGCCTTTAGAAGAACGACGTTACAAGCAACCAAATGAAAATGCTTTTGGAGATGACCGTCAGCGTGAAATTTGTCGTGACATCATGGCAAAGACTGGAGCTGCAATTGAGATCAGCTCTGGAAAGGATCAAGGATTGACGATTATGGTAACTGGAAAACCTGAATTGTTGGCTAAAGCAAGGCGTATGGTACTGACCCAGCTTCAAACCCAGGTAATTTTACAAGACTACAGCCACTTACATGTAGAAAAATGCTTGATATGCTATTGTAACTTAAATCATTTGAGCCAGGCTCATGCACCTTTTTTCTGTTTTCAGAGTTTTAAGAATTCCAAGATTGTTTTGAATACTTGCAATGACAACTTTGAAGTGGGGCTAGAGTGGGGGGGGATATCTTGTTTTTAAGATAATGTTGTCCTCTGAGGTACACTGAAGTAAGAAAAGTATGTGTACATGTATCTTTATGACAAATGGTGCAGCCATTATTTTTTGTCTGGTTGTACATGTAGCTTTGGTTCTTCACTCATGTGTTTGCGACTGGAGCTATTAAAGCTTGCAAGTGTGCCATCAAATCCATGAACAAGTCTCTAATAGGAATACTTGTATCTTGGTCGTTATAATTGCCCAATGTAAAAACTCAATCTTTACATGAAACCTAAAAACTGTAGGCATGTATCTTTCTCAAAACATGATTTCATGAAGAGAGCAGGGTGATATGCAAGCTTATCTAGTCAGCTAAAGACTCCCTTTTAAAGACAGCTATAAGTGACTAGTTTGTGTAATCAAGAGAAGAACCAAATTATTTACTCAACCTTTACTCAATACTGATACCCCTTACATACGATCACTTGGCTCTGTTTTTCCACCTTGCATATGTTGTAGTTAATTTTTTAACTCAGATAATTTTTTTTCTTTTGTTTCAACTTCATTAGCAGACATTACCATACCCCAAAAACAAAAGAAAATCAAAAATTACCTGGGGTAAAAACTTAACTACAACATATACTTTAGAGAGGCTGATTGCGATATTTCTGTTTTGTGTTTAGGCCAATGTTGAAATTAGCATTCCTCGCGAACACCACAAATTTATCCTTGGTAAAGGAGGCAAGACCCTGCAACAGTTGGAGCTACAAACTGCAACTAAGATCACCATGCCAAGAGACGGATCAGACACCATAAGGATTGTTGGAACGAAGGAAGGTGTGGATAGTGCAAGACATGAAATACAAGTCATCTCTGATGAACAGGTATGGTTTTCTTTGGTTTTTATTTGGCATCTTACATTACATTGTAATCATTTCACCCCTGAAATAATACAGTAATAGTATAATTATCTCAAACCTACATGTAGATGTGTTCCGAAATTTTTGTTGAATTTTCATATTATTGTGACTGAAATATGGGGTTAAAACCTCTGACTAAACTACTGAGACAGTTTCATGACAGTTTTTCTTGCACCATTTCTATCCTACCTTTTCCTCTAAAAGAAAAAGTAAGCCCCGTCCTTTTCCCCTATTCAATGTTGTTTTGTTTTATAAATAACCATCATGTGTAATTCTCCTGCTACCTGAAATAATTTTGGGTAAGGTGATCAGGAAAAATGGCCATTCATCTGGAAATGGTTTCCATCTTAGCCATTTTTAGAGGAAAACAGAGAGATTTTTGCTTTGTGCCTCAACAGGTTTTGTTCAAGGTTGTAGTATGGTCATCAATATTATTATTAATCCTGGAAAATCCTGTAATGTACAAAATCACCAGAAAAGTTCTTAAAGCAGATATCATTTTAACACGTTTTTCAAACGACTGCTTACCTGTATTTTGAAGTCACCAAAAGTACAAACAGGTCATGAAGAGAGTTAATTTTGTGTATTTTATTTACAGGCAAAACTGGCTTTTGAGCGGCTGATGATTGAACATGTCTATCACCCCTTTATTTCTGGTGGAAATGCATCGAAGATCTCGGAACAGACCGGAGCACGCATCAACATTCCTCCACCATCAGCTCAGAAAAATGAGATCACCATCGCAGGTGAGAAGGAAGGCGTGGCAAAGGCAAAGGAAATGGTTTTGGCAATTTATGAAGAAAAGAAGCGCAAGACTACGACAGTGTCAATCGAGGTGAAGAAATCGCAGCACAAGTATGTGATTGGCCCCCGTGGTGGAACACTGCAAGAGATTCTTACACTGACTGGTAAGGAAAATCTAGGTAGATCTACATCTGTAACCCTGTGACTGTGATAGTATACACTATAAAGTCTGCACACGTGGAATCAGTGTCATGTAGGGTTGTGTAGTGGCCCCCTGGGTCCCTATGGTACTTTTGCTTGTGGGTGAGTAGAAAATATTAGTTTTTTCATAGAAATCCTATGCCGGCACCCTGGATTTCACCAGTTCAGGGCACTGTGCTCTGAGAAAAATTGGTGCAATCCCAGGACTGCTTTTGATTTGAATGGTCACGCCGTGTACGTAGGGTTTTGTCCCTGGTCTCAGAAGTTAGAATTGCAGTGTATGGTTCAGTTTAGGTGGTCTTAATGTTTTTTTCATTGTGTCATTCTTTATTCTTTAGGTGTTTCTGTGGAGATGCCTCCTTTGGACAGTGACCTGGAAACCATCACCCTGCGAGGTGAACCAGATAAACTTGGACAAGCTTTGACTCAGGTTTATGAGAAGGCCAGCAGTGTGGTATCGGCTGAGGTTGATGCTCCACGCTGGCTCCACAGGTTCATCATTGGCAGAAAAGGACAGAACATACGGAAAATAACCCAAGATTTACCCAAGGTATTCTTAGTTAAGTTTTTGTTTTCATCGTTGTCTTTAGACAAACAAAATTGAAGTGGCAACTTCTTGTCTGGCACTCATAGCGTTACAAAATTGTATGCCTGTTGAGATCTCGTGGTGATAGAATAATAAGGCAGTTGAACTTCTTTACAATAGCCACCCTATGAACAAAGATGAGTGGCCATTGATTAGAGGTGGGGGTTACAGAAAGTTTTATTCATTATTCAATCATAACTTTATTTATTTCGGATTGTAGAGTAGCATATAGTGCTAGTATCTCCGAACTACATATTATAGACAGGGTTGTCATTAAGATTTCAAGTTGCCAGGTAAATACAACAAGTAGGAGGGGAATCAAACGGCTAGGGATCCCTTTTGGTTCTATTTTTCTTCTATTTTCCAATAAAAGTAGCCGGGGGCCACTCTCTTAGTAGCCGGGGAAAATCCCCGGCCCCCAGCTCTTAATGACAACCCTGATAGAAAAAAAACAACAACAAAACAAAACAAAACAAAAAATGAAATGAGAAGCACAACTCTTAATAAATGTAGTCTATGATATTGCATTTAAAAGTAGGAAGCGTTTCCAACATTCTGATGTTATCAGTCAGGTTTTTCCAGGCATGAGGAACAAAGTATCTAAATGATCGCAATCCATATAATTATAGGTGGTAGCCTTAACATGCGGTATTTCCAGCTTGTTATAGCCTCTCAAATTATAGTCTGATACATGCTGCTCTTGAATGTGAGTCCTAAGGTAAGGCGGGGTGTACCTTGACTCCAATGTTTTGGATAATGGACAGAATGATTTGAAAATGCGATAATAGTGAAGATATGTCAACAAAGTCAAACAGAGTGCTTAGAACAGTAATGTTCCGTAAAAACGACGTCAGCAAGCTACTGCAAGTACATGTACATGTACGTCAGTTTGTGCATCATTCACTTTTAGATTACCATTTTGGAGAAATTATTTTGGCAGGGGGGCAGTGTGTTGTAGATGTGATGTAATCTGGATTATAAAGTTTGCAAAGCAATGCGCAATTCTTGCTCTGGACCCCCTTCAAACTCAAGGAATTACTGGAAGCGCATTTTGAATTTCCCTTTAACCTGATTGGCCAATCAAACCGTGGCTTGTATAAGCAGGTCAATCATTAGGCATACTCAATTCCTGGTACTCAGCTGGGTATCTAGAGCAAGGCCGTTGTAAAGAGGTGCCCATTTGCAGAGGTTTGACTGTATTAAGTAATCAGTTCACTTGATTTCAGGTTCATGTTGAATTCAGTGATGAAAAGGACAGCGTCTCCCTAGAAGGGCCACCACAAGAAGTTGAAAAGGCACAGGAGTCTCTTGAGACATTCATTAGAGAACTGGTAAGAAGATCAAGACACATATAGCTTTTATATCCATTTGGTACAATCGGCGACAAAGGTGTTGGGACAGTATACTCAAATAGGGTAACTTGAGGGAACAGAAGCATCCACACCCCTCCCCTTGTCCCCTCCATTCAAAGTTGGGGTGTTTTTTGTTTTCTATAGGTAACTTGAACAGCGGCACTACATTGAATGTAGGGGACGGGGGGAGGAAAAGCTATATTTCCCCTTTTTGATGTCAGTAAAACATAAAAAAAAATCACGTTGTTGCCAATAATATTGTAGGTGACAAGTTAGTGCAATGTGTGTTACACTGTAGGAAAAACTTGCTTCATGTGCCCTGGAGAATATTATAAAATTTATATCTCTGACAGAATTTTGTCGCTGCGAGGGGGTGCACAAATTCAAAGTTTACTGACGTTAAAGTTTGTACTTTTTTGTTCGCTGCTAATGCATAATATGTCCTTGTTTTCCCTTGGTAGAAGGCATCAATGGACTATGCAGAAATCTCTGTAGATCATAAATATCACCCTCACATCATAGGCAAGAATGGAGCAAATGGTAGGTGTGATATTTCCTCCTTACCTAATACCTTGCTTCTTCATGCTCCCTTATGCATAAGGCCTCCACATGTCTTTGCCAACCTGCTACAGGGGAACCTCAATGTAACGAACCCTCTACGTTTGGGTCAGAGACTGTTGTGAGTGTTTTGTTTACAAATACAGGCACACGCTTACTGTATAATGAATGAGAAATTTTCAATACTGCACAAAGCAGAGCTTGGGAAAATCTCAAAGTGGAAGCCATTTGAACACGGCACAGTTTTTATGCGTTAATTGTCGTTAATACATTCCGTCGCTTTGATGTCGCTGGTTAATGGTAAATCATGTGACCAATGTTAACTAATGAGGCATGCAGATTTTAGACAGTGAATGAAGATTGTTTATTAAATGTATAACAACAGAGTCCTCGTTATAATGAATGATTTTGTTTACCCAAGTAATGGTGAAAGACATGGAAAAAAAAATCCTGGACATACAATGTAGTGAAACCTCATTATAGCACACAAATTAATTTTTCTTGCCATTCTCTTGGCCCTTTGTTATATCAAGCTTCCACTGTATCTTGAAAAGTTTTTCTTGGTTTACTAATGATATATTTTTCAAAGGGATGGTACATATTCCATCATCCAACCCTCGGCAGTTGTGTAGAAGCTGCTTGTAAGGTCTCTCCTGATTGGTTACAGAAAATGATGACGTGTCATTCTTTCAATTGTTTTAGTATTGTTTGGGGTCAGGGTTAGGCTGCATTGGTGACTTCTCTTCTGAGCAGCTGCTACATGACCCACCCTCAGCCCGGAGGGCCAGGCATTGTAAGTTGTGTGGCCTTTCACCCAAAACCTGCCGAGCAGGGTTGAACCCACCAGGGACCAACGTCCAGACTGTTATGGCTTCCAGGGTCATCAGGGCACACAAACCTACCCATCATGTTAAGGGACAACACTTAGGAAGGAGGTGTAAATATTTCATCTTACCTTCTTTTGTAAATGTTGCCTCCTTCCTGAAATCAAATTGTCAGAATTGATTTAGGATTTACAGTGGTATTTACCGTGTTTTATGTTTAGTTTAGGAGTGTTTTCTTTTTTTGCCAGTGAACCGCATTAAGACTGAAACTGGAACATCCATTTTGATCCCATCCAACAATGAACACAGCAACATCCTAAGGATTGAAGGCTCACCAAAGGGTGTGGCTCTCGCCAAGGAAGAGATTTTGCAGATGGTCAAGAAACTGGTGAGCAAAACAAGCCCTCAGGTCTTCTTGCTTTTGCATGTGGCACCTAATTTGCTATTATCCTCCTTTTGAATTGCCTTTTCTTGTGCCGGTGAATGAAAGAGAGACTTCTGATATCAATAGTCACTAAGGGTCTTTTCCCACCCACCCCTTAGCTCAGTCTCCAGTGGTTGCTGCATGACTGCTGCCTGACCCCTCTCCTAAACCAACATTTTGCCCTGAGTGAGAAGTAAGTGTTAATGTTGGCCTAGGGAAGGGGTAGGTAGGCAGTTTCCCAGTTAATGCACAATGATCCCAAAAAGTTCCTATTTATGTTCATGAGGAAATGGGACTATAGGGGAGAGGGGGGTGGGGGATGGCTGATGGGTGATGAGGATGGTCATTTTCCTGTCTTGTCTTTTTTTGTTGTTTCTACTAACATATCCTAGGCTCACATTGATAATAACTGGCAAAAATTTTTTCCTTTTAAGATTGCCATTACCCCTCCAAGTTTTCATCGTGGTTCACAGACAGTTTTAGAATTGCAATTGTTCTTATTGCATGTCTTGTGCATAAATCAAGACAACTATCAAGAATGTGGCCATTTTCTTTGTTACAAAAAGTTGTGTCATCTTCATACATGCCTCATTTTTACATTAAGACCCTTTGATATCATATACGCTCTCTGTTGCATCAAAACTCTCCAGATAGCCTGCAAGCAAGCTCTCTGGGGTGCTCTGGTGGTGGGGCGGGAAAAGGAAGAAGAGCTTGCAACTATATACGTCGATCTGGAATTTGAATATCTGCATGGAAAAAGTCAATGCGAAATGCTGATTGGAAGAGATGTCATTAGTAATGGCATCATTACTCTTGGCACGTGTTTTTCAATGTTTGTTCACGTTCACGCTCGTTTCCGATTCACACTGATTAGCAGAAATCTGAGAGCTCAGTCGACTGGGAGCCACAGGAGAATTGGACGTGGATTCAAATTCCACAGATGCAGTTGCAAGCTCTCCTTCCTTTCGCCACCGTGCCGCCAGAGTACCCCAGAGAGCTTGGTCATAGGCTAATCTCCAGAACACTTTTTTAATCTTTGATTACAACTACACTGTGGAAATAAATAATAATGATTATTAGGAAAATAAGTTTCTCTGAATGTAGTGGGAGAATTGGGTTACAATCTTCCTGAAACTGTACTATATCTTCATGATCTCATAACAGGAAAATGAAAAGACTAAAGACGTGATTATTGAGCAGAGATTCCATCGTACCATTATTGGAGCAAAGGGAGAGAAAATCCGTGAGATTCGTGACAAGTATCCGGCAGTACAGATCTCTTTTCCTGATGCTGGTAAGAAGAGTGATGTGGTGAACCTGCGTGGACCAAGAGAGGGTGTGGACAGTGTTTACACCTTCCTCAAGAAGCTAAATGCTGAACTGGTAAGGCGTGTTGGCACCTTACATCCATTTGAGGATGTAGGGTCAAGGCTGTGCTCTAAGGAAAATTGAAGGGAGCCCTGTGCTCTGAAACTGTAAAATCTGGGGTGCCCAGCACATGATTTGTATGAAAAAAGTAAGATTTTCTTGTCACCCAAGAGCAAAAGTTGGGCGCCAGGAGCTAGTTTTCTCTGCTTGAGTTCAGCCCTGAGGGTACACTAGTAGATTAACGTTGTTCTTGGAAGAACTGAAAATCAAAGACAAAATTTGAGATTAACAGCCTTCTTTCTATTCTACTAAGGATACTAAGGATGTAAAAGTTAGAACTGTAGCCTTTCCTTTTCATAGCATGTTGTAGTATTAGTTGAAGTTTTTCCGTCTTAATTTTAAAACACAAGATTCTGTAAATCTGCATTCTGACAACAATAATAATTGTTTGTTGAAAATCTGACAGGTAAATGAGCAGAATGGAACTGTTTTTTTTCCCCCAAAATTCCAGACAGAGTGTAGTTGTTAGTAGTCTAACAATCTTTCATTCCACAGATCGCTGCCAATTTCCGTGTGGAAGTACCAATCTTCAAGCAGTTTCACAAGAATGTTATTGGTAGAGGAGGTACAACCATCAAAAAGGTAACAATGTTTTTATACATGTTTGAGACAACAGGTTTACATTACGTATTAATTTTATTGCGATCCATGTAGTTGTAAACAAAAAGTCAATAATTATTATTTTGTTGCTTTGCTTGGTCGAAGGGTGCTTTAGACAAACACCACTGTTACTTTAGCCCTGTCTTTATCAAAATTCTCTTGTTTTAACAGATTCGTGAGGAAACTGACACCAAGATCGAATTGCCATCAGAGGGAAGCGACAGTGATGTGATTGTCATCACTGGGCATAAGGCGCAGGTTGAAGCAGCTCGAGATCGCATTACTGCAATTCAAAATGAACTGGTAAGACTGTGGCAGTCTTTCATTTCTAGGCCCAGATATTTGTACGCATTTACACTGGAACAGTTACACGTCCTAGAAAAGTTACAAAGAAAATAATGGCAACTGTGAAGACATAGACAAAGACATAGTTTTTCTACCCACAAAAAACTCAAGAGTCATAACTTGTTAAAACGCTCTCATGGAGAAGAATGTTTGGTCATTATATTACAAAAAAAGAAATATACTGTAAGTTAAAAGGGAGCACTTGAAATATATACAAATAAAGGAAAAATTATTTGCGTTTAAAAAATTACACTGACACATTGAGAGATGTAACTAAATTATACGAAGTACAACAATAATTAAAAATTATTTTCATATTTACAATTCACAATGGGCAGAAAGGGCATGTAGAACAAAGAAAATGAGCTGATAAAAACAGCTCAAAACAATTTTTATGGATAAAAAATTGCGTGAAACTAATAATTTAGGTGTAAAAATGGTGAAAGGTAAGCGACAAGTAAAGAGGAAACTTGATCACGTGGTAAGAATTCACGTTTGCCGTTCGACGTAAACGTGATGTTTAACCTCTCTTTAGACTCCACTGGGTCTGTTACAGAAGGGTGCTGTGAAGTACGTAACTTAACGCGTTCAAAATAGGATCTAAAATCTGGTGCTTTTCAAATCTGATGTCAATGGCGTATTTGTTGCAGGCAAATGTTACCCAAGTTGATGTAAACATCCCCCACAAACATCACAACGCCTTAATTGGTGCCAAGGGCAGGCTCATCCGTTCCATCATGGATGAGTGTGGTGGCGTCAGTATCAAGTTTCCACCCGAAGGCACTAACAGCGACAAAGTTCTGATTCGTGGACCAAAGGATGATGTGGAGAAAGCCAAGAAGCAGCTGCTGCAGCTTCTGACTGAAAAGGTAATTTATTCTAAGACTTGCCACGCCAGTGGCAACAACAACAACAAAATTTTAACACCGTTGCAATTGCTTAGTGCTTAAAAGAAGTCTTATAGGCACTTACATTTAACGGTTTTAGCCCTCTAAAGAACCTCATGCAAAGAACCAAAAGTTTTGAAGCATTTAAATGCAAGGAGTTGAGTGTCAGTGGTGCATGGTATGCCAGCTTGCGCATTATTTTCTTGTAGCTCACTACATGTTTCTCGTGATTCAGTGAAGTGTGGTGTTCTTCGTGCAGCGTTTTTCCTACCACGAGTTTTCTTGCAGCCAGTTTTTTGCTCCACCACTGATATTTTCCTATTGTGGAGGCTTACGACAGGGTTGCACCAGCCGTGTGGGTTTTATTCCCTGGTTTGCCAAAAGGGAGAAATGAAAAAAAAAAATTAAAAGCAAAGCAGAGGCAAAGAAATAAAGTAAATGAAGATTTATGATAAGAGGATGACTCTATGATATTGGGGTGACTGTGATAATTACGTAATGTTTTTATTTAATGCCACAGGAAACCAACAGTTTCACAGCTGAGATTCGTGCAAAACCCCAGCATCATCGTTTCTTGATTGGCCGCGGAGGAGCGAACATCAGAAAGGTGCGCGAGAACACTGGGGCGAGGATTGTGTTCCCCACCCAAAGTGACGAAGACAAGGAACTTATTACAATCATAGGAAAGAAGGAAGGAGTCGAAGCGGCCAAGCAAGAGCTCATGAAATCCATTAAAGACCTGGTATGGAAAGGCATCTATTAAAGTTTTGAAATCAGAAAGCTTAAATACTTTGCTGGTCATTTAGTGCTCCTAGTCCACCCTGCTAGCCGAAGTTTCTTTTCGGCGTGGTTTTTCACGTCGACAAAGTCGTTCGCGCCGCATAAGACTTAACTTTCTGAATGAACTTATCATGAAAGATGAAGTTAGACTTGTAGGACAAAGCTAATGTTGTTTACTAAAGATATATCTTAGGTGGCGACCGCGGAGATCACTGATTTTCGAAAATCCGTTTTTTACCCAGAACATTCTGTGTAATGTTCTGACAAGAAAGTTGGCGAAAAACGCGTTTCTAATAACACACAATACGTGTTAAAGAAAGCGGCGTGGTCTAATGTCTGTAAAAACTGGCTTCATCTCTTTCTCATTTCACTATTGTTTGCTTTACTTAGGACAATATTGTTGAAGGTGAGGTACATGTTGATCCCAAACACCACAAGTATTTTGTCGCCAAACGCGGTGAAAAGCTGCGAGACATCGCTGAAGAATTTGGCGGAGTCGTGGTCAGCTTCCCTAGGAATGGAGTAAACTCTGATCGCGTTGTATTAAAAGGAGCCAAAGAATGCATTGAAGGTGCAAAGAAACGGATCTTGGATGTCGTGGCCGAGCTTGACTCCATGATCACCATTGACTGCGTCATCCCACAGAAGTATCACCGCAACATCATGGGAGCCAAAGGAGTCAACGTGCAGAAAGTGACATCACAGTACAATGTACAGATCAAGTTCCCTGACCGAGAAACGGGCAAGGGCCAGGGAATGGTGAACGGAAATTCGTCACCTGTAGAGGTGAATGGCGGTGAACCGGGCTCTCCACCAGCAAGTCCTCGCAAGTGTGATACTATCACCATTGTTGGTTCTAAGGATAACGCTGAAGCGGCCAAGCAAGCCTTGTTGGTAGGTCCACTCAGGTTTAGCCCTCTAAACCCTAAGATCAAAATTTAAACTCTCATTTGTTGCCCCTATCTATTTCCTATGGAAGAATTGGGGAGAAGTTAATTAGGTCTGAAGCTAATTCCCCTTGTGTGATCGCGTCCTAAATCCTCGTGACCACCCTGTTTTACAAAGCATTGACAGGCGAAGAGTCGCGCTTGGGGAGCGAGTTTTCCCTTTAATCCCTGGCGTGTTAGCCTTTGCCGCTCGCAATAAATTTACTGCGTGGTTTGCTGGCCCACAGTACAAGCGAGAGTTTATTTCCTTTCCCTGGGCTTGCCTTGAAGCATAGTGCTCGCTGCTTACACATAACGTTGTTTTTCTCTAGGAACTGGTACCCATCACCGAGGCTATTACTATACCGTTTGATTATCATCGCTTCATCATCGGTGCCAAGGGAGCTAATGTGCGCCACATGATGGATGAGTATGACGTCAGTATTACTATACCCCCCTCTAGGGATGAGTCTGATCAGGTCACCATCGTGGGAACACGCCCCAAGGTCAACAGGGCTATTGAGGCCCTTCAGGAGAAAGTGGCTGAGATTGAGGCAGAAAATGAGGACCGGGTAGGTTACTTAACGTCTTGAATTTCATTCACAGATTAAATGTGAGAATCACCTTGTGCAGCTCAACAAACAGTACCATTAGAAAGCATTTTCTCGGTAGCTTCATCCACAAACTTTAAACATTTTCCGTAAGATCGTTAAGATCGAGCCGTCACCCCGAGATGGCCATCTTCAAGCTAGACTCAGGCAAGATGGCCGCCTGTAGCGCTCGTTCTCGACGATCTTACGGAGAAATATGGGACTGCGAACTGTCTATTCATTAAGAAGCACCTCACACTGCTGAGGTTGAAAACTTGTTTTCTCCACTACTACACTCTCGCTTAAATCCGTAGTAGAAGGAAAACGGCCATCGCGTTTTCCCGCCAAAAAAATGAGCTTAAGCAACAACGACGGCGACTTCTACGAAAACGTCACTTAAAAAGTGATGTCGCGTTGCTTCAAACTTTGTCGCGCTTATTCCACCTCGTTCAATTCGTTAAATGTTGGCATTTTTATCTTGAGTTGAATTCTAAAATGCTGTATGGAAGGTCAGGAAAGTAAAAAGAAAATTGTTGTCTATTGTTCACGTCCTCAAGATGTGAAATTAGACATTTTCACGTCGTAGCCGTGCAGTAACGGCAAAGAAATGTCCAAAAAAGCGTGATGCACGTGCAAAGTTGTTGTTTTGCCAATCTAAACCAATTGCTTTTTTGCCGTTCTCGTTAACGTCGCCGTCGCGTTGCTCAAGCTCCCTTATGACGCTGGTTCAGGCGCGCGCACTACTTGGTAATTGAAAAAATCTCGTCCTCATTGTCGACCTCGTCTAAGAATCTAAAGGTCTTTAGTACGTAGTCTGAGTCAATTTTGTCTGTTTTTTAGCAACTGCGTAGTTTCAAGTTGGAAGTGACCGTGGCTAGCTCTTATCACCCCAAGATAATTGGTCGAAAAGGGCAAGTCATCCAGAAAATCCGCGCGGATCATGCGGTTCAGATCCAGTTTCCTCCTGTTGACACGACCGAATCCGACGCTGATAAGATAGTGCTGACTGGGTACGAACACAACTGTGAGGCTGCCAAGGAAGCCATCTTGAAGATTGTTAAGGATCTGGTGCGTATCAGTGCAGTTTTAATTATTATTCTTTCTTTCATGCCACTAAAACTTGAGTTACTTGCCATTAACACAAAATCATGTGCATTGAAAGAAAACTATTCAATTTGACGTTGTAGGAGAGCGACCTGTTACATGTATGTAAAGTATTTTTTAATTAGCTGAACAGACCAAAAAGAGTAGAAAAATATTATCACTTAAAATCAAAGCCCATAATTATTTTCTGAAGCTTCTCAAATTGAACTGCGGGATCCATCTGATTTTCTAACGGGAAGTTCCGGTTTTCCCATGACGGTAAATGGAAAATACCCCTTGTCTCCGTTCCCTCGATTTTGTAGACGAATTGGGGAGGGTCGACAGGCTTTAGCGGAGGTAACTTTAGAAAACAACCGACATTTCTCGACGCAAAATGACGTCTTAAGAAACGAGCTCAGAAATTCCATACTGATGACGCGTCACTACCCAGATCTGGGTAGTGCTTTTGATTGGTCGTGCCGCTCTTGAAATTTACTTTAACCAATCAGAAGCACTACCCAGATCTGGGTAGTGTCGCGTCATCAGTATGGAATTTCTGCACTCGTTTCTCAGAAGTCATTTCGCGGGCAAACCAGTGGTGGCGTCGCGAAATGTCAGCTGTTTTTTCAGGCTACACTAGCCCCTTAAGTGCCAATAGTGACCAAAAACAATTTTCTCCGAATAATATCCATACATTGTCAAGAGATAAAGTTATGAGAATTAATAAAATGATCACCAAACGGGAAAAATGCCATGATCTTTTATCAAATTCTCTCAAGTAATTCTTAAGATAGACTGTTCACAGTCCTCTATTTTTCCGTAAGATCGTCGAGATCGAGCGCTTTGCGTTACGGGCTGCCATCTTAGATGAGTGTCAAAACTACTTAGAAGCTATAATCCCCGACACCACGCCCCCCCCTCGGTACATTTGAAAATCAAGATGTAGCCGTGACGGTAAGACGCGGTATATCTAAACGATCTCACGAAAAAATAGGGGACTGTGGACAGTGTATTCTTAAGAAAATCTATGGAGATCAGTTTGGAGAATTTGCATGTGGATATTGGGGCTTAAAGGGCTAGAAGAGATTTCGGTTTTGTGAAGGTTCCAGAACGTTGGTTCCGAATTCCATTTCTCTGACAAATGCGGTTTATTGCAGGAGGACCAAGTCAGCGTACCAGTGCCCATCGATCCGCGCGTGCACCGTCGCTTGATTGGAATGAAGGGACGCGCAATCCGCAAATTCATGGACACCTACAAAGTAGACATCCGGTTCCCGTCACTGAACACTTCAGATCCTGTCGTCATTTCCGGTCAAGCTGATAATGTGGAAGAAGCAAGAGATCAGCTTCTGTTATTGGAAGAAGAATATGTAAGAATTAAATTATTCAATATAATAATTACTTGTTTAACCCTTTCTTTCGTTGTTGTGGCCAATTTAAACGTTTTTATTAAAATCATAACAAATATATAGAATCGTGTAAAAGGTCTGCCGAAGAGATTTCATTTGAATAGTTACATCGTAGGATTTCGTCTACAGACTCGAATTTCAGAGCTGCGTACTATATAAATAGTACCACGGGGAAGTACTGCTGAAGAGGTTTCATTTGAATGGAAACACCATAGGATTTCATCCACAGACTCAAAAGATAGAACTACATGCTAAATAGATAGTAAGTACCATGGGAAAGTACCGCTGAAGAGGTTTCATTCGACTGGTAACAGTAGGATTTCATCCACAGACTTAAACGTCAGAACAGCGTACTAAATAAATAGTACCATGTGGATGTGCTAAAGAGGTTTCACTTTAATGATCACACCATGCGAATTCGTCCGCAAATTTTAAAGATAGAGTGAAAAATAATCTGGCCATAAACTGGTCTCGAAATGTAAGGGTAAAAATCAATACAACAGACTGTTTTCAAATCAACCTCTAGAGGGGAGTGAAAGAGAAGGGGGGAAGGGGGAGGCATGTGGTCAGGGAACGTTCTTTTGCTTCCTTTCACCCCTCCCTTCGGACCGATAGCTTGCCCGCAGGCAAGAGCGGTAGATTAAGTTTCAGTTACGAGAGTAATAAAAGGAAAGAAACAAAACCTCTAAAGTTTGGAGCAACAGGTTATCCGTGCTTTCTGATAAAGTTACTCTTATCATACCGAAGTAGTGTAGTCACGTAACCCTTGAACTCCCTAGAAAGACCAACATCATTGTTCTCCGGACAATTTTGATGTAAAATGCTTTGATCTTTTATCAAATTCTCTTCACTTATTCTTTAAGCAAGTGTATGAAGATCAGTGTGGAGAATTTGTTTGTTGATATTGGGTCATAGGGTTGACGACCTTTCAACACTCGACAACCTTCTTCGCTGTTTCTTGTAATGTGTAAATCACACTTTGTCCTTTTCTTTTGTCTTTCAGATGCAAGATGTTCGTGACGAGATCGAAGAGCACGATCTAGTGAGTCACTACATGAATCCGCCTAGCCGGCAGAGTAACCAGGTCGGCTTCGTTGTCCGGGACGCGCCTTGGGACAACGTCCAAAAGTCAGACGGGTTCAAGAAACAGCAACAGCAGCAGCAGGCACCTCCAAGTAAAGAGCAGCCGCTCCCCCCTGACACCAGCAACATCGGAGAGTTCCCTTGCATCGGCTCCGCTTCTGCAGCGCCACGCCCCACCGCTTGGGGACCTGCGCGGCGCTAGAAAGCTCCTGAGCAAAGTTATCCCCCAGTGAAACGAGAAGTCACCCAGTTAAAGTTTAGAAAAATAGGTTTTAATAGATTTTAAGCGTCCGTGCCACACACCGTAATGTGTGAGCGAGTGATTGTTGTGTTATTTAACTTGTGTCTGGGTTTTGACATGATGAAGGGCCCGTTGCGTGACCATTGTTACGTTTTCACTGACGTTTACGACTTGTCACGAAATGACCTTTATTCTGTCACGGGTCCGGGGCTGCCGTTTAGCTTTTCATTGGGTGGTCAATGGGTAATTGCAGGTTATATTTTCTCGCTTTAAACGTGACTTATGATTTACCTTCCAAATTAAATTATTTTTTCATCTGATTTTAGCGACCATCCTTTCCACAATCACACTACAATGTCCATTAAAAGAAAAAGGACATGAAAAAAAAAAGTAATAAAAGAAGAAGAAGAATCTAACGTAATATTTGATATCTTTATATTCCCTACCCCATTCAAAGAAAAAAACGAAATACAAAAAATTAGATGAAAATTAAAGAGCCAGTGCTTGAAAATTGTCATTCTGACCTAAGACTTGATGACAGGCAGAGACTTTATTTTACTTGGCTGTTCGCCGTTTTTTAATGGTGGATTTGTCAATAAAGTGTTTACACAGATTTTCAGTTGTGTATGTTCCTGTGTAGAGACTCTTATGAGGGATTCTCGGAGTGCATCCTGTTCACAGACCCTCTATTTTCTCTTCAAAGTCCGTCGAGCGTGTGTGATAAAATATAAACCGCAGGGGATTTATTGACCGCCAGCGCAAACGGGTAGGGGTGCTTTCTCGCGCTCGCCGATGTTTTCCAAAAGAACGAACAGAAACATTAAACAACGTCTTTGTACAGGCTAATCGGAGTGTGAGACGGGTGAATTAAGCAGGCCAGGAATAGAAACGGATATAATCTGTAAACAGCTTTCCCCCTCCTCTCAGGGAAAATTTGAAAAGAAGAAATTTCCAATTATTTCCTGAGGGGAGAGGGTAGAGGCTATACACCGCACTGATTTCTAGGGCCAGGCCACATCCACACTTGATGTCCTTCGTCACCAGTTGTCGCGCGACACATCACATCACATGTACCGTAAACAAAGCATTCTCTGTCAGGTCACGCAAAAAGCGTTGCGTGACCAGGCAATAATTAAGCCCTTGCCCTCAGTAGGTTCTGCATGCCCGGTAATGTGTCTCGGTCTTGGAGAAACTATTCGACGGTCACTTGAATGAAACTCTTCCTCTTTATCCCGGTGAACACTCGGACTGTGTAAAGGTTTAAAACGAGGGCGCAGTTTGTGTTCTATTGCATAAGCTTGAAAATATGGCTCATCTTCAGGATGGCAAATGGTCTTGGCTCGTCTGTTTATCAGCTACAATGTCATGGTTTGCAGCAATGGGCTTTGTGTTTAGCTTTGGAATCTTCTTTCCTGTATTCATGGATTATTTCAAAGAATCAAGGGAAAAAACAGGTATTGTACCATAGCCAAGTAATTTAAAAAAAATCCGAAAAATATTTGACGTTAGAAGTTAGAGCACCAGGCCGGATAGAGGTTTATCTGCCATGTAGAGTACGTTTGGAGATCAGATGCACCGTTTCCTTGACCAGAAACGCGTAGACTACCGGCTAAATGGATGATTCCAATAAAGCATTTGGAAAAACAAACTGTAAACACATCGAACTTAACCCATTCCCGCAAGTTGTGTTTAATAAGGTCACGGCTGATTAAGATAGCTAAAGGTGTCAAGTTCCAATAAAGTAAGGTAAAAAGGGTAATGATCAGAAAAATAAAAATAAAAAACAGATTACGGAGAAAAAGGGGTGAATGAAGGTTGACGTGATCCTTTGTTCCTCTGGGATTTTCCCTTTGAAAATTTCTCTGACTCTGATTGTTTTCCTCGGCCAAATAAACCGAGGTTTTAAAAAGGTTGCGTAAAGATATCAATCACTTTAATTTGGTTCGATTACCAGATGGGCAACTGTAACTAATCGATTATCTGGTTGACGAGAAAGGGTTAATTGAGCCTATTAATTTCCACTCTGATTTAACTCTCGACCTTGCGCTGGGGATCTTAATTACTTAATTCACTTCATTTTTATTATTTTTTTTCCCTGCAAGTGTGCGTGAATGATTGATTGATTTTTTTAAACTTTATTTAGACGACTTCGGAATGTCTTGTACGGTGTTTGATAAGGTTTTTCCAGGGGGTTTTAAAGACTACGCTAGTTTTGGCTTGTAACAGTGCGAGAGGAGCCAGAGGGTTTTGTTTTTGTCGTGAGGTATTTTGTTTTTGCCGTGAGGTTTTCGGTTTTGCCGTGAGGTATTTTGTTTTTGCCCTGAGGTTTTTGGTTTTGCCGTGACAGTTGTGGGTCACCGTAGGTCCACAAATTTTCGAATCAGAACTTTTCTCCTCACAAACACAGTGTTTGCAGTGTGGTGATACAATGAGCCTGGGTTAGCTGTGATTTTATCAATTTCTTAATTTCCTGTGCCCTATTTATAGTACGAATAGACTATAAGTCACGCGCTTAATTTGTGTATACACTCTTTTTTTTCTATAAGAATATATTTTATAAGAATATCAAGGCTGAAATTTGCGAAATCTTAAGAATACTTTAAGAATAAATTCCAGGCTGAGATTTTGAAAAGGATATAATTTCGTGTGGTGAAAATCTGTAAACACAATACAAATATACCTTTTCAATTTATTCCTTTCTTTAAACGGCAAAACTAGCTAACTATATTTAACAAACCTATTATTGATACCTTAATATATTCTAATTCGGAAATGTCATAAGCTATTATTAAGAATAATACAAGAATATTTACAGCCTAAAATCGGCGGAAAAATAAGAATATTCAGCCTGGCCCTGGAAAACAACATTCTTATAAAAAAAAAAGAGTGTATCCGACTGAGAGTGACCCCTAACCTTTCTATGTATCATCACGACATTCGGTTTAGTAGACAAAGAGATCAACAAAGTTCCACCTGTGATACACAGACCACGGCAAAACCAAAGACCTCACGACAAAAACAAATACTTCACAGCAAAAGCCAAATAACTCACGGCAAAAGCAAATACCCACGGCAAAACCAAAGCTATTTTGTTTTTGCTGTGAAGTATTTGGTTTTGCCGTGAGGTTTTTGGTTTTGCCGTGAGGTATTTTGTTTTTGCCGTGACGTTTTTGGTTTTGCCGTCCCGTGACAGTTGTGGGCCACCATAGTGGACTGATCCACCCTGCAGTCAATTGCTGCTGTGCTAACTTAACTGCCCACACGAAGTTTCAGGATTCCTCTGGTCTGATTTCCTGAAATTCCGTGCCAGAGCATTACACGATCGGAACTTCTCTCTGATTTAGGTTAACCTAAGCCGGATTTCATCAGCCTTGTTAGTCCTCTTTGTGTCGCAGGGAGGCCGGGGAGAGGCAAAAAGAAATCACGAGGGGGACGATGGGAAGAGGAAGTTCCCTCTTCCCATCGTACCTCGCGCGCTTAATGCTATTTTTTACTGGGATACCCAGGGGAAGTCTGTAAGGAAGAGAGAGCCAGCCTTTTGCGTTGGGCTTTCCCGTTTTCGCACGAACCTTTCTAACACCATTGCAAAGTAGAGGGCCCCTTGGCATATAGTATTTTATTTTTTAAAAAGAATTAACCACAATCTTGTTTTAGCGTAAGGGTGAAAAACTAATTTCACATTCAGTGTTTTATAGATCGTCAAAAACCGCCAAAATGTTGTTTTAGTAACACTGTCTGAAAAAAAAGAGCACACTGCAATCATGTCTTTTTTTTCGCGCGCTTGCAATTTTACTTAGTTTCACAGATTTTAGAATAATATAACAACTTCTTGTCCGACAACTATACCTTATAGGCATAATATTAAATGTTACAAGCAACAGAAATGAACTTTGAAACTGTCAGGCAGTTCGTACTGTTTGAATTCTGATAAATTTTGTGAACGGTCCTTTAAGTGTTCGGCTAGGTAATCCGGATAAACGTACGCGCGTTTTGTACCCTAAATCGCGACGATTCGCGCACGATGATTGGATTATAAGGACGAGGAATTCATCACGAAGTTACATATTACCATAGCTCGGTGTTCAGAATGAGCTGTCGAGTCCCTTTATACTGTTTAATAGGGACGCCTAGATATGGCTGATGATGCATCATGTGTGGCTTATTACTAGTTGTGTTTAAGCCGAAACTTCTATCTAAATGTAGCTTTTAACGTTACTGTTGTTGTTTCTCTTTAATGCAGCTTGGATAGGCTCTCTTGCCATAGCGCTTATCTTTTTTGCTGGACATTTGTCGGGAGCCCTGGTTAAGCGATTTGGCTGTCGCTTCACCACCTTGCTGGGGGGATTTCTCTGTACATTAAGCCTTGGCCTCTCCTCCCTGGCACAAAACATCCTCCATTTGTATCTAACCTACAGTGTTCTGTATGGCCTGGGAACTAGCTGTGCTTTTTCTTCGAGCCTCGTTATCATCAGCAAGTACTTCAAAGTGAGGCGTTCCTTGGCGCTTGGAATCGTTATGTTGGGGCAAGGCGGAGGGGTCCTTATATGGAGCCCTCTTTTGCAGAAAATGATAGACGAGTTTGGCTGGCGTACCACGTACCGAATAATGACCGGGGTAGTTCCAGTACTGTTCTTGTTTGGCATAACATACAGTCCTAACGTAGAAAGTGAAGAAGTAGATACAAGTCAAACGGCTGTGGAGGAGAAGAAAAAAGGTTGCCATATTGATGTATCTGTGTGGAAAGAGCCCAAGTTTGTGGCCGTTTGTATATCGGCATCAGTGATGATGTTTGGCCACTATGTGCCACAGATTCACTTGGTAAGCTTCATCGATAATGTTAAAGAATAATATATTGCTTCTCCCGAGCCTTAATGCGACTGAAACTATTTAATAACAATCGCCGCTATTTCGTTTACAATCATGTTTTTTCCGGGTGTCCTCGCTGGGTGCAGTGGATCCTTTACGCTGGAAATGTCCTGTCCGCTCTGTGATTGCCTGTTTTAATTGTGAGACACAGAAACTCAACTTCAACTTTTCAGTAACTGTCAAAGTCGCTTTTAATTGAACTTTGTGAAGTTTCCAAGTTTCACAGCAAACGTTTCTTTTGTTTGAGCATTTTTTTTCACCAGATAAAACAGAGGCTTTACAATGTAGAAAATGAAACCGCATGTAACCGTGCATTAGTGAATGCAACCGCAGTTAATGATTTGTCGCAAGCAGTATAAGAATATAAATTTTTCGTTGGTCAGTCAGTTTTCAAAGTACCTTTGACCTGGGTGTTCATTTTAAATTTGGAAATGACTTTCAGTCACGCGCAAATAGTTATTATTTTTTTCATGAATAGTTGTGCAGTCGGCCATTTTGAGGTTCTTGCGGGCGAGACTGGGTTCTATCAGATTGCACTATGGGATTGTTTTGGGGACGCTATCACTTCTGTCATTGGCTGTTACAGATTTGTCTGGGTCAAAATTCGTTGTCCATTACAGTCCCATAATGCAGTTCGACACATCTTGAACCCAGTCTCGCGCCAGCGACCTCAAAACTGTGGCCAATACGCTATTCATTTCTTTTTTTCTTGCCCCTTTGCTCAGTTAACATTTAGATTCATACCTTCATCAGGTGAGATATTGTGAAGACATAGATATCACAGCTGATGCCGCCTCCCGACTCTTCATCTACTATGGTTTGGCATCCTGCGTCGGCAGACTGATAACTGGTCGGCTTTGTGACTTCGAGAAAGTGAACACTTTCTACGTCTATCAAGCGGCCGAGCTTGTTGTGGGAATTGGAACCTTCTTAGTAACCTTGGCAACGTCGTACCTTCACATGGTTATCTTCATTGTGATTTACGGGCTCTGTGACGGTGCTTTCATCACTGCCCTGAATGTTCTTCTACTGAAAAGTGTCAGTCCAGAAAAAGTTCCCGTTGCTATCGGATGGGAGATGCAAATCAGTTCGTTTTTTCTGGCCAGCGGTCCTCCTATAGCAGGTACGTTGGTCCACCCCAAGCTATAAAAAGCTTGACGGAATATGACGGAACCCTCATAAAAAAAAACCCGGTCGAATGTTAATTCTTCCCAGTTAATAAAGCAAATGCACGGGATAAGACTAGGAAAATCACCCCCTTTACAACGAGCTTTTAGTTCCCTGGCATATATGTTCAATTGTCACTAGTGGCGGTTTCATATGTTTAAGCGACTGGGGTCCGGTTCATCCATACCCTTAGATAAGATGGAGTTGGAGGGAGCGGGGGATTGGTTGGTGGCCTCGTAAATTGTTCTTGTCCCTGTGGGCGCGGCTTATCCGGATGCACCCTGAACTTGGACCAAAGATAATTATTTATATTCGATTTGTAATCTGACAGAAAGATAACCTGCCTAGCTGGCGGGTATTTTTGGTGTGTTTTTTCTTTTGTTGTTCGATGAGTAAGAGATACAGCCGCGCGAAAGCTGAACCGAGTTCGAAACAGAAAACCATGTGGTGGGGGACAAGAGGGGAAAAACATTGAGAAAAACACTCACTGCCTTTTCCCCTTGCCCCTTAACATCGTTTTCTGTTTATACCTTAGGGCTTTCGTGCGGCTGTGTCCCTTACTGTACGAACCACAAAAGAAACAACATACTAAAAAACAACTGCCAGCTACCGCAGGCTAGAAGAAAGATAGTGAAAATATCTTCGTCTAAAAATTCCGTGTTTAGGCAACCTTGGGCCCCTCTATATAACAAAACCTTGGAGCTGCCAACAAGAGCGAGTGATTAATCAAGACGCCAACAAGCTGGAAACAACTTATAACAAGTAGATTGGTGTACAGTAAACTCTCTTTAACACCAACACTTTGGCACCGACACCAAGTGCTCGTCTAAGAGTGATGTCCATCTCATAGAGAGTCAAATAAAGGGATTAAACAAAGGAAAGGGCCAACTCTAGATGTCCTTTTTACCGGGGTGCTCATCTTTATAGAGGGGCCTGTTGAGAGACAGTCGACTGTTGTGTTATTGTGTGTTTAAAATTCCTGATGAAATTAAGGGGGGTTGTGAACCTTCCGTATTATCTTACTAACGTTTGACTGAATCAAACTTGTTGTCTCTGGCAGGTCTCATGGCGGATTCTTTAAACTCCTACACTTATGCGTTTTACATGGCGGGCGCGGTAGTGATCGCTGGAGCATGTATTCCATTTCTGTTGCTCTGCACCAAACCGGAGAGGATTCCTGAACATGACCCCTGGGCCACCCTGTACGATGCTGGTACTGAGGAGATAATTGAAGCCCCTGATTGGAGAAGATCCGTGGTTTATATGATCGAGGACAAAGCCACTTGAGTTTTCTGAACAGATACACTGCGATGCGAATTATAAGCCACCCTGTAAACAACGCCCCCTCCCCCCCTCCCCACTCCCCACTCCCCCACTCCCCACTCCCCACTCCCCACTCCCCACTCCCCACTCCCCACTCCCTACTCCCTGGGAACGACTCCCATTCGAAATTGACGGGGATACTAATCGCCTCATAGAAATTGCAGACTTTGATTTCTCTTGGCGTGTTTAAGATGAAAAGCCAACAATTTTACTCATTATGGTAACATAAGAAAAATACATTTTTTAAGTTTCGGTGGCGCCTTGATTGGTCCCAACAGAGAGGAGAAATGTGACGTCACGTTACCATGGTACCAAAATTTCTAGATCACAACAACAGAGAGCTTAAGCAACGACGATGGCCACGGCAACGAGAATGGCAAAAAAGCATTAGGTTTAGATCAGCAAAACAGCAATTTTGCACGTGCATCTGGCTTTTTTGTACATTTCTTAGCCTTCGTTGCACGACTGCGATATAAAAATTTCTAATTTCACGCGCCCGCCTTATGGAGTAGATGAACACAAAACAACATTTTCTTGTTCTTTTCCTAAACTTAAAAATACGGTCCTTTCGGGTACAACCCCAGAAAATTTGACCAACATTTTTTGACGAATTAAATGAAATTGAATAAGATCGATGATTTTGAAACAGTGTGAATTCACTCATGAAGTAACGTTTTTGGTTTGTTGTCATCCAGAAATTTTACTACAATGGCAACGTGACGTAACGACTTTTCCTCTCTATTAGGGGAATTAGTGCATCCTAGTCTTTTTCATATGGTGGTCTCCGGCAACGTTTTGATAAGGTTGTTCAAACTTTAGATAGTGCCATCCACCGGATACATCGATCACCACATGTCCGTGTGCGGATAAATAGAGCGTTGTCTACCTTTCAGAAGCGCTGGGGCCTGACACAAATAGAGGATACCATAAAGTTCCGAAAGTAACGATCACACCCTTCGTTCTTTCTGATTTAGCAGCCTTTTCATATCGATGCTCTCCGGAGGTCGCTACTTTCGGGTAGCTGAAAAGTGTACCGTACATGGGCCTTACGAAGTTACGGTAATAACCAGGCTCAAAAAGTGTGAAATCATATCATCTGCCCTTTTATTTGTTGAAACTTATTTTTTCATGTTACTAAATTATTTGATTACGGTATGTGTATTTCAGGAGTATTTACTGACGAAGGGAAGGAAAAAAATGTACTATAACTTTAGAGTTACATCAAGGAATGTTAAAGATGGCCGTTAAAAATAAACCTTGGATTAGTTTGATGGTGCGCCTTGTTGTATATAAAATTATCACCCTCTGCTCCGACTTAAAGAATCCCCCTTCCCACAGTCTCCCTAAACTGAAATTGTTAAATTGAAAGTTCACAAATGGAATCGGAATCAAAAGTATTGATGTTGAAAACTAGTCAAAGAATTCCTTCAGTGCATTTCGGACTTCCTTGTTTGTTGAGCGAAATATTTAGGGAAAAAATTTCCAATCGGAAGCTGAATCTAAAAATAATTTCCCCACCCCGTGGTGAACCCCTTTTGCTAAGAAACATTAATGATAAACATCCGGCTTCTATCAAGTTTCTCTTCACATGTCTGAACGTGTATTTAAAAAAAAACAGGAGGTCGTTGAAGCAAGTCGATCTCCTAGGGAACGAGAAGGCTGCCAAGTTGTGCCATATTGCGTTATGCTAACGTGTGCCTTGATGGTAAAACACTTCTGAATCATTAGCGAGATCGCTACTTTGAGAGCACCTTGATCGATTGCTTGTGTGAGAGCTTGGTGAAGGTAGGTGTTTCTAGTTTGTGTAGCTGGCGAGAACAGAGTGGGTTACGGTGCACTGAGAAGGATCTCAAATTTGACTCGTCCCTGTTCTTCAGTCTCTCAGCTTTACAGCCGAACCGAAAAATATTGAACCATTGACGGCGAGGAGACAAAGAAAATGTCAGTGAAATGTTGCGCTTTGCGCTATAAGTGCCCCTAAGGTTTTTATTTGAATATGTAGGCCTTTCTTTCACAGCGTTTTTGTTCCTCGTCATACTAAAAAACCAACACAAATATTTGATGTTCGCTTTAAGACCGACGCCGCCGAAATATTGCGTGATTTGACTGTACATGTTAAAAATTAATATATCTGCTTGCGTAATGTAGCGTTTTATAGGGTTATGGGAAAAAAAACAGGAAAAATATCGACTTATCTTAGCTTATCGAGAAGAACAGAATTGAAATAAGCTTACTTTTGCAATATTGTCATGTGTGTTCCTGTGTGAAGGTCTTAGACTGTTCACAGTCCCCTATTTTTCCGTAAGATCATCGAGATCGAGCGCTTTGCGGTTTTACGCATGAGTGTCAAAACTGCTGAGGGGGCGGGGGCGGTTTTGGAGGAAGCGAGAAAAAATAGCCCCTCACCCCCCCGAGCTATAATCCCCGACGCCCGCCTCTCTCGGTACCGTCACGGGTATCTTGATTTTCATCTGTAAGACGCGGTATATCTAAACGATCTCAAGAAAAAATAGGGGACTGTGAACAGTCTATGAACATGCAGGTCTAGACAGGATAGCAAACCCGGCCCAGCCAAAACGCTTCAAAATAACACAGGAACACAAAATACAGCAAAAAGAGGTTTATTTTAATACTTAGCTACATGAGAAGCTTAGTTAAGGTGATATTTTCTCAATTTATCGGTGATATATATATATATATATATATATTTTATTTTTCTCATATAATCCCTAGAGAACGCTACGCTACGTTACGCAGTATTAGCAGATGTTTTAATTTTTAAGGTATCATCCAGGGTAAAAAATCATCATTTTTCGAAATTTGCAGTTTTAGATGATTAAATAGAACTCATCCAGAGCTCTCTTTTTAAAAAAAATTCCAGGAAAAAATGTTTTTTCTGTGCAGACTTATGGAGCGTAAAGGTTTTTACTATGCTAATTGTTTTAATTGATCCTTGACAAGTCCTGTCATACTTGGTAAGCATGCTGCTGTTTAATCAAGCTAATCACGTAATTTGACAGAAATCGTGGTCTCTGCAAGTAAAGTGCTCACTGTTTTTCCCTGGATTTTGGAAGTGAATGCCTCCAAAGAAGAAAAAAAAAGCTTGTCCGCTTTCGTCCTCGACTCCAAGACGAAAGAAGACGACAAAATCGTTTGCGAAGAGTGGGCTTCGAAATTTGCAGAGAGCGACAAGCGGCTCCTACTACAATCAAGAGAAATGGCTAAAAGATGACAAAGCTTCTGAAAAACCCATTAAAACTACCGCCGAATCGAGTTTCACGACCCTAGCGAGCGGAGCGAGCAGTTTTTTAGGCCGCGAGCGGCAAAGCGAGTGACGTAGTCGCGAGAGTTCCCGGGCCATATAAAAATAGGACGAAGGACTTTTTTGAAAGTATATTGTAACGGAAGGGAAGCTTCAAGAAAAACTCCAGGAAGCGGTATGTTGTCGATTTTGCCAAGGAGGTATCGAACTTTTAGAAAATGTATCGAGTAAAAGTGGACTTGGCTCGACTTGGCTTGTTCGGTGCGAAAATGAAAACTGCCTGTCGCAAATAACTAAAGATGCTTTCTCGACAACAGTAAGGATCGAACGGAGCAGAGCTTTTGAAATAAATAATTGTTCATCTGTTGTCTAGACTGCAAAACAGTCCGTAGTTTTGGTATACAAGTACGCGCGAGTAGTCAAACAAAAGGTCTGGAACGAGGCTGAAAACAGAGAGCGAGACTGGGGAGAGACGTTTGTGAGGCTCGCGCGCTTCGCGCGCGTAAGACTCTTACGCCACGCTTTACCGATTTCTTTACTGATCTTGAGAAAAAGACTAGCCTGTGTACAGACGTCCCCCCTCCCTCAGAAAAAAAATCGGTGGAAGATTCTCTTTTCCTTCGATTTTTTCTGAGGGAGAGGGGATGTCTGTACACAGGCTAGAAAAAAACCGACTGTTTTGCAGTCTAATCTGTCGTCGGGTTTCGTTTGTGACCTTTTCCTGCTATTTCACTATTGTTGTCCTTTCTCTGGTATGCATCAACATTGACAGCTTTGGTGTTATAATCTGTTATAATCTCGTCACGGGTAATACGCCGTCAAAAATCTTTTCCCCCTGTTTTCTCGAAATGAAAATCAAGGCAAGTTGAGGATACGTTTTAAACTCCAAGTCGGCAACCCGTCAACCACTTTGGCTGCAATTTGGCCAACTTACTGTCAGATATTTTTTCTAAAAAACCATGTCTGCAAATTTTGATCTCTTTTTTCGTTTTCGAGTTAGAGTATTTTTTCACAGGTAGGGCTAATGATTTGCTATCCCTAACTTCAATAGTTTGCTACACAGCCGTTTTTAGTGTCGTCACGCAACGCTCCTCCCGTTGCGTGACGACACTAAGAACGGCTGTGTACAGTGTGTAGCAGACTATAACTTCAACTGCTTGTGACAAAAGAACAAACGCACTTGACGAAAATCTGAGACACCAATTTTTAGTCAAACGTGTTAAGAAGCGAATGCAATCTTAATTGGCTTCTTCCGTTTATTTTTGGCTGGCCTGGACTTAAATTTACAGTGACACCCACTTTCACCAGGCACTTTCACAAAAAATTTCCCATTTCTGAATCTCGTTAATAGTTTTAAATAAAAAAGGAATAAGCAATAATCTGGAACTATTATGCTTGCAGAAAATGTACGGTTTATGGGGGTATTTATTAAAAGAAAAAGCGCTAGCGCCGATCAAGGCGAGGAGGGTACTTGAGGGTGGATGATACGTTAACACGCGCTGACATATTGAGTTTGGGAGGCCTGTGTTTCAAGAAGAGAAAGTTCTGCTTTTCCTGCAGTTTCGTTCCATTTATCCATTCTTGCGCCCCAAGTGCTTTTGAGCACTGTACTCAGAAAAGCTGTGTTCTGTATGCAGAAAAATGTTTAGTCATGGTCATGTGATCTGACCCTGAATGGAATATCCCTGAGCTGAAGGGGATTTAAAAATGTTTTGATACAAATATCACAAATATACAGGACATTTTTTTAAGGGCCAACTTGTTTGCCTTCTTTCTTTTTTCGTTCTTTTCTCGGTGATGCAGGGCAACGCTTTTCTAAAACTGCATGCACCATTTTTCTAGACGAACTGCCTTTGTTAGGATGTCTAGGATCTTCTTTCGTTTGCGTATTGTGTTTATTGTCACCGGCACCGATGACCATCACATGCAAATGATTAACTTCATTTTTGTCAACTATTGCAGTTACCTACTGTCTGCAATCACAGCTATTACTACTCTTCTGCTACTTCGGTGCAGCTAGCTTGAAATTCTTCCATTCTGAATTTGCACGTTTTTTCTTAGGAGTTTTAGTGACTCGAGCAGGCGTTGATTGTTGCTGGAGGGTTGGAAAAGTAGCAAAAACATAGAAGAAAAGATCAAGAAGGACTGGCTTGGTTCGTGCATGTCAGTACGACGTTTACCTTTATAATACCGCATGGCGTCTTCACACATTCAGGATGGGAAATGGTCTTGGCTCGTTTGTTTATCAGCTACAATGTCATGGTTTGCAGCCATGGGGATTGTGTTTAGTTTTGGGATCTTCTTTCCCGTATTCATGGACTATTTTCAGGAATCGAGACAGAAGACAGGTATGAATTTATTCACACTGACCTGACCCAGGAGATTATGTTACTCCTAGGGACCTCCTTACCACTCCCCTGAGTGAGAGCAGAGGGAGGGGGGGTGTTAGATTCGCTTTGGTTTAGGCTTTTTTTCCATGCTTACCGTTTGTGATCAAAATTAAAGAGAAGAGTAAATTTCTTCCATTTATCGATTCCTCCACCCTTAACTCATGTGCTTAGTGTTCAGAAAAAGTTGTGCGGGCAAAATATATGTTGAGTCATGATTATGTGAGCTGGCCCTGGGACATATTATTTTTTTAAATTTCATAGCAGTGTCTAATTAAAAAAGATAGGTTACAGGAAACCCTTTAAAAAGTTGAAAATAACAGATGGAAATAGGTAAATGATGAGGATTAGAGCCTTATGGTCTCAGTTCTTTTTCTTTTTTGCTCATTTTTTCCAACTTACTATTGCAATCGAAATTGTGGAGAGAAGAGTAAATATCAGCTTAGATTAGTTTGTTAAAAGCCACAAGAATACAACTTGACAACTAATTATTTTGGTTACGTTTCTTCTTGACCCTTCGCATTACATTAAAAAACAACACACTGTAGCCTTTACCAGGCTCTCACATAGTGTACGTATGGACGACGCGAAATAAAAACAAGCCAAGTGAAATATGACGCCCGCGACCAGGGAAACAAGGGAAATGCAGCGGTCGTAAGGAAAAAATCTCTCCCCTGCCCCAACGCGTTTTTCGCGTTACTAGAGAGTTTAAGCAGCGACTTTTTTGAGCGACACACATCAACCGGAAGTGGACTTTTTGCACACTTGAGCTGTGATTTGGAACAAATTTTTTAGGGCAAGTCGTCTCTATAAGAGTCATGACACTTAGCCATACAAATTTGGTGGCGTCAAGACATGTTAAAAAAAGAAAAAAGTTCACTTCCGGTCGACGTACGTCGCTCAAAAACGTTGCTGCTTAAGCTCCCTAATACATCGGGCGAGATCAGATGCCGCCATCGCGCGAGGAATGGCCGAACTCAGACAATCTGAGCCTGCTAGCCTGTGTAGCAGACGCCGGTTTGATTTTTAAAGCGAAGGAAGAAACCCCGCACGACTTTTAAGAAAATAACTGGCGCCAGCTACGCAGGCTAGAGCCTGCTCACAGACAAGCCTGGAACAGTCTAAGTACACGGTCACTTAAACATCCATTTTGACTGCTTTTTTTTATTTTGTAGCTTGGGTTGGCTCGCTTGCCATTGCCCTGATCTTTTTCTCCGGTCACCTGTCCGGAGCCTTGGTTAAGCGGTTTGGCTGTCGCTTCACCACCCTACTGGGAGGATTTCTCTGTACGTTAAGCCTTGGCCTCTCCTCCCTGGCTCAAAACATCCTCCATTTGTATCTAACCTACAGTGTTCTTTTTGGCCTGGGAACTGGCTTTGTGTTTTCCGCGAGCCTCGTTGTCATCAGCAAGTACTTCAAAGTGAGGCGGTCCTTGGCACTTGGGATCGTTATGTTGGGGCAAGGCGGAGGAGTCCTTATATGGAGCCCTCTGTTGCAGAAAATGGTCGACGAGTTAGGTTGGCGTACCACATACCGAATATTGTGCGGCGTGGTGCCGGTACTGTTTGCTTTTGGATTAACTTACAGTCCTAATATAGAGAGTGAAGATAAAGAGGCAAAGGAAGTGAAAGTCGAGAGAAACGAGAAAGGCTGTCACATAGATGTATCGATGTGGAAAGAACCAAAGTTTTTGGTTATTTGCATATCGGCATCATTCATAATGTTTGGCCATTACGCACCCCAAATTCATTTGGTGAGTGGCATTTAATGATCAATTGAGGCGATGAAAGTTGTTGTGCTATACATGCTACACTGATGCTCCTGTCGGTTTTTTAATGGACTGTGTTCTGTCCAGTGCCAGCTCGAAGCTTTTTGGTGTTGAGATGTTGGGATCACCTAATGACTTATTGCAAGGGTCCTGAAAAGAACCCTCGCAGTGAAAACACAACAGTTACCCATTAGAGAGAGTTTCCGCAACTTTACAAAACATTTCATTATGTGTCGTTTTCCAGGCTTGTGTATATGGTTGTCTAATGTATTTCACATGATTTTTGTTATCACGAAGATTATAAATTTTGGACGCTTAAGTTTTTTTAAAATAAGAACAAATTGGCGTTTGATCACGAATTGAGAGCTTGTTTACGGCTTAACCTGAAGCTACGTGGTCAAAATTCTTCATTCCTCTGGCATTCTGGGTCAAAAAGTTGCCCCTCACAAATTACGTTTGTGGCTAAGCGTCCCATTTTGATGTGAAATTACATTGAGATGCAAGTTAAAACCGTTCGCACAGAATATTATATGCAAGGGATATCGAGAAAGCACTATGCCTCAAGACATGTCTTTACTTTCCGCCCTCTTTCTGACCAGGGTCGCTGCAGGGGAAATACTTTGGACGAATAATAGAGCCATCAGTGCACATTGGAAACATCAGCGAGCACAGAGAGTCGAGCGTGGGAGTATCGAGGGCCCGAGAAAGGGCGGCGGTTCGCCTGTTTTTCATTTTTGTCTTTTTTGCGCTCACCTGTCATTAGCCATCTTATGAGGAGCCTGGCCCCAGGCTTATTGAGAACTGTTTTTCTCTGGCGCAGCGCAAACATCGTCAACCCTCTTAAGTTAAAGTTGCCCTTTTCTTTCGTCAAATATACACTGATTGTCTTGCTTTCCTCTAGGTACGATACTGTGAAGATATTGGTATCAATGCCGATGCAGCTTCTCGACTGTTCATCTATTATGGTCTGGCATCCTGCCTCGGAAGAGTAGTATCTGGCCGGCTTTGTGACATCGAAAAGGTGAACAACTTTTATGTGTATCAATTGGCCGAGGTGGTCGTGGGAACTGGGACCTTGGTCATATCCATGGCAACATCATACATGGACATGGTTATTTACATTGTGATCTACGGGTTCTGTGATGGCGCCTTTATAACAGCCCTCAACGTGCTCATCCTTAATTGTGTCAGCCCAGAAAAGACTCCTGCAGCGCTAGGCTGGGAGATGCAGGTGACTTCGTTATTTACGGCCAGCGGACCTCCAATAGCAGGTATTGCAAGAGGCCATTCCGAGTTGCCCAAAGCCTCAGTTTTAAAGCGAGGCTAAGTGTGCAGCTTTTAGTGTGAGAATGAGTTTTTATTCTTATGCAAATAAAACTCATTTTCGCAAGAAAGATTGTGCCCTCGTTTTGAAAATGCAAGGTTTTGGGTCTCGGAAATGGCCTATTGGTTGGCTGTCGAGGTTGCATTTGTGTCTCACTCTATCTTGAAGCAGATTGGAGAGCCCCTTGGAAAGATAAAAGCAGTGCACTCCCCCTCCCCTCCCCCACTGGGTAGCAAAACCCATAGCAGTGTTATCGAAGGAATTGAAGATGGCAGTCATTGATAACAGCGCTTTAAAACAATACTTACACGAAGCGCAATACAACACGTGCATACGGGGAACTCTGAGCTCAGTCAGTCTTACGCAAAGAAACGTCAATGTTATACCCAGAGTCTGCAGCTTGTTATGTCCATTGGCTTTCGCAGGAAGTTCTATTTACAACCTTCAGGACATAGTTTCCTGAGCACCAGTCGTCACGAGAATTCCCCAGTTTGCTGCCTTCTTAACAAGTACAGAAGTTTGGAGCTCAGTTTAACTTGTGACAATTAAAAATTAATTGAAAATTTGAAAATAAAACGTTAAAGTTTTGCTTCTTGTCCTTCCTTAAACGACGCCATTAGAAGCCAACTTCCAAGGGCGCGCTCAGCACTAACTGGCGATACGTTTCTTAATAAGGAATGCGCTCACTCATACACCTATGAATCCAACCGATAGACTAATTATCACTTATCTTTCAATTTCAGGTCTTGTGGCTGACTCTTTGAACTCATACACTCATGCGTTTCAGATGGCTGGTGCTGTGGTGTTTGTGGGCGCATGTATTCCATTTGTATTGCTCTGCATCAAGGATAGAGATCCTAAGAAGAAAGCCGCTGTGCAGATCATTGAGCTCTAGAAGGGAAAGAAACGGAGATGTAGCCCGTTTTCATTGTCATTATGGTATGCAGATAACGACTGATCAAAAACGAAAAATACTTTTTTCTCTTAGATGACAAACAGCTAACGAAAGTTACCTGTGTAAGGAATAACAGTCGAGATTTCTTTCATCTCTCATGCTGTGAAGGCCGGGTCTAAAGTACAGGTGACACTCCACAGGTCAAGAGTACAGATCACTGCTCCATCGATAAACTACCAAACCGCAAAGATTCCCCTCGATCTAATGGAGCATTTTGTTAAGAGATTAGGGCTAGGAGATACTTTTAATGCTATTCATTTATTCGTTTCATGGTGTCCTGTACTCTGACCTGTGGAAAAGTGACTTGTATTTTAGACCCTCCGCCTGTCTCGGTCAATACTGATTTTTCTTAATTTCTTGCTTCATCGGCTGTTTTCTTTTAGAAAGACTACATGACATTGCTTTCATTCATCAGTCCTTACCTGCATGCAAAGGTGGTAAGGCTTATTACTTCGGTCAATCACAGTATCGTATGAATTCAAAATACTAATAACCAATCAGGTCGAACAAATGTGTGTAGACGCAGTTAAGCGCGGGAAAACGGGTAAGAGCAAGTCGTACTTAGTTGATTTTGGTTTTCTGATTGGTCGAGAATGTAAGGCTGTTTTACTCAGCCAATCAGAGCGAAGCAATGGTAAACAAAGGAATGATTAAATTATTTTGGAAAGTCAATTGAAATCTGCTTACACTTAACTCTTTCTTACCAGGCATTTCTATACTACGTACACCTCTCTAAGGCAATCATCTAGAACTAGTGGTCCCCGCCTTTCTTTAGTCATTCTGTTCTTTGACTTTGTATAAGGCGGGCACCTCCTAAAGACGCACACGTGGTGCAAGTCCAAACTTAGTGCTACGACATCTTGTAGAGAGTTGATTGTACAGCTAGACGACCTAATTCCTGATACCTTAAAGATTTCCAAACTGGTTTTCTGAAACTTCAGGTAATAGTTTTTTTCTGGGAAAAAAAGAGCATGTGTAAATGGAGAAGCTCTGATTAAGACTATTTTGGTAAACTATAATATAGTTTTGAACGAATAGGCGGAATTAACTAGCCTGCGAGCAAGATCTTTGGGGAGCCTGGGAATGAGAAAGATTGTTCGCAGGCTACAATGGAGGTCAAAAGTGTTGGGACCTTTCCAGTGATGTTAATAAAACTGGCGACCCCTCCCCTCCCACTCCAAACAAATTTGATTTTGAAGCAAAATAAGGTGTAAATGAGTGCTTTTTGGCCACAACATTGCTGATGGGGATGGGGGGTGGGAGAGGGGGGACGACTGGATGAACCCAAAGCCGAACAAAAAATTGTCGTTAGGAGCAGAGTCTTATGTAACAATTACTTGGAAAGGCTTTTTGACACAGTTCCAACTTCTTTTGTCCACCATTGTAGAATTGACACATTATTTAGAATGGAGATTCGTGATCAAAGTAGTATAATCAGTGAATAATTTGTCTTACTTCTCAGATGAAAATATCTCGGAACATTTTTTAGACTTTTTCTTTGCAAAAATTCATGTAATTGCAATTCAAATTTTTATATTTTTTGTGATAAAAGTTTTTAAAGGAAATCAAGGACAAAATACTGCCTAATGTTTTATAATGTTATTAAAATTATTATCAAATTCAGATCCCTAAAATTACATATGAATTTTAGATGTATCTAACAAAAATGTTTTTTTTTTAAAAAAACGTACGATTGCCAAATGCCACATTATGATAAAGTGAGATTATTAAATAATTAAATTAATTCTAGGAATCTAGTAGCCTGAATTTCAGACGATTACTTCGAGTTGTTTTTACTCCCTCAGGAGACGTTACTGAGGGAGTAAAAACGAATCAAAGTCATCGTCTGAAATTCAGGCCAGGAATCTAGACATAATTATAGGTACCACGCTAAACAGTTAATAAAGTCTATTTTTAAAAAGCTTCTTTGACGTTTTATTGACGATTCAGTATATTTTTAGAGTACCTTAGAATTAAGGATTTAACCTCAAAATTTTTAGTGCACTGCGCAAGAGCGGCGCAAAGCAACTTCCCCCCGTTACAGAAACCGCTACGAAATCACTGTTTTTATGTGTGAACAGAAACCCTAGCCGATATGTCGACGAAAGAGCCATCCAACCTCGTCGTCGGGGTCTTCTCGTTTTTTAATATGGCGGCTGCATGAGAGAAGATCCTCTCTCCTGCCCCCATATTGGACGAGATTGAGAGCTATCTGATATAGAGCGTTTTTACTCACGTGGCCAGCACCTGTGCAAATTTTTTGAAACAAATTAACGAACGTTTTTACATAAGAAAAGAGTTCAACTCCCACAGGATTAGTTTGGAACACCAACATGGCCGTCGTTTCATTGTTTTGGAACACCAATATTGCCGCCGTGACGTAATGTGAAAACACTCTATAGTGTAGACACAGCCTCAGTCCTTGAAGGAAAATTAGAAAAGAAAATTAGTTTGTATTTTGGTCTTGTCGTGTTCATAATCATCTAAGGGTGCGCGCGCTGTGTTAAATCAATTAATTATGACTGGACAATACGCTCAATAAGGCTCGGGATCATCGTTCGACCAAACATGAAGCATGGATATTACATCAACACCTTTTTGTTCCTTGTTTTCATGCTTATCACAGTGAACCAAGCTAAGGCTGAATGTAAGTTTTGCTTTTTGCGTATTTCTTTTTTTTTCCGTTGAGAATCTTTGCATTTGTGAGAACTGGAAAAAAGAAAAGAATGAAACATCTTCAGAGTGTGAATGGAAAGGCCAGGGAATGCAAGCGGTCAATTAAAAATTTGATGCGTCCGTTGTAGTTAATTTTTTTATCTCAGCTGATTTTTGTTTGTTTTTTTTTCTTGAGGGGGGGGGATGGTAGTGAGTGCCAATGAATTCTAAACAAGAAAAAAAATAAAAATTACCTGGAAAAAACACACATCTTTAATGAGATAAGCCGATTCTTAATTTAATCCTTTCACAGTTGTAGGCTTAACAGAAACAATGTTATTCCTCCCTAAAAATCCTAATATTTCGAAAGTTAAGCAAGGCCTATGCGCTAGCTATGGTCATTTTTCGGGCTTGGACCATGCACTTGTGGTGTACGTTTGTAATATTTCTTATATTTCCAGACTGTGGTTATAAACTTGTTCGATACCTTCCTGACTCGAGCGTAACCTCTTCCAGTGTGCACAAATCTTATGAGACTCATCATGGAAAGCTAGACAAGAATCCTGATGGCTGGGTACCAGACGGAAGAGATTCACACCCATATCTTCAATTCGATTTAGGAAAGCTATTTCTTATTTGCGGGTTTGAGGTGAAAGGCTGCGCGCTTAATGATAAAGGGCGTAAATACCCGCTTTACGTGACAAGGTACAGAGTGCAGGTATCGCCTGAAATCGACTTCTGGGATTCATGGAATTATATCAAGGTAAGCTGGCTTAGTATAACTAACGACTTACTGTTCAATCATATTTACTGAACCCCTAGAACAGACTGGCAACTCCTTTGGATTCAGACAGTTTATTTCATTCATGCCGCTGCACATACTGATATTGATTGTTATAACCTGACATACATAAAAACTACGTACCTTTACCTGGCCCATAGAAACCAAGAAGGACACATAAATTACAAAAATCATTCTTGTCTATATGGAGAGGGTGGGTCGGCAAAGTAAACTTTAAGCTGCTTGCATAACAAGATATTCTAAACCAGGAGCCCATAACCTGTCTTAACTGAGATGATACTTGTCTTGTAAACGGGGTAGATGGGACTTCAGTGCTGTCATTGCGGTAACTACACCCTTCCTGGAAGTATGCAGTTGCCATCTTCCAACTTAGGTCATTCGTTCAAATATCTAGACTTATATTAATCGAGATTAATATCCACATAAAGAGCTATGGTTGTGACGCCCGTCAGAGCTTTTTTGTATGTTTTTTTTAGGTTTTTTTGACTTGACCGTTAATATCACAGAGGTTTAGTAACTTTTCTACGATTGAGCCCGATTAGATAGCTCCCAACATAAATTTACTCCTTTGGAGAGGGGATGGGACAGATGTGGTGCATTAGTAGGGAGCTAAAGCAAAGACGACGGCGACGGAAGTGAAAACGTCGCTAAAAAAATGAATTTGCGTTCTTTTAAACCTAATCGCGTCTATTTGGACCCCCTCAAAATGTCAAATGCAGGCGACTTTTCCTGGAGTTGGATTCTTAAGGACTTTATACAGGTTAAAAAAGAGAAAGGAGAATTCGTTGTCGTTTGTCAAGTCAAATTAGGAGGTTTCACGTCGTAGTCGTCGCACAGTGGATGTCAAAGAAATGTACTAAACAGCGTGATGCACGTGCAGAGCTGATGATTTAATCATTAAACCTATTGTTTTTTTGAAGTTGTCGTTTCTGGTCGTCGTCGTAGTTGCTTGATATAAGTTCCCCTAGTAATAGGCTCTCCTAAGGAGGGGAGGGGGAGGGGGTGAGTGTACATTATGTCCCTTGTCTCAATTTCAGAAGTGGTAGACTACGAGTATTCCCCATTTTTCCTCAGGGATAGTAGAGCAAACGAAACGCAAGCGCGCGTGAAAGTCACCTCACGCGAGAAAGGCGAGACGCGTCGGGGAGAGAGAAGAATGAGGGACTGCTCTTACTCTACAAAAGTGGTAGTTTCACGTATTGAAGAGGAGGCTATATCGCTGTCAATACTGATTTTACTATTGTCGAGTTTGTGGTTGACTTCGTCACTGTTTCAGCTCCAACCCATCTTCATTTCAGTTTGTCCCCATTTCATGTCTTATGTCGCTGTTTTAAGGCCATGTCGTTTGTCGCAATTTAACCCTAACAGGGCCTCTATAGGAAGGACAATCGCCTTCTACCCCAACAGGCCGGGTTCGAATCCCGGAAGTGAAGCAAAACATGGGAACATGAGTTCGCTCTTAGTTGACATCGTTGTTGTAAGGACTTGCCTACTTCCCTCTCATTCGTAAAATAATATTAATAATTCTCATTTCTGCTTGATATGTTTTGTCAACAGCCAGAATTCTACGGAAGTACATCATTTGGTGATAAAGCCTACAGCGTGGCTAAAGAAAGAAAAGTTGGTAGATATGTGAGAATTTTTCCTGTGGCTTATGAAACTCCTTCTCTTGTTAAATTCAAGGGCTGCTTGAAAGCGGAAGTCTATGGAATTCCTTACCTTCGTAAGTGACTTTAGCGACTTTTTGATGTCGGCGGTTCGTTCAGTGCATGGATTTCTTGTCAACACGTGTTGACACAAAAGAACATTTGTTTCAGTTTTCAAATCAATTTTAGACTCACACACTTTTGCTTAAGTCCACTTTTGTGTTCCGTAATTTAAGAACAACCGAAGTCAAATTTATTTGACTTATCTCTTGTTTTTCCTGACCGTTTTCCACCACCATTTTTTTCCTTAGTTTCTTAGTTTGTAAGGCTGTTCCCAACTCACGTGCTTAGGACGCTTAGCGCCCGCGCCTGAAAACGAAAAGAATGCTCGGTTACCTAGACCTTAAAAATGAACTGAAGTTGGCGGAAAAGTTTGAATCAACGGAGCGTTGTTCAGGCTTTTCGGCAAGAGGCACATGTAGAAAAACGACCAGGAAAGACAAAAGACTACGTCAACGTAAGTAACACGACTTTCTCTGAGATAGATTTAATGTTTATTTAGTGGAAACCCATTTTAACTGCAGCTACTGTAGCTCATAGTTTCAGAGCAAAGCTTTCATTTAAAACTAACTAGGCCTGTTTTAAAAATACCGGCTTGAATCTAATACGATAAACCATCACACAAACATTAATTTGACAGATAGCACTAGCTTTAAAGTTGGAATATGAGACAGCTGGAGTTACCTTTAGTCCTCCAAGTAGCCCATCTTTGTGTTGTAGACTAGAGTTAGCTGTACTCCAGACAAACCAACTCACCCAATCAAAAATGAACCAAACAGTACCTATTTTCCTGCAGACAAGTTTGTAACAGCATGGACAGTTCAAGGGGTGGTCCCTTTCTCTGTGAAATTTTGCATCATTTTTAAAGAATTTCTCTGTAAATGCAACACTGGCAAGTGTCCAGTGCCCTATCGCCCCACCCCCTTCTGAAATTTCTGAGTATACCACTTAGCAGTACACATACAGGCTAATGTGTCCTCTGACAATCAACACATATTTGAAGAGCAGTGTGGCCTGGAAGAAAGGGTCTGAGTAACTTGGATAACTTGGGTAGCTAGTTTTGGCAGCGCTGGCTAGGGCCTGAGAGTCTTTTGATTCCTGAAGGTAACCCAGTACTCAAAACCATGGAGAACTCAAAACCGCCCAATGCTGACGAGTACCTAGTTCCCATGATTATTTTAGTTTCTTTACAATGAATGACAGGGAACTATATGTTCTGGTAAAAATATGCAGTGAGACAAACTGCAGGGTGCTTACCACTTACATGGGAAATCTGGATAATTTTGGTTGGAAAATCAAAATTAATGGTTTTTGTCATTCAATTTGGGAAGCAAGTCAGTAAATATGGGTTGTGATTGGAGTCAATGCAAAGCAATGCTGATTTGGATATGATTATGATGTAGTGGGTTGTTTTCCCACCACATCAGATTTTATACACTCAAACTCCTCTTTACGGACACCTCGTAATTACAGACAGTTTTCTTTGTTCCTGGGGAAAAAAAGCCCTCACATTTCCTCTAAGTTTAACCTGCTTTAAACAGACACCTTGTTGATACAGATACCTTTTATGGCCCCCTCAGTGTCCATATTAACAGAGTTCGACTGTAGTCTTCTCTTTATGTGCAAGTCTTCCACCCAGGTAGTCTATGTAAATAGTAAGCACCCATTGTCTCAGTTTCAAATTTCTGTAACACTGTACCATGCTATCCCTCCTCTTGATCTAATTAAAGTAGAAAATTCCATGTCACCCTCCCCCGTCCCTAACATTTTGTGACACACCCTCCCCTGAGCTTTGTGTGGCTCTCCGAGACATGTAACATGTATTAAGCATGTTATAACTGGTCCTGAGGGACACAGCTCAAATTTGATTTGTTTCTTGAGGGACACTATTTTAAATGGAGGCAGGGCGGCTGAGCGGTTAGAGCGCTGGACTTGTAATCCAGAAGCCTGAATTCGAGTCCCGCCCTGACCATTTTGTTCTTCATAGTCCCGAGTTCAAATCCTCAGCCATGCTTGTAAATAGCCAACTGGCCGGTTCGCCTCCTACCAGCTGGGATTCTTAAACATGTTGACTTCTATTTGAATTATTGTTTCATTATCCCTGAAAAGCCCCATAGGGGGAGTGGATAGTTAATTATTTAATATTATAAATAGTGCACAAAGAAAAACTTCTATGGGTGCAATTTTATGAAAGTATATTTCAGCGACCCCATGACATTTGCAAGTACCATTGCATGGTTACCCGCCCTCTGATGTCACAGATTTTTCAATGTTTGCTGCTTAGAGGCTTTTGCAACCTCATTCCCAGGCTCTTTCAGACCCGACATGGGAGGAAAAGGAGGGAGAGCCTGGGAATGAGGTTGGGATCTTGGGCCAGGAACAGCCCTTGGTTTTTATATTTCCCTCATTCTTTGGCAACTCTCACTCTATGAATTTTAAAAAATTTTGCGACACAGCTCCTTTAAACAGTGTAACTTTTCCACAGGTGAAAAGAGGGAAGCGTTTTTCTTATCAACCCCGAGGACTATGGTATATGAAAAGGTGAAGGTAGAGAAAGTCAAGAATGTTCAAGTCACCATAAGCAGCAAACTGCATGGCCTCAAGGAATTAAGTATAGGGGAAACTGAGTTCACAAAGGTAGGCTCATACATGTACATTAAACACTTTTCGGAGCTATGAGAGTAGTTTTCTTATGACCTTGAAAAATGATTTTGGTAAGTGTTCGATATTTGTTTCATCAGCCAATGGATGAAAAGATTCAAACATAGCTTCTTCTTTTTCCTGCCAACGAATTCCCTGATATGGAGAAGGGATTGTTCGATTGGCCAATCATGTTGCAGTATGACATCAAAGTGAAGTATTGGTTGATGTTTAGAGAGTTCTTGGGCATGAAGTTTTTTCACCTGGGCGTTCGTTTAACCAACCAAAAGACACGCACGTTTGTTTCCATCTGATAAACCAATCAAATTGCTCTATTTCTGTTCATTTGTTGTTTCTGTTTTGTTCGTGCGTTTTCATTTCAAGGCCATACAAAAATCGCTCTATCTTCTGGTGTTACTGTAGTGTTACTGTGTTTGGGGGGAGGAGCAAGGCTCACAAGAGAAACCATATTGTTGGAATTGTGGGGTTAAAAAAAGTTGTTTTCCATCTTCTACCAATTTACATTCCCCTTCCTCATGGGAAATTTGTCACTTATCTTGAGTTATGGGCACAGTCCTCAGCCATACCACTGTGTTTGTCCCTTACAGATAGTAGTAAAATCTTGCTCTGTTCATTTAAAATGGATCAGCACCTACTCAAGGCTTGGTATGACAAAATACAGTAATTTGTCTGAAATTACTCCCCAAGCCTCCACCCCACTGGATTGGAAAAGGTCCATTGCTCCTCAGGCATAATTAGAGAAGCCTGTTCACAGACCATCTACATCAATACTCTGTTTATAGATAGCTGAGCGCACGTATGGACATAAAACTGCGGGGTAGTTAATTTCAAATTGTCAAAACAAAAAAAAGAAAAATGTCTGTGGACAAGCTTAATTAAGGAGATGGCATACAGTTGGCCGTAAGCCTGTGACCCCGCCCACAGAAAGGAGGTCAGGAGGGTATCACTTTGCCTAGTCCCTAGGCCTCATTATTCCGTGCGGCCAAAGCGTTTCGCGTTATATGGTCCAAGCAACTTGGATAGGTCATTGAAGTGAATTGACCGAGAGGGACTGGGAAAACGCTGTACTGGGACTAGGCAAGGAATTGCTATCTTAAGGTTTTTTGGACCACGGAGTCATAGCGAAAAGAAAAAGGAAAAGTGTAAGCTACATTTCTTATACAGTGTAGTGACACACTCTATTGCCCATGCTGGGGAGGTTGTGCTTTAAATTTATTCAATTAAATGGTTTAAATATCATCTTCCCGTTAGTCTTTGGTTGTTATGATATAAAATGATATTGAGCCATTGAAAAATAAATTTAAAGCACGGATAGATCTAAACCACAACCGACACTGTTGCTATAGTCTGCCAATAGGGAATTTAAGCAAGTGAACTTTCTTTAGGGCTATCAGACTACTTTCTGTTTCTTTTCCTGAACTTTGATATGGTCTTTTAGAATTCAACTTCAGAAAAATTTGCCAAAATTTGACTAATTGAAAAGATGGAATTTGAGCATAAAGTTTAAACTAGCGCAAGTTCACTTTCCAAGCGGCGTTTTCGTAGCTGTCGCCGTCGCCGTCGTTGTTGCTTAAGCTCCTACTAACAGCCGCGTCTCGCGGCGCGAAGGGGTATTTCTCCGGGTGAACTCCGCAGTCGCAAGTTAGTACTTCTAGTAAGAGGTACTAGGTTTACATTTTCTAATTTCTATCTTTAATTTCAGTTTATTCCGGCTCACACCCCGCTGCAAACAGAGCTTCGAGTCGATTCCTGTGTTCTGGCACCTTATCAACCGGGCTACTTCATATCGGCGCGCGTGGAAAAAGTACTTCCATACACTGACGAATATCTTATCAAGGAGTTAATGAAAGCGGATAATATCCACGCAAATCCAAGAAAAGTCAAAAGGGATCAGTTGCAAGTTGTCTTTAGCGCATGGTGTAGTAAGTATGACACTAAAATTAAGTTAGCGCCCTCTCACGAGACGCGAATCGCGTATCAGATAAGTATCAGGTCCAAAATTCTTGAGCGATTTCAAGAATCAATGGTAAAGCTTTACCGTGACTAACACGGGGACAATAATTCTCGCGCTACGCGATTCTCGTAGCGCGTGACGAGAATCACTTAGCGCGGGACGCGATTCTCGTCGCGCAGAAAACGAGACGCGACTGGTAACATACTTTTGGGCGGTAATTATGACGCTTAAAAGCTGTTTTCTGCAAGTATAAATGTAAATTTTCTCCTGTACATATTTATTTTACATAACAGGAGCCCATAACCCAGAGAGAGGAACTCCCTTGTGCTCATGCAACGGCGTTCTCACAGACCGGTGTATTATTAGGTCAAATTTCCCGCGAATTTTGAATATCAAATAAGCCTTACAAATCAGTCTTAAAAAACCGGAGACGAGAAAAAAGTATTTCTGATTTTTTGATAGCATTGTCTTCTTCTTTTTGTTATTATCCTACCCTGAATGTGCACTCATACGGACGTTGCATTTATTTTCTCCAGAACAACACTCATATGATGAAATGCTTACTGACTGAGTTAGGTTGGGCTGGACGGGAAATTCTTTGCTCTCGGTCAGGACGAACGGACCTCTCTGCGCATAGTCCATATGTCCTGACCTTAAGCCAAACATTTTCCCGTCTCGCCCTTTCACTTATATCAATAAGTACTTATTACTTCATTCGGCAAGTTTTGAAGTGTTTTCCAAACTATTAAAAATGTTATAGACACAGACACTATGCTTTTTGTCGGTTTTCTTGAACAAAGGCACTAAAGCGAAAGCCTGGGACCAGGCTTCGCAGCGAGGAAAAAAGGCAGAAAACGGAGTCAAATAGGAAAAATAGCGGTGGCCTGGGTAGGGGGAAAGGGCGGCGGATCTCTCGCATCGCTTCGCTCGCCGATGTGTTTTTCGCCGCGCCGATTTATTTCTCCTCCCCCTCCTTCCCCCACTCCCAATGCGGAACCTGGTCCTAGGTTACCAAAACGAGCGCTGCTTAATCTAAAATATCACAGGTTTGAGAGTGCGAATGTTAAATCTGAGCTTCGTTTGTTTCTCTCTTGCAGAAATAATCGACCATGTTGGTAGAGTTTCAAATAATTTGTGTCCAGGGAAGATTTTACAGGTGGACTCAAAGCTGGTTTTTAAATCCCCCAGCCAATCCGGGCTGTCTGAACTGTCCTATCAAAATATAAATGATAAAGATGTTTTTAGCAACACGAGACTCGATCGACTGGGCCGTGCCAAAGACAATAAACAGATAAAGGTTGTGTATTTCAGAAAGGGTGGTTACAACAAAGTGGAGTGCGGAATAATGACGGCGACAATTCACTATAACTTTAAACAGCAAGCTTATGTCATCAACGGGAAACGTTACACGAATGACGAACTTTGGACCGAAGAAAAAGGTAAGTAATAAAATGATCATTGTTTGCTGTACAATTAGTAGCAATAACAATTTATCTCTTGCTTGACATATTTTAGTAAACAGGAGCGAAACGGGGGAGTGGAGCTTTCCTACAAAAGGAACAGAGCGTGTATTTTTTTTTCAAAAATCAAACAGAACCAGGAAGTGAATCTCTCAGCAGCACTTTTATGCCCCAAACGTGGCTACTTCCATGTAGAAGTGATGTGGATGTTTGTCATAATGTGCTGGTCTCTTACCACTCGGCACGCACCTTAAATTGTGAGTGATAGCCCTTGCGCTACATTCACACCGTTGATTTTTCGACCGCTTGAAAATTCGTGCGTTTATGCGTTCCGTTAATACGGAACCACCTTAACTAGACGTCCAGCCTTTCAAAGTTCCGTGTGAACAGAACGAGAATCATTGAACGGCGTAGCGTGAGAAAACAGCCGACATTTCACGACGTCACCTCTGGTTTCCCCGCAAAATGACGTCTGAGAAATGAGCGCGGAAATTCCATACTGATGACGTGTCACTACCCAGAACTGGGTGGTGCTTTTGATTGGTCGTGCCGCGTGGGAAATTTGCTTGACGAGGTGTCTGAACAAATTTTCAGCCGGTCTAAAATTCCTTTGGCGTCGTGTCAACGTAACCTTGATCTAAATCATCCTGATGTACTATGAATTAGTTTTGCTTGTGCACATGGTTTTGAAACTAGCTATCTCCTTCTTTTCAATAAATGGAAGAGCAGTTCACTACAAGTGGAACTGGAGTTCATCATAAAAGATAAAGTCCTCCTTTCGTTTTCGTGAACACAAAAATGGCCTGTCGGATTTAAACACATAAAAGATGCATCAAATCACTCTTCGGCCATCTTAAAAATACCAGTTACCTCAGGGTTACGCGCTCAGTCATCATTTTAAAAAGGCCTCGAAGCTCAGGCTAATCCTATGTTGATCAGCGGATTATCATCGCATCATCACAGTTAATCCTCTTAATGTCATTTTACAGCGGAACCAGATCGTTGCAGGGAGAATGAGAAGTACAAGTGTTTTAACAGCCGAATTCCTTTCATTGTGAATCGACTAAACTGCTCATCTACGCAAGTATGGAATGGGTATAAATGCACAGGTAAATACAATCATTTCCTTTTTCCTACAACTGATTTTTTGTTGAAAACATAAACTTTCAAAATGTTTAATAAAGTAACAGGGTATTGGCAATACCTTGTGAGAAGTTCTCTCGTTTGTCCGCGGTGGAAACTAAACCTAACTTCTGCGGACAGTTTGACAACAGTATGGGACTTTTCTCGAACAAAAAATATAGTCCAACCTCCATGTGCGACTACCTCTCGAAAGCGACCACCTCCCATAAGCGACCACCTATCGAAAACACCAAATTGTTCCAGTCGAAGTAACCCGCTCCAGGCGTTCAGATAGTAGAGTGCGGCGCTTTCGCCCCCTATCCCACCCCCTCGCTTTTTTGTCTGCACACATCTTTTTGCGCCTTCCCCCTGGAACAGGCTGCAGTCGAAGCCTTACAGTTGGAAGTTCTCCTAAACGATCACCTCCTGTAAGCGTTTCTTTACTGACGGTTTAATAATTTTCCATTATTTTTAACGTCTTGCAAGCGACCACGTTACGCATGTTCTGATCTCTATGTTCGCTCCATATACTTAGAGTATACAGGGAATTTTTAACACAGCATGGGACCACAAATATCGCAACTTAGAAATCGCATGCAATACATTATCTACCATGAAGTAGATGTGTCGGGACTTTTTCTCGGAGGAGCTAGACCGCTGTGTGGTTCGATTCTTGTAAACGACCATCTCTCGTAAGCGACTTATAAATTTTCACATTTTGGGTGGTCGCTTACTACTGGGGATCATGTACACTGTAGCAGGTGCTCGGAAGAGAAGTCACCAATGCTGCATTTCCCTGACCCCAAACAATAACATCGCGGCTTAACTGACAGACGACCAATAACATCGCGACGTAATTGACCAATCAGATCAATAACCAGAGTATAATACCATCAACTGACGTGATACAACTCACTTTGACTCTGAAGATGACTACCGCACAGGTTGTCGAAACTTAATCAGTCACTGTCAACAACAACAGTCTTATTCAGGACTACGCTAACCCGGACGATCAAACTCAACCTACTTTTGAAATTACTCCTGGGTTCAAACCTTTCACAATACTAGAACAACTGGAAGAATGACATGTCATTGTTTCCTGCGACCAATTAGGAGAGACCTTACGAACCGCTCCTGCACTACTCACTTTTGGAGTTTTGACTGTAATTTTAATTTTTGTAGATGAAGATGAATGCTCCACTGGTATGGCAGCTTGTGGCTTGTACGCGTCTTGTAAAGACACCTCAAACTACTACAACTGCTACTGTCCCAGCGGATTTTTGTTGGGAAAAGCCCGCAAAGAGGACTGTCAAGATATTGACGAATGCAAGGGAAATAGACACAAATGTCATGAAGACGCGGTCTGTAAAAATACCATTGGAAGCTACACGTGTCAGTGCAAAAATGGATTTAAAGGCAGTGGCCGTTTCTGCAGCGATATCAATGAATGCGAAAACTCCGCTAACCGGGTATTATATTATGATAAATGTTAAATGATTATCCTTATTTTGATAAATTTTTCCATTTCTTCTTAACACCCACCGATTTCCCTGCCTTGTTATTTCACCTTCTTTACAAAACAGTGTGATTTGTGTAACTCCCATATGAAACATAGAGGGGTGTTCGTTGTCTCGCTTAGAAGTATAAATTGAAGACTTTTTCTCACTTACGGTTTTTAGGACTGAGAACTAATATTTTGATCTATGCAGATATCGCGTAGGTTGTTCGTAACGGAATATATACTAGAAACGTTTGCCAACAGTTTAGAGGAGAATTATTGTGTGACAAAGTCAAAGGAACGTTGCGTGTCAGAAAGTGGTTTACTCTGCTTAGCGGCAAAACTGATGAATGGTCCTCGTTAATTTTTACTTCCTGGCCAAACAGTATCTGTGGCTGTTTGTATTACAGTAAAAACCCACGAGTAAGAACCTACATTTTCCAGGGTTAGCCTAAACAGGTTCTTACATAAATGGTGGTTAACATAAATTTAGGCTATCTAGGTTCTTAAGAGGTTCTTAATTTCTTGCAAAAAATTATGTCGTTGCTAAGAAGATCTCAGTGATCAGCACCCTTAAATTTGCATACCTAATGATTTATTATATTTTAATATGACCAAAATAGAGATCTATTCTCACATGAATTTTAATTTCCTGAGTCAAAACAACTTTATATACATGATTGTGCTGTTAAACACAATATTATAAACATTTTCTCAATGACCTCAATCAGACAACATATATATGTGTACTAACCTGCCTTTTGGAATTGCAATCAGTAAATATTTTTAAATGATTTTTGAAATTAAGAACCTTTCTCCAAATTTTAGGCTAAAGAAGTTCTTATATAGAGGGGATCTAAAGTGCAAATTTTAGCCTAACGGGTTCTTAATCTTAGGTTCTTACTCGTGGGTTTTTGCTGTATTTCCTCTTGCCTCTTGTCATTATGCCAAATAACTTAATCCTTGCGATAGTCCCACCTTGGAAAATGAACGTAATGGCTCATGGTATTTCTCACACTCAATTGTTTGTGCTCTCGTATGCCTATAAAGATTTTCAGTAGACTGCAGTCTTTCATAAGTGCGTGGTAAAATGTTGTAGGCAAGAAATCTACTTCCAAAGAACACTTGGAGTTATTTATAATAAACAACAGTGTTTTTACTGGTGTAATTTCTCCAACTTCTGTTCTGATTTTTATAGAAACATTGCGAACGACACAAAAACGCTTTTTGCAAGAATTTTCCTGGGGGCTATCAATGTGAATGCGTGCCTGGTTACCATGGAGACGTTGCTCACTGCAAAGATTTAGATGAATGCACTTCAAAAAAGCACCAATGCAGTCCTCATGCACATTGCACTAATACAATTGGATCTTATCAGTGTAGATGCAAGAAAGGTTTCCATGGCGATGGTCGAAGTTGTGAGGACATCAAGGAGTGCAAAGAACCATGGGTAAGATATTAAGATATTCCGCTTGGAATACGAGCATTGAGATGTCATGGGCACACCTTTGAGTAGACCGACCGAAGTCTTTGAATAAAAATTTTATATTTATGATAATTCCGCGACAAGAAGACGGAGTAGTGGGGCAAGTGAGGATGATTATCCAAGGCGTGGTGCGATTCTTAAACACCGCTTTTTTTCTGTATGATATCAGCAAACTTGCAGGCATTGCAAAACATTGAAATTTTTTCGATTCTTGTTACTTTAACAACTGTGCAGTTCGAACTTGTTTCCAAATTATTCTAGCAAAAAATACAGCAACAACAAGGCAACAAAAAAACTAGTATTGGGACTGAGTGTAGAAGGGAAGAAAAATGATAGAAAGAAATATATGAAGCGGCGGTGTGGGTCACTCTCACTACACCCTGCGCTAAAGCATACACTCCCTTTGTCCTCCTCTTGAGTGAGGAGGAGAAAAGGAGGATTTGGCTGAATCGCGTAAAGACTTTGACGTCGCCTCAGCCCAAACCTCTGAACTAGTCAATCCTGTTTTCTCTCGTCAAACTGGGTTTTTCGAGTGCAAGCATCCGTTTGTCGATAAACCGATGGTCATTTACCGAGCCCGATGTAGCAAGCACACTTTTTTTAAGGCCTGGGTTCCAAACTATATCTTAGCAGCAAGTTCTTACGTGCTTCATGCAGAGTCTTTCTCGAATACACCAAAATCGGGCAAGCGAAAGAAAACTTCTACTAGCGGGGTGCTCTCACTGATGAGAAAATCGCAAAGACAGGGGATCAAAAATGACAAACAAAGCAAAAACACCACGAAGTAGTTTTCTAACATTTGAACGGGAAGACTATAATTAAATTTAACAGTTAATGAGTGAGGCTGAGTATCTTATGAAGAATTGTGGAGATCGAGGAGGGTGTTACGGCCTCGACAGATAACACCTTCCGAGATCTCCATAATTCTTCACATGATACGAAAGCCAAATTCAATAATTGTTTTATTATTAATTCAAAATAATTCATAGTTTAAAAACAAAGCTAAAACATGCTTACCTCCATCGATGTTAAGTTCACCTTCGATAGTGCACGTTTAGGGTTGTTCAGCTCCGCAAATATTCTCCAAATAGAAGATGTCGCCCTTCGAGTTGTGTTCTTGCTGTTCTAGCCATGTTTTTAGGTATAATTTCGCCTAGTTCTTACTCTTGAAACGAGTGAAATGTCCGCCATTTTTTGTTTCCACAACCAAAACGACTCAACCTCATCCCAGGTCTTCTCGGTTAGCGGTGCATTATGGTGGTTATGGTGAATTATGCGTGTGCTTTCAATCAGAATCGGGGAAATATTTTGGATGAATAATGAGAGCCACTAATATTCATTAACGTGTTTGTTTGTGAGGTTTCTGTACTTTAGTAAAAACTCGTTTTGCGTTTTTCATTGAAAACGATAACAAGAAAACAAGTAAACCGGTTAACGAACCGTTCTTTATGGGTTTTGCTGTCTTACAGAAAAGCCGTTCATGTCATGCACTCGGCCAGTGTGTGGATACTCTTGGTGGATACAAGTGTGAGTGCAAGGAGGGTTACTATGGTGATGGGGTTAAAAGCTGTGTACTTGCCAACGAATGTGAACTTGGAATCCACAAGTGCCACAAAACCTGGGCTACCTGTGTCAACACTCGCCAAAGCTATGAATGTCACTGTAAAAAAGGCTTTGAAGGAGACGGACGAACTTGCAAGGACATTGACGAGTGTGCAAAGAAACAACATAAATGCAATCTGAAAATAAGAGGTGTTGAGTGCCTTAACACAGATGGATCGTACAAGTGTGTTTGTGGTAAAGGTTTCTCTGGAGACGGGAAACAGTGTGTGGATATTGACGAGTGCAAGCTTGGCTCTCACAACTGCGTTAAGGGTGCGATCTGTGTAAACTTAGATGGAAGATTTTCTTGCAAATGCAGAGAAGGTTTCTGGGGAGATGGAACGAAAAAATGCGAACGTAAGCATTGTATAGAATATGCTATTGACACAAAATTACTCTTACATACAGTCCTAATCGATAAGTCATTTCTTGTGGCAAAGCGATGGAAGGTGTTTTATTCGTTTAATATATTTTTATCCACTCCCCTCGGGGCTTTTCAAGGATAATTTACAATACTGGTTGAGGAACATTTGCCAGACTGCTCTTGGTGCAGATTACAAGTAACAAAGTAAAGGAAATGATAAGCCCAATTTTATAGTGCAAAAAAGAGGAGGGGAGGGGTAGAAAAGCCCGAACACTTACGGGAAACGCCCTTCTCCCTGCTTTCTCCTCCTTTTTGGACGCCTGCCACGCGCTGCAAGCTACAAGTGAGAGAGTGTTTCTTTAACGACTCACAGATGTGTGCATGCAAGGGGTGTGCCGAGACAGGATCTACGGTTTTATCGTCTTTTTCCCAGAAGAATAAAAAGTCTACTCGTTTGTAGTTACCAGTTTCTAGCACTTTTGGCACGCTCGCCTCAGTTGTTTAAAGACCCTTAGAGTATGTCCGCCGTGGTTTCAACTAGCGGTCTCCCCCTCGGCAGACCGATCCTCATCCAGTTGAGATAACTGGGCTGCAGTCGTTCCAATAAGTAGTTGAAAGTGAAAATTAGATACTGGATGACTAACCTTTCTACAGTGTGTATTATATCCCCTTTATCTTGCAGCGTTAACTGAGTGCATGAGGAGATTGCCGTATTGTGATGTACCCAGAGCGGTCTGTAGCAACAAGACAAATGCATCTGGGAAAAGAACATATGAGTGTTTCTGCAAATCAGGTTTTACTGGTGATAACAGCAACTGTACTGGTAAATACCATTAATTGTCATGTTTTTAAGCTAACTGTTTATAGAAAATTTCAGTAAAAAATATATCGTGAAATTCCAAAAATTAACCTTTTTGTATACATCACTCCCCTCCACCTCTCCGGAAAAAAGAAAAATGGAAAGGCAAGAATTCTTCCGTTGGAATATGACAAGAAAGCCCAAAGAAACCGTGAGGCTTATACAACATGGGCTTTCTCTATTAAATTACAAAGGATAAACCTAATATTAATTTAACTAATCGGCGAAGGCAGAGTAACAATAATAAGAAGGAATAAGATATATATAAAAAAGGATTGAGATAAAAAAAAAAAAGAAGATTGAGACAAAACACAAAGCTGACAAAGGGGGATGGGGGGAGGCAAATGAGCAAGCTAAGTAAGAAGGTGTTTCTTCAGTTTTTTTAAAGTTGATACACTAACTGAGCTTAGAATGAAAAGCGTGTTGTGTTAGTTCTGAACTTAGGGTTTTTGTCTAAGAAACACACTATAAATGAAATGTATGGTATCTTGATATTTTCTTTATTCTTGGTTTAGCCCTGTGCTTCTAATCGAATCAATGCCCTAATTTATCCTTAGTAGCACATTTTTTTACTTGAAATATTTCTAACCCAAATTTCCCTCCAGTTATAAGCCCCCCGCCCCCCGTTTCCCTGCAATAATAAGTCCCTCAGTATATAAGACTCTTTGAATATAGCCTCCAACGCAGACGTTCTTAGGGGTTCGTCGTTAGTGGGGCAGGAAGGCGTGACGAACCCCTAAGAACGTTTGCGTGGGAGGCTACTTCGAATATAAATAGAATATAGGCTAATTTGCAGGATATTATTAAAAATTACGTTCGTTTTAATACGAAGACCACAACCATACATAATGGCATACACCTTTATCTTTTCCAAGCAACGAACCTTCCTTTGAGCCTAACTGAAGTCAAGAACAGAGGTGGTTTTCGTCGCGCTTTTTCCCTCCAATCCTTTTTTTTTCTCAACGAAATCGTCGCATATCAATCCCATACAGAGTCTCATTTTTTGTTCCCAAGATATAGACGAGTGCCTTAATAAAGATGCTTGCTCAAGGAATGCTGTCTGCACCAACACTGCTGGTGGGTTTTCCTGTCGTTGTAAGAACGGTTTCGGAGGAAATGGTTTCAAATGTTCAGGTAGGCAGTGTCTTTGTGATACATTCTACTCACTATAAACTGCATTGGTATGCCAGGAATCAGTTACCCTGGAATTAATAATTAAAATAAATAGTGCATTTTACGTTTTGCTCACCCCCAACATCCACTTAAGCTTTTTTTAAGCAGAAATCTGGCAGTGGTAGCTAAGTCCAGTTTAAGAGGCTGTTTACGTGGGGGGAGGGATATCCTAGTAGGCGGAACAACTTTACGTTGCCTTACATGCAGAAATTTCGGTCTGTGTGGTGCCCAAGTAGAAAATGATCAAGAAGGAATTAACAGCGGCGCGTGACAAAAACAAAAATGCAATTTGGGGTCTTCTGCTGTTTTTACTGGCGTTTTTCAGCAGAATGATTACAATCAACAGATAGTACTTACGCCAAACGAAATTGTCAGCCTTTATTGCCATGGTTACCCATGCACTAAACGATCCGCCGGTGCAGTTGTCCCTTTCGTAAACGGTCGCTGCCATTTTTAAGACACTTAGAAAATTTTGACCTGTTACTGAGATTGTTTGTATTAAAAAGAAAGAAGATTGCAACTCAGGGTCAAACCCGGACCTCGCGGATCGAGTCTGGACCTTTCGTATTCTTATCACTCTCCCTTACCACTACACTACCACACCGACAAGCCAAATATCCAAAACATTTAAGTACATAAACTCCTCAACAGTTATTCCTCGAGCCCGAATGGGCTCTGAGTCAATAGCTATTAACTCAGAGGCCATGAGGGCGAGCGGAATAATTGTTTTAGTAAAATCCAACTAGTTGGTCAAAAATATCGAGAATAAAAAAAAATTAGCTAGTTAAAGCGAGACTTTAATCCTTTTTTGCCGTCAAAAAGCCCGCGCTTTTCGCTACTAGTGGGCTATAACATATAGCCTAGTAGTAGCTCAACCAATCAGAACGCGGCATTGATAATAGACCACTAGTTGGATTATACTAATAACTGATACGTCAATAACGGGTGATCCTAGCCCTGTCCAGAACTTTTAACGTAAATTCAACTTGGATTTCAACGTCGTCCTTCCTGAGGCAATTCAAAAACCGGTTTTATTTGTCTTATTGTAACATAATCCAGGCAGTATATTACATCAATCATGACTAAAGGCTTGGTTCTCAATCGTGGTATCGACCGTTATAAATGGCAGACCGTTTACGAAAGGGAAATAGGCCCCGCCGCAATTTTTGCCTGGTTTGTTTCTTACACTAGGATCTTCCTAGCGAAAGCAGTTTAAGTAGTGCTATAGGATCTTCTTAGTACTAGGATCATCCTACATCAGCTAAGAAGATCCTAGCCATAGGGACAAGTACAATTACAACCCTTTGCGTGTAACCCGGCAGGGGAGGGTATTCCCTTATATAGGCTATATAGGTTTGTGGGGCGCCAAAGGGTACGGTTTTTTTAGCCGTTTTGGTCTGAAATAGGGTATGAATTTTGGTCATTTTGGTCTGAAATAGGGTATGATTTGTGCACTCTAGTCCTTAGGTAGGCACGTATTCTGTATTTATGACGGCGCATTATGCAACCTGCTTTATAGTATGGAATTTTAATCTCGAAACTAGGGTATCAAATTTTTGATCAGGTCCGAAATAGGGTTGGGAAAATCACACACTTTTGTCTGTAATAGGGTAAGGGTTTCAGGAAGCTTGCCACACACCCTCACCCAATTTTCTAGTCTGGAAGTACCCCCCACCCCCGGGGCGGGGGGGTGGGGGGGGGGGCGTGTAAACTGGAAACAGGAAAGTTGTCTCTAAGATGGTCTGCCTTCTAGGGTCTTCCTGGTGCTAGGATCTATCTCCCTCTACGTAAACAGCCCCTAAACTTCCTTACTGCCTTTTCTCATCTTTTACTTTGCTTGTTCTCTTTAAAGATGTAAACGAGTGCTTTGCCGATAAGACCGTGTGCCCTCCAAACGCCGACTGCATAAATATCCAGGGATCTTTTCAGTGCAAATGTAAAACCGGGTTCAAAGGAGAAAATCCATACAAGCAATGTTTAGGTAAGAGAGTTCATAAAAAAGCATTGTATTTAAAGCTCATAGGTATGTCTAACCGTCATTAGGGTCGTCACGCAACACTCCGCCCCAAGGAAGCATTGCGTGACGTCCCTAATAACGGCTGCGAAAAAGACTAACGGTAATGTTACATGAGACGAATCGAATTTTTAGCGCAACACAGCGTTGCAACATTGTTCCGACATTGTTTTGAATAGTTACAGCATTGTTCCAACATTGCAACGATGTGTTACGCTAAAAATCGTCGTTGTGAATCGTCCCGTGTAACATCACCTTAAGGTATGTGCGACACCGGTTGGGTTTTGATTTGAAGCCGGGTTCAAATTTTTAACTAAAGCGGTCTGCGAAAGTATCAGTGGTGAGGTTTGTCTGTTATTGAATATGTTCTTACAGGAGTTGTTATAGGTAAAACAAAAGTATCTTTTGGCTCTTGAGAAGTTCGATTCGATTACTTTGAGGCCTCTCTCGGATAGTAAACCAAACTTGAGAAGTTTCTGGTTAGGTTGGGACGTAGGGTCATGTATCTGAGGCTGCACGATGCACCGAATAGTCTGGTATAAATTACGAATCAAATTTCGTCGAATTTGGGACAGGCCTGAATTAGAGTGTCTCATTTAGGGGAAGGGTTCCAAGGAATATGCTTTCGTTGTAAGCTTTTCCCCCCCAAGTATCCCCGGAAAAACGTGGATCTTAGAGTCTCGTCGTTAGCCATTTAAAAAGCCGCGTCATTACTCAATTACATATAATGTTTCTTGGGTTCTTAAGTTGTAGTCAAAACTCAGATTGACACCATGCAACATGGATTCCATAATTTTTAATTTTTAAATTTTTAAAATTTTTTTTTTTTTTTAAAATTTAAAATTTAAAATTTTTAAAACTAAACTAGTGAGCAGCACTCTGCGAACTGTTGCTGTAAAACTTGTTTATTCTCCTACGCGTTTCGTCTAACTAACGTAGACTTCTTCAGGGAGTTTTACAATCAAATACTAAACGCCTGTATTTAAGCCACAATATGACTAAAACCGTGGCCCCAAAGTATTCTTACGCCTTGCGTAAAAAATTTCACAGCTGCGCCTGTTCCTTTTCGTAAATCCGGCCAAACCTTCAATGTTTGCGACCATCATTATTTTTAGTCATATTATGGCTTAAATACAGGCGTTTAGTATTTGATTGTAAAACTCCCTGAAGAAGTCTACGTTAGTTAGACGAAACGCGTAGGAGAATAAACAAGTTTTACAGCAACAGTTCGCAGAGTGCTGCTCACTAGTTTAGTTTTAAAAACTTTAAAAATTAAAAATTTAAAAATTTAAAAATTAAAAATTAAAAAAAAAAAATTCTGTATTCGGATATACCTCGGATTCTGAATCTTTCGTCTTATGGGGTGACAGATTCTAAAGTACTTGTACAGAAAAACTTAGTCAACGCGCGTGTCGACAGAGATGACGCCCTGGCCCATGTTGACTGTGGTATCCACTGGATAAATGTTTATCTAGTTATGGTGCAATTACCATTTTTCACTGCATAGCGCCATTCAGGTTTTCAACAACTGGGGCCCAAGAGTTGTTGCCTTGGTGTTAAATCTGTTAACTACGAATCGTGCCTCAAAGGAGCAAGACCATGCGCTTCCTTCTCACATGTCCCTACGCCCCGCGTAAGGGCAGCTTTGGGTGTTGCTACGTATGGTTTGAATAGAGTAAAAATAAAATTAATTAATAGAATAATTGAAGCGGAAGCAATCTAAAAACGTATTTTTGGATCTAGAATATAATAGCCCTCTGCTTGAAGTTTTCAATTGGGGTTTGCCTTAGCAAAAAAATGGCTTATCAGTGTTTTTTTTTCCTTTCTGTCTAATTTCAACGTAAAGATGTCGATGAATGCACTCAATATCGGATTTGCGACTATGGCCAGACATGTACAAACACTTTTGGATCCTACGACTGCTCTTGCGACCAGGGTTACCATGCCATTAACGCAGAGAAAAATAAGTGCGAAGGTGAGTGTGCTCATTGGTCGAGAGCTAGGCTTTATACATGTAGACGATAGAATGGATCAAGCAATTAATTCTGTATCTCATTTTCTCTGGCTTTCTGTTTCTCTTCTTCCCAGGGAAGTATTGTAAATCCCTTTCTTCTGCCGACTTTTAAAACTCTTGCACCGTCAGTAATATTTCCCCTAAAGAATGTGATTAGACCTAGGAAAGGAAACGCTAGTGAGTTAGCCAGCCCCATAATTACGTTTTACAGGTTTTGTAGAAGCTTCGTTGAAGCTCTGTAAGATTTAACAGCACACGCCTACTACAGATTGATTGGTCCAAATTGGTATTTATTCGAGTCTGAGATTTTTCTCAGCCTACCATACTTAGCACTGACAAAGAAAAACAAAAATTTGTACAAAAACACGCTTCAGAAGAAACAAAGGTTCAAAAAAGTCCTCTGATATTAGGCTTTCTTCTTTCTACAAATAATTACATAATAGATATGAGTAAGAAATCTTTTTGTCACAAAATGGTTACAGATATCGATGAATGCAAGAACCTTACCACGCCATGCGGAAAGTACAATTTTATCCGATGCGAGAACACTGTTGGAGACTATCTATGCCGATGCTATCATGGATTCGAATTTAGTAAGGAGTCGAGAGAGTGTAAAGGTAATTAAATGTCCAGTTCAAAAACCCTAGAGAAAAAACAATGAAATGTATAAATATACTTTCAACTATACAATTGTTTAAGCTACAAAATGACCCCACCCTCCAAAAACAAATGCAATCCATCAAGCTGTATTTTCGATTCCTGAAAAGGTTAACTTCAATGCCATCACATAGTAATAACTAAAGATTTTCCTCAAACTAAGGAGATTAGACTTGCCGACTACTCATTATACCGTTCCACCATAAAACGCCTTCTTAATAACACTGCAATATTAAACCTTCCACGGATCTTAAGAGCTAACGATTAATCGGAAAACGTACTGATTCCTTTTGCTCTGGATTTAATCACTGGCCTGTTTTTGATTCCCAGAGTCACTGATTTCCTTCTCTGGGCTCTGTATCCATTGTTTTTTGTTTTCTGTTCTGTCGGTGGATAATTCCGGCCATTTCCCTGCGTTTTTCTTTAGACATTTTTAATAGTCGAGGATTTGTTTCAGACATAGATGAGTGCAACAAAGGCAAATGGCCATGCGCAGAAGAAGCTACGTGTAACAACCAAGAAGGAAGTTTCAGCTGTGCATGTCCTAAAGGTTACCATGGAGATGGTGAATATTTCTGCGAGGGTAAGATTCGGTCGTGCGTTACAATTAGAGAGGTTCTCCTCACCGACGAAATTTCAATCGGCTCATGGCTACATGTTATCGCCTTAGGCTTCAGCCACTTCTTAAATGTCCTTATCGTTCAACAACGTGTGCACAAACCTTTAATATGGCAGATCATCTTCTACATACAGGCACCCTGCGACCAGAGCCTCCTTTTGTCTTCTTAATCGAAGAGGAGAAAAGGAGACTACCTGAATCGCGTCAAACCTTTGAGGTCGCCGAAGCCCAAACTTCTGGACTAGTTAATCTTGTTTTTCTCGCGTCAAACTGGTTTTTTCGAGTGCGCGCATCTGTTTATTGCTAAACCGATGGTCATAACCGAGCCCGCTGTAGCAAGCACATGGCTATTAGGCCTGGGCTCGAAACTATATCCTAGCAACATGCAGCGCATTCTCAAGAAAGATCTTACTCAATTTATGGCGAGTCTTTCTCCAGTACGCCAAAACCAAGCAACCCAAAGAGAGGGTCTACTGGCAGGGTGAGATACAAGCTACTTAGTCTTATCAATTCCTTGCTTCTTTTCATCATCACTTTGCCCTGCTTATCCATCACCCAGGCCTTAAAGAGCCCTAGGGGTTATTAAGAGATGGATGCCCCGAGAGGTTGATATAAAATTTATTGATTTCAATTGTTTCTTTGCAGTCAACAGCTCTCCAACAACAAAGGCTGTAAAAACCTGGTCTCTAGTGATTGTCATATCTCTCACGTTGTTAAACGTTTCAAGTCGTCGGCTCTTGATCACCCAATAATCCTAATAAGCCTATTCAAACACGCTAGTCAAGTTTCTTATTTGAAAGTTCCTGAATTTTTTAAAATACGGCATCCTGTGAATCAAAGAAGAAGAAAAATTACAAGTTCTTACTTGTTTCCTAATTATTCGAACTGATCATGAACGTTTTAATTCTAAAACTACAGTGCACCATACAGGAACATGGACTTGAGACAGAGAACGTCTTAATTGCAGTGTGTAGTCATCTAAGTTTAGACTTTCACTAGAAATCGCCCCTGCCTCTTGTTAACAATCCCTTTTGAACCTCTCACTAAACATAAAAGCGTCAAATAAACTCTTTTCCGCTTGGATTTGACTGCTGGCGTCCCAAAACGTTTCCCTTGCATTTCTAGACTTTCTATCGTCTCGTTTCTATCGTCGATATTCTTTAATAATAAGATCTCTGTCTTCTTTGATTGTAACCATGGCGACCAAGGCTCCCGGGGACGGAAAGAAAAGGTCGCACGAAGGCGCGATGTTGCTGTTGCCGCTATAGCTATACGCCGTCATTTTAAACCCCTAGTTTATATCTCAGTACATAGTGGCGATGGACCTTAACAGTAAGAGTTTCTTTAATTTGTACCATTACGACAAACTTCGCCCTCAGTGGTGGGAAGAAAATGTTGCCTCGCGAAGCGACGTTGCTGTTGCCGCTGTGAGGTCATTTTAGACGCATTTTCCAGTTGCTGTCCGATTCTGTTTGGAAAATTGGCTCTTACTTGAAGGGTTTTGGTCGGGACGAGACGAGAAAGTATTTATCGGGTTTTCAAGATTTTTCTTAGTGTCCCAGTTTTCCTCTTTGAGGGCCATTTCTTGTATATATTTTATATATTTCTGAACATTTTATTATCATCGTATAATTTCAAGCATTTTCCCCTATTCCGCTGTAGGAATTTTAAACTAGTTAAGGATTTACTATAGACATAAATAAGTGCAGGTTCGAAAGTTTTCAGTCCTCCGTAGCAATCTACTCACTCCATGGCCACAGATTCTGCAATCCTTTCGGTCAGCACTAAGGATTAGTTACCCGTTGATACTCTAGGGAGGTGTTTGTTGGTATGTAGGCTCTGAGAGAAACTTACTGAAATGTCAACAACTAATTCGACGAAAAGAGAACGGCTGTACCATTTTCTTGAATAGCTCTCGGCGGGAGGGGGTTGGGGCCCCCATTTAATGGCCCATATGGATGTGCCGCAGGTTATAGTTTTTGTCTCTCTGTCTTAAACAGGGTATATAATGTCCTGTGTATCTGTCCTAAACAGGGTATAATTGCGTGTGAGTCTGTGCTAATTATCATTGCTTGCACGATTGATTTGATTGATAATTTATTTACACTCCAAAAGCAATGACTTTTGCGTGAATTTGCTTTATCTAAAACAAGATGGCGTGCATTTTGTTTGTCCCAAACTGGGTAATGAAATTGAAGGTGTTGTTCTAAACAGGGTTTGTATTAGTATTTTAAGATTTTTTCTGGTCCTAAACAGGGTCAGGGTTTCTAAACCAGAGCGACTCACGTACATCCAAATATTGGTCGAGAACTCTCCCCCTAAGGTATTAGCTCCAGTTTTAATTCAAAATTAGCGATTCACTCACAGACAGTCACTGCATTTCAATCCTACTTTAATTTATAAACTTTACTAACTTAGAGTAAAGTAATAAATTTAGACAAAGATAAACACACTATCTTATTAAAGGGACTAGTATACAACACTATAACAGAGACGTTGCCAGACTGCTTGTGGCTATGTTAGTTACTCACTCTCTTATCATCAAGTTTAAAAGTGAATAAATGATCACCAGAGAACGAGGAGTTCATGTTAATTGACCTCCTGGTCCGAAACGCACATTAACAGTTCTTTTAAAAATTTTGCTTGCTAACGAAGCAAGAGGTCATTGAGCAAAATAATTTCAAGCTGACAAATTGTACATGAAAATACTATTACATGGGGCTTATGAATTTGGTTATTTATTGACTTAAATATATTTAAACAGCTAGTAAGCCATGCAAATACTACTAAAATTTAAGCTAGCGAAAAATTAATATTTCTTTGCTGGGTTAAACACATGTCAGGCTTACTGTGGTTACGAGTACGTGCTTCATAATTGCAATACGTTCATGTAAATTTGGTTTAAAGTTACGAGTTTTTAGCACTTTTTGTTCAGAAGAAACAAAACAGTACAAAAAGCAACAGAAGGATTGATTATTGTGGTACATTTAAGCCCTCAAGTGTCAAAAATAATATTTGTAGTTTCTAGACTACATAGTACCGACATAACAGTAAAGCGGAATTTCAGTAAAAACGAAATTGCAGCCAGTTGAATGACGTCACAGGTTCCCAGCAGCACCAATCCCATAACATGTATATCGTCTTGTAGAGCTCATCCCAGGTTTACTAGTAAATGCTTCCCCTTTTTAAGATTACTCAAAGGAAGAAGTTATAACAACCTATCCCCTTGTTCCAGCAAAAAAATAGAAAATTCGTGGAGCAATAGTTAAACGAACTTGACGCCTTGGAGTTAAAATGCCGAGCAATGCTTTTTCGATTTTCTTATAATCCTTGGAATGTAGTTGTTCCAAAATGCCACTTCTTTTGCTCTATACTTATTATTTTCCTCGGGCTTCACGTCAAGGGCCAGGTAGCACTGGTTTTCTTTGGTGAACTTCGGCCACCTGACAGGAGAATCGGGGCCAGTAGGATTCCTGAAAACGAGGCAAAATCAGTTAATGACGATATTATAATAACCTTAATTTATGATCATGCCCAGATTACACAAATCTGCATTTAAGAAGTAACGTAATCATTTCAACAAAAGAACATTTACCCCTTTACATATAGGGCTTGCCAAGGAGACTTTTGGGTTTTCCTTTGCCTTTACGCGCATCTTGCCAGGCAAGAGAGGTTGTCGTCTCCCATGTCCGTGGCCTGTTCAAGGCCTGCAGGTGGTGGGATGGCGCAAACAGATGTGAGTAGCAAAAACGGCGAGGGGGTAGGGTGACTTGGTGCTAAACTTCACTATCTGAACGCTCGGAACAGACTGTCACGTCTGGAAATGATAGCTCCAAATTGGAAGTGAAATGTGTAACCGCATTGCAATGATTATAGAATACCTTATGAGAAATACAGAGTACCGAAAAGGTGAATCTTTCTCCGAAAAAGAGTATCCAACTTAGTTTGCAACCTTTAAATAAACAACTGCTGGTGCTGTCAACGGAGATCGTGTAAAAGGAAATAAGTTTCATTCCATTGACACATGCACTATGGGATTTTGTTCATTGTCTCAACGGTTACTGCACTACACATAATGTCTTAACTGATTGTAACAAAGAAACAAACAAACAAACAAACTGACAACAAAAACGTTAACGTGGTTAGGGACGCCTTTGAAGCCTGAAAAGTGTTAGGACAAAACGCCTGCGTGATCTTCTTACCCGAACTTAGCAAAGTCTGTCCACAGCTTCATGATGTACCTGCTGAGTCCCGTCTCAATATCAGAATATCTGGGAGTGAAAGAGTCTACCAGAGGTGAAATTTTCGCGAAAGGTGCTCCAAATACAAAGCCAATGTCATCACCGTGAAATGCACCTGTCAACTCGGGAAGTTTGGAAAAATCAGGACGATGCTCAAACACGTAGAAATAAACAGACTTTTTAGCCTGGAGAAGAAAGAGTAGTTAGACCATTAATAGAGTCAGTTGGTGCCCCTTCGGTATTTTTGACTGGTCAAAGTACAGGAATTTGTATGGACCAAGAGAATGGGGAGAAATCGGACCACGGTTAATGTGACATTTGCACGATGATGTTCATTTACTGTAAGTTCCAGAATCCTTTCGTTTGTTGTTTTCTTCTTAGGGTTTTAAACTTAGCTGGAGTAAAAGCTAAAACGAAAGAGTTCTAGTGGCTAAAGTCAAATGTCGTTATAGTGAAAATGGAAGTGGGTCATTTCCCCTTCCGGCCTTCCGATCATCTTTTAGTTAAAACGTCTAACTTTCATGTACGTTAGCCGGCGATAAATTTCATCAGTTTGCTTTCAACATGGAATCTTGCAAAAGAAAATATTTCGCCGTACTGAAAGTATAGAGTTACGGCGTCTTCGACGAGTTTCACGTGAAACCAATGCCTCATGAAAGAATAAGGAAAAAACTATTTTGGGATATGAAATGGAAATGGGTTGAAGGATGAATTGATCTGTTTCGTCCAAAAAACCAAGTTATATCGATGGCGTGAGCAAAATGATTCCTACTCGTCGATACAAGGTTCTCAACCAATTTGACTGCACTAGCGACTAATTTATCCAGCTATCAAATTGAATGTTTGGACCTGGGGGAGGGTCGGGCGGGATTTGAATTTTATTTTTGAGAAGTTTTTGGACAGGAAAATAATTCAAATTTGATAAAATATCCCTTTCTGGAAATAACAAAACTGCAGTTTGGTTCAAAATTTGCGGTGAAAATACCCAGAGGGGGGAAAGGGGAAGTGTTCAAATGCCGCACCTATGCCCGAATATCCCTCTTATGTACAAACATTGATACCTGCATTATGAGATAGACATTTGTGGGGCTTATGAGTCAACGTATTGAATATGGCTACTGAGAATACCTCAGCTAAAGCGATTGCCTCAAAAGTCATTGGTGCCACAGTCATAAAGTCACTTTCAATCATCCTGTTTCTCGCTTTTGTGTCAGAGTGATCTGCGTACTGGTACTTAACCAGCTCGTCCACAATTTTGTTGTCTATGTTTCCGTATTTGAGGGTTTTTGCAATGCTGCTTCTCGCATCTTCTGGCCTTTGAATGACATCTAGAGATGACTCGTTGGTTGTAAACCCAGTCATGATTTTAACATTTGGAAACAGTTTTTTCAAAAGAGAATCAGGCGGTTTTTTCCCTTTCTTGTGATATTCATACAGCTCCTGAGTAGATTCTTCTAGAAAATCATCATCAATCACTGGGTTGCTGAGTTCCATCAGAGCTTTGGCGTTTTTGGAGGAGATCGAAGATTGCAACTGAATGATGTCCTCAGCACTTTTACCACGAAGACAGTCGAAGAGCTTGTCGTTAAAAGAGCAGTTTGCATCAGCAGCTAGCTTTTGTACTGACTCGTTGGCTGCCTTTCTTGGTAGGTAGGGAGCTGACGCTGCACCGCTTTGCATGATGGCCCTTTGGAACAGATTTTTTGATTTAGGCGACATTAGATGTAAAGCGACGCTCGTTGCCCCTGTACCCTGACCAAACACAGTCACTTTGTCGGGATCACCACCAAAGGAGGCAATATTTTCATGGACCCACGTCAGTACTTGAATCTGTAGAGAAAAATACCGTATTTATTCGAATAAGCGCCCAACCTCGAATAAGCGCCCACCCCATTCCGCCCCCCTCCCGCTCAAACTCAAATACCACCCTCTACCACCCCCGCAAAAAATTGAGTTATTACTACAAGTGACTTTCCCGAAGATGGAGCTTTCTTCAGAGTATTTTACAGAAACCTTGCTTTGTTACATCTTTCCGTTTTGTTTCCAAATTAACATACTACTATTGCTGAAAATGGTGAAAATTTAAAAAGCGCTCAGCCTCGAATAAGCGCCCTCTCGCAAGGTCCAAAAGGTTTGCACATGGCCTCCTTTTGAAAGTGAGAGTTCAGGGGCGGATCAAGCATTTTTCTCTGGAGAACTTGCACCTCTAAGAAATGGCGTAACTGACTGGTGATGTAAACAAATCTTAAAGCGAATACGAATTGACTAAGCACTAACATAACGTGAACTGCTGATAATACATATCTCCATATTTTGAACGATACCAGTCGTCAGGAGCACTCTCAGGGGAGGAGGAGTGCGCATACCCTGCACCCTCCCCCTAGATCCACCCCTGGAGTTCGGGTACTCGGAAAGAGGAACATTGGGGAGAATGGGGTGTGCCGATCAACAGAACAAAAGAACAAGTGGGAGGGGACAAGATATTGTTACAACCGTTGCGAATTTCGGGGCTCGCCCGCTCCGAGAACACGTGCTTGCGTCCCTCCCAGGGGTGATAGATTTGCTCTTATTTTACTCTCTCTTGAGTCGATTTAATTAAACATTTCTTCACCGAAGCTTGTTACCTGATCAAACATTCCGTAATTTCCCGTTTTCTCCGTCCCAGGAACACTGCTTAAGAATCCCAGAATTCCTAGCCTGTAATTGAATGTCACAACAATGACATTATTGTAGCCTGCTAAAACGTGAGCTGGATATTCAGTAGAGGAACCAATGGAAAAGCCACGGAATTCAGGGGAGGAACTGAAACTGGCCAAACCAGTGCCATGAATCCACACCATCACTGTCATCTTGCCTTCTGTGCTACTAGTTGCTGGCACAAACACATTCAAGAAAAGACAATCCTCATTTTCTGAAAAAAAAACCCCAAAAAAACAAAAAAAAAAAACAAAACAAAACAAAACAAAAACGAAAAGATCCATATCAGTAAAATAAGACAACGGGAATGTTGCTGTAAGGGGGTTACCTTCTCTTTTTGAGAAGACCGTAAATATCTCGCGTCTTTTTCTAGCTGGTGATGATGATTATGATGATGACGACGAAGATGATGATGGTTCAATCAGGAAGTGCGCAACATACCTATGGCCTATACGAAGATATGCCGCAGGGCATAGGGTGTGGTTATTGAACTCTGTCCTAAACAGGGTTTATGATGCTATGTGAGTCTGTCTGTCTCGATTGATTTGATTTCCAAGATACATTTTGTTTCTACTCCAAATATACAAAAGCCTATAACGTGAAGTTACCAATAAATGGCTTTAAAATAAGACGGCGAGCATTTTTCCTCTTTGTCCTAAACAGGATAATCAAATTGAGGGTAGCGTTTCAAACAGGGTATGTATTTTAGAAATTTTTTTGTTCTAAACATGGGTCAAGTTTTTTGCAACGTGAAATGAAAGGAACCAATATGACGTAGTGTGGAGTCAAGTGAAGGTATATCTTAAATGTTTTAAGTCCTGACTCGCAGATACTCTTTCCGTGCGTAGCGTTCGTTGAATTGACGGATTAAGCTTTGAATCTTTGAATGTGCCATAGTCTGACATACAACCTTTTACTCACTTTTGTTGATGTCTATAAGTACTCTTTTTTCGCCCGATACTTATGCGGAACCGTCTTCCGTCTACTGCTGTTAACGCTCCCTCTTTGCCCGAGCCAAAACCTATCTGTCATCACCCACCATTGCCACGATTAGCCTATGCTATTCGCAGCTAACCGATAAAGATTAAAGATAAAGATCGTCCATGAGAGCTTTCAAAAGCTGGCTCGACGCATCCAATAATACTGTTATACGCCTCTTACCTTTTCCTATTTCCCTCTTAAAGTTAGGTATATCAAAGCGCGGTTGTGGACACGCCGATCCAAACTCCTTCGCTGCCCTTTTTCCTGACCAAGGTTTAAAGGATTCTGGACGAGCAAACCTCAATTCGTTGACCGGTGGTTTAGCGTACGGGATACCGAGATATTCATACACTAATTTGCCATTTGGTAGCGTCTCAAGCTTGCCAACAATTGTACCTGATTTGGTTTTTACCTCGGGGTCGCTGCCGTTGACCTAGTATCGAAGGGGTTTGTTTAATTTTGTGAAAAAAAAAGCATTAAAAACGGACAGAGGCAGGTGCCGACTATCCTGACAGACAGATCATTGGATCCTGGGGACTCATGGAGGTGAAAAAAGGAAAAATGTTAAAACTACTTACCTTAGGAGACGGAGTTGCTTGTGGGCCTAAAATTTACAATCATAGATTCAGTATATTACTTCTATCTCTATACAGGACAGAGTGAAGAAGGCATGTCAGTCTTATTACCAGAAAAAGGCGCTGTTGATTGCTCTTATTTCGGATTATATTTGTAACGAAGTATCAGTTTTTATTTACATGTAAAATTTCTTCTATCAGGGTCTTTTTTTTATTAAAGAGCCACTGCATATTATAATTCTCATAAAAGAGGTACAATCATACCCTCGCTCGTAACACTGTTTGGCTTTGTTAAGCCCAGCAGCAGTCTACGGTATTTTATAAGAATCGAGGTTTTAAGAATATTTAAACTAAAAAATATTTTGAGAATAAACCCAAGGCCGAAGCTTAAGAAAAGGATATAATTAGGTTGGGGAAAACCTGTAAATACAATACAACTTAACCGTATAAAAATATACCTTTCTCCGAACGACAGAATTAGTTAACCAAACGAAAAAAACCTGCACTAGGTATAGCCAAATGTTCAATGCTAATGACTTCCATGATCAATTATCATTATAATTCTGTGTATAGTCTTACTTACACTCTAAAGAGTAAATGATCTTGGCTTCAGATGTACGGACTTTGTAGTCAGTTGTGTGCACTTCACAAACAAAGGTCACAGTTTGACCCGGTATTTTCTGTGGCAAGGTCCGTTTTATGCTCAAGGTGCCCTCCAGGGAAATGCCCAACACATGAATCCTCTTGTCTTCCAGAAAACTTTTTGGTGTCCCACATTTATTACGGTTACAGTAACCGATAGCATCTTCCGATCCTTCCACTTTCCAAAACAATTCCTTGAATTTGCTTCGGTCCTTTTCGATTGCAGCACAGTCCAGTGTCTGGACATTACCTTCATCTCTGATGGAACGTTCTTGCCGTTTAATGACAGAACCTGAAAAATATGTGATTACAAGCTGGTGAGACTTCCTTAAAGGATCTTTGAAAAATTTATTATAGGATTTTATCTTGATTGAGAAATTTGATTATTCTGTAAGAATAGTCGAAACTGACTCTTAACTGAAGAAAAGAGAAATTAAGATAATAGTAATAAGAAATTGTGGATATGGCCATATGTAGAAAACGTCATGGAAAGCGCGCGCGTAACTGTATTTATGCCAACTTATTTGGGCATGAAAATTTACGACAGCTTTTCAGTAAGCATGTCTTAGTATGTATACAATAAATAAAGTTAGTTATCAGTCGATGGGGCAAATTTGTTTTCCTTTTATTGGCTAAGATCCCACCCCGTGACCTGAAAATATTTGTCTGCAAATAATGGTTTGCTCATGCGCAATGTCACTTAACTGTGTTTGGCTGCAAATAACATTCTGTTTCTGTGTAAATGAAACCACGCTTTTCTCCTTCTTGCAAGACTGCCCACCATGTGGTATCGTTTGTCAAAACTTGTTTTACTCGATAGTTTATCATAGTGAGTTAATTGTTGTTTTTCTTTGTTTCCTGTATTATAATAGTACATCGATAGAAATTATGTCGAGGTCTCTTCGAGTTCGCTATCATCTGGCGATGACCATTACCCTTGCCGGAAATCCGCCAGAGAATTTCTCGGGGAAAACGATACTGACAGGAAGTGCCTTTTCAGTGGAGAATTCATGTAGTCGGCGCTCGAAACATGTAAAACATCATTCCTACCTGATGTGTAGTGAAGCAAATTTCCTGTTGGGAGAGCATAAAATAGCAATTAAACGAAACTCTGTGACACTTTCACTTTCACAGGCAAACCAATATATGTCATATACTTTTTAAAATGGACATATCATATTAACATAACTAAACATTTGAATTGCTTCCTTTTCACGTTACAAACCTGTTTCGTGCTGAATTTGCTAAATTTGATTATTTTATATGAAAAAAAAAGCTAATTTGAAACAAGTTGGTATACTAACTTTCTTTAATACCATGTGAACTGTCAGCGGCTTTAGTCTGCCTTCGCGAGTCTCCGACAGTTATCAGCTTATTATTTGGACAGCTTTCAGTATAAATCACTTTAAACAAACAACCCTCTGCTTCAGAGCGTCCTTAACTGAAATAACTAGTTACTTCGTCCATGCTGTTTTAGACCGGCACTAGGTACTGGAAGTGACCCGAGGTAATTAGTATTCAGTAGTCCTGTAACACAACCTATTCTCGGCAAGTTAGAGTGCCAGCGACACGTTTTTTCTCATATACAAAACTTTTAAACTAATCAGACTAGTCACGCAAAGAGCTTCTGTTGATAAAAGCTCTTGAACGCAGAGGTCCACTTAACGCGTAAAAAAAGCAGACTGGTTCTTTTTTTGTCGGATCTCTTATGTAGAGATGGTAATGCCAGACGTCGCTTGAACCGTATCGATCGTTTTATTGTATAATTATTTACTCATCTATCATGCTATTTATTGTTCTCATTTCTAGTATATCATTTTTAATATATCATCAGCCTTTCAAATTTTAGGAGCCATTGTAATATTCTTTTTCAGTGTGCTCTGGCCCTGAGGAAGGCTAAATGTGTTAGCCGAAATATAAGCCTTTAATGAATCAGCCCTTTGCCGTATTGCCAGCTTTGCGTTCACTTTTGCTATTAATAGTTATCGCTTTCACTTGGACACTGATGGCCCTCCAAGATCGGATTCACGAAGCCCACTGTCAAGCCTTCCTAGATCGATCAAGCCATTTCCCTATAATCCTTTTTTTTGTAAATTCACAGAGAGACAGACTTTTAAACTGAATAACTTAAAAACTCTGTCCATAAGATCTTGAAAATATTGTGCTAACGAAGCAAAGATCAGCCTTATTAAAGCGAATTAAAGCACTTTCATATCCGTTTGCGTGACCTTTGCCAGAGGCAAAAGATCTTCTGGTTCACTTTCCATTTTTGTTCCTTTCGTTCAAAGAATTTCAACGGATATTTATAGTTTCCGGCTTAAATGAAAGGGAAGACTTATACTCTCCCCTTATATTTTCAAGTGCTCATCTGAGGGTGGCTGATGGCGGATGCAATATCACTAAAGGGGTTTTTTTCCTTTCGATATAACAAAATATATCCCATCGTGACTCCGGCAATGTATCGAAACAAAATGAGTTGGTTGGCTAAAATTAGCTTTTGGTTACCCACAACACGAATTTCCCGATAATAGTTTCTCGTTCGGGTGTGAAATTGGAGTACTAGTTTAACCCATGATTACGTTGTCAACGGTCAAATGATTATGTTGTTTCATTAATTTGCATTTAAGTAGCTTGGCCAAATCCGATATGCAGGCATAACTGAAGCTGTACTGAGAGAGTATCACTGGGAAATTTAGGGGGCGAGAGGAAGGGTGGCGAAGAAATATACCTGTTTCAGGCCCAAAATGCAGTAAAAAGACCATACCCTTAGGCGCTGCACATTTCCGTTTAGCGCTTATGCAGTCTAAAGGGACCAGAGGGGCACCTGTTCAGTTTTCCTTTTATTGAAGCACAGTAGGGAAAAGAGAAAGAGCAAGACCGAGAAGGCAGTAAGAAAGGGACTTAGGGATGTTTTCGACATGCCTCTAACAGACGTTGGAAGATTGGCAATTGATAGAAATTGTTTCCACTGTGCAGTCAATGCAATGTCCTCTGGAGATAAGAAGTCAAGGTAGTATTTTGAATATGATAAGACAATATTTTTAATAAAATAAAGGACTCACTAAAGGATAAGATTTAGACAGTCCTAATCTGTGTCGTTAAATGACATAATGCATCCGGCCTTAACAGCCTTTAAGTGAACATATATTTCCATTTATTCAATATCTATTTTCCATTGTTTGTTTAAAAGACTGAAGCTAATCGGAAATACCAAATAGGGATCACGCCTTAACTTCGTCGACACGAGGGGAACACTTACTTTAATCCAGTTTAGTCTTAGCCCAGAAAAATTGGCAAACACAAAATAACATCAAGTCACGTGCAATGCTTTCAACTTACCCCAAAGAAGCAATAACCAGAGAGCTGAACGAGAGCTCATGTTGACCTTTCTCTAAGGAAATGATTCTTGTAGTTGCTGAACAAGTTTCGCTGGTGTAATGCTTCGCCGACCAAGAAAAATAAGACCGACTCTGCAAGAAAGAAAAAGAGACGAACTACTTCGTCATCAAGAAGTCGTAAACGAGGCTTTCTCTTTCGAAGTCAACTCAGTGAAGAAATCAGGTGTATCAGAGTAAAAGATTCCTGCGATCGAGAAGCGTTTTTTGGCAATCTAGAGAACCAATGTTGAGTCCAGTCTGCACCCACACTGATTATATTGTTTGAGCCTATATTATATTACTGAATCATTTGTGCTCCATACTCTGAGAGAAATAACCCTCAAAGAACAAGTTTTAAACGGCTTCTCTCGTCAAATGGGCGCGCTTTCCAAGTTTCTTGCTATACTCATGATTACTGCCGGGGCGTTAAATAGTCAAATTCAAAAGGCAGTTCGGATTCTTGCTTAACATGCTTTGGGATCTGTGATCAATAGCTAAAGATAGACTAAAGATGTATGCTCTTTAATGTCGAATGACAATCAATTCTCCCTCAAGAGAAAGTTGTGCCACAGTAGTAGAAATAACAACTAAACTATTTCAAAGTGCATTCTCCACTTTGCGTTCCTTGAAACGTCTTAGACTTGAGCTGCCAGGTTGCATCTTCTGTGTCGATGCTCAATTAACCTTTCCAACAAACTACTTTTTCATGTCGAGATTTATACCGTTTTCATCATGATGAGGCATCTCTGGCAATATCGAGCAGCGAAATAAAGGCTCTGACGTTAGGTTTGACAGTATCTTTTCTAACATTGTTTCAGCTAATTTTCGATATTTTTGCTTTCACCGATAATGATAAAGTGATCGACCAAATAATCACAAACAACAGAGAAGTAATAAACAAATTATACTTACAAAGGAATGAACCGACTAATATGACTAACTTACCGTCTTCTATCCCTTTACCGCTAGTTGTGGACTTCGCACTAAAACTGACTTCTTTAATAATTCACAAGTGTTTTATATAAATGATCATGTGACTAGTTTACCGATACACCCCTTAACAGCAACATAAATAAAACGTTTGTCACCTATTGTAAAATATACCCAAACAGGAAAAAAAGAGAACGATTCAATATGGGTAACGGACAGTTTTTGAACATTTCCGGTTAGAAAGTAAATGGAAAACAGTTATGGGACTTTTCGGGACCGCCTGGGATTACCCATAATTCAGTGGAAACTTTCCAGGCCGGAAAAAAACATACAGAAATGCATGTTCTTTTTCGTGAAACCCATCTTTTTAACACCAGTTTTGGTAAATGCGACTCCTGAAATTTTGTTTATCGTTTATATACAATACTGAATACTGTGGAACCTCGATATAACGAACCTCTTTATAACGAAGTCCTCGGTATAGCGAACAACTTTTGCCAGTCCCTTGGTTTTGTTATTTAAGACTATACCGTAAAATTCCGAAAATTAGCCCCGGGGATTATATTTTTCAAAGGCCCTTTTTGAGGGGCTTATCATAAACCCCTCAAAAAGGGGCTATATTTTCAGTTACGTATAAATTATACTAATGGCGGATGTGAATTCATGTAAATTTATATGTTAATTTTAGTAGGGCCTACCCCCAAAAGTGATTGACGTGCTGAAGCAAAGAAAACTCGGGTTATGACGGAATAATATTCGCTGTAGGAAAGTGAAAGTTAATAGTTAAACAAGTTTAGTAGTTAACTGAGAATTGTCCCCCAAAATAGTAGTAAACTGATATTTGGCCGAAAAATTAGAAGTTAACTGAGAATTGGGTACCCCCATTAGCACCCTTGTGAAACTGAATCTCTTTCATCATAGACAGCCCAACTCACGAGACGAGTTCTGCCACCAGTTGCGCTAGACGAAGTTGGAAGAGACTGGGCTTTTGAGGAAAGTGGTATCGCCGGTTCTTCTTCCAACCGTTGGCAATCTAGAAGCACTTAGATTTGATAAAAAATTCACATTTTCTTCAGTGAAAGGAATAAAGCAATGTTCTCTCTTGTGAATGCTTGTTTTATTCAATGAAATTTGTTCGTGTTAGACTTTTCTTGATACCGCTCAGTGTAAGTGCTGTAATTCCCTTTTCCTGGCCTTTCCAAGAACTGCTCCAAAGGACATGCTCTGTCACGCGTAACAAGTTGAAGTTAGAATAAAAAATCTCAATCACACACTAGCTGGGGTCGCCTTAAGTGTCAATCCACATTAGTCAAGCACCACAAAGCACTGAATTTCCTGACTGCCGGTATCGAAATAACGAAAGTGATGCCTTCGTCATTATATAAAAAAAGTTATTGACAAATGAAATATGCTTCGAAATAAGAGACACATTGACCAGCTGATTGACCTTAGACCAATTTCAATTTTCTTATTTATACATTGTACCGTAACCAGCATTGAACTCAGACAACTCATGGTGAATGTATTAAACATTTATTTCGTGTAAGACTTGTAACTCTGAAGTGTCAGTCTACAAATCAAGTACATTTTCCACTGAGCACTGAATTTCTTGACTGTCAGTATCGAAATAATGGCATTTCGTTCATTGCAACTCAAAATGGTATAATTTAGTGACAAATATGCTTTAAAAATAAGAGATATATTGACCAGCTGATTGACCTTAGTTCAACCGGCTTAAATTTGCCCTAACCATTAAAACCATCGTGATTGGATAAAGATATGGATTTGATCGTGATTAATCAACAGGAAGAGGAACAACTAAGATCACAGGGCGTTCCTAATATCAGAAACCGGAAGTGGTTTAATTTTGAAAGCTGACTGGTTTGGTCTTTCTTGATTCTCAGAAGAAAATATGTTTGCGTGCGGTGGGAGTTTATTTTTCTCGACTGATCAATTGCAGGAACCCATTATCAGGGGCACCCAACAACGGTTTCCTCTTAAATTCATTGAAAACACTTTTTAGGCTATCCAGAGTATTTTTAAATCTCTAGAAATGCATTGTAAGCGGCGCTATAAAATTTGCATCTTTTCGGTCATCCTAGGGGAACTTGAGTCTTTTCGAAATTACCAGGGCCTCAGTATTGTTTTCTCGAAAATTTTAGATGCCGTTTTAAGTTTTACGAAAGTGAGAATTTGTTTGATTCCTCTCCCCATCGCATTTTCGGTTTCCTTTTTTCTACGAAAAATAACCTAACCTGGGGACTGAAATGCGAAGATTTGAACTTTAGAAAATTGTGGGGAATTTATTACATATGCTTCGAAAATTGAACATGAATGGAATGGTCAACTAGAAATTTTTAGCCTTCCTCAAGCTATAGAAAATTCTAGGGAATTTTTGCTTCTCTGAAAAAAAAAATACAGAAAACAGTCGATCAGGGTGTCCCTGCGTTATGGGCCCCTGTCAATTACAAATAAACTCAAAAAATACAGTAGAACCCCAAGTGTAACTCGAACTCGGATAACTTGAACTCACCGCTAACTCGAACCATTTCCCTTGGATTTTTCAGTCACTTTCACTCGGCGAACTCGACTTTGGATAATCCGAAATTTTCGGTAACTGGAACTAAATTTCGTTTACCTTGATCCAAATTTACCCCGAAACTCGAATTTTGGCTGTTATAAGTCACCATGGATGCCATCGATCCCGTTAGCTCCTCTTGTCCTGTAATAAGTAAAAGCCTTAAAACCGGTACACTATAGCTTGCATAAAGGGCGCTACAATGTAGCTTTATGAGCCTACGTACGTAGTATGGGCGAAGGCGGCATTTTGCGCAAAGCGCGAAACAAGTGCGAATCCTCCCTTTGTCTCGCGCTTCACACTCGTTTCGCGCAAAATGCCGCGTTCACCTCGCTTGGCTGATGAAGCGGCTGTTATGCAGGCTAGAAACACTACTGTGAATAATTTTATTTTTATGATTGCAAAGAACAGATCAAGTATTTGACAGTCATTTCCCAAACTTATATAAATTATACCGAGTCATCAGACTTGAGAATGCATGATCGTGTTACAGTTTCTGATAAGATAGATATAAATTGCACCGTTCGTACTGCATGATACTGGAGTGCTGAACTATCAGCAAACTATTAATTTGTGAACATCGCAAACAGGGACATAATAGCAAGCCACGTGAACCGGTTGACCTGTTAACAACCGGCGTTAACAACCATGCTTGAAATGTTGCCTTCACTTAGCAATAAGCAGTGCGTTATCAACAAAAGCCTTTTTGAATTCTTTATAAAGATCTCTATTTACACAAAAATTGAGACGCGAGTGTCTATCTGCTTGACTAGGTTGTGTACACTAGAGATGGGAATCAGCTGTCTTCTCAGTATTGTACATTTACCCTTCCCCAGAAGGGGTTCAGGGGAGGAAGGATGGCAACGGCCTTTGATCTTGCCGCTTTCGGCTTTCTATGAACATAACATAACATAACATAACATAACATAACACAACACAACATTTTATTAGCATTCCCATATACAGAAATGGTATTGCTTTTAAACTATTACAATTATGAATTCAATTAAATTTAAACTTTACCCGTCCGTAGTTTCTATCAAATGAAGCTTAAGCAAATGAAAGAGTTTGTGTGTTTCACAGCAGTCATTCCTCTGATGTTAATTTTCCCCAAGACACTGCCTTAAGTTTGAGTCCTCATTCAAGTGTGTTTTTGTTGCAAACAAAGAGGGAAAATTATAAATTCCAAAAACTACACTACTTTGGAACAAGATTATGGTTTTAAAAAGATATAGAGTGTTTTCACATGACGTCACGGCGGCCATATTGGTGTCCCAAAACAATGAAACGCGGCCATGTTGGTGTCCCAAACCAATCCTCTGGGAGTTGAACTCTTTTCTTATGCAAACGCTCTCCTTTGTTCCAATAAATTTGCATAGATGCTGGCCACATGAGTGAAAACACTCTATAGCTAAGTTCAGAAAATAAAATTTCAAGTTTACACGTTATGAAAAGGACCACATCTGTCTAAATTTGCTTCAAAGGGAATTTGTAAAATCAGGAAAATGGAGACATTTCTATTTTTGCCTTTCGGCTTTTGGCCACTATGATTACCTTATAGTTGCCTGTAATTACCTTTGGACATCAACCTGCCACAATTGAACAACAAGTCTGAACTACAAGTTATTTTGTGTCTGTGTAAAAATTCAGTTACTGAAATCAAACCCTCCCAACCTAACATTGCCTTGTACTAGTGGATATGAAAAACACTATAAAGAATGTAAAATGATATATTAAGATGCTATTATTTGTAGTCAACAATAACACTTAAAAACTTGTGTTGAGGCTGGCAAAAACATTTTTTAGAGACCATGAACCTTCAGTGACTTTGCTGTTGTAACAACTGGTAAAAGGGTCTTAAAATGTGAGATCACCTCCCTGCAATTGCACTGAAAGAGCGTATGGGTAGTAGGACATGCACATTGTTCATTTCCCTGCCCTTTTTAAACCAAGTAAGAGACCTCATTTTATAATCCTGATTCTTTTCATTTAGCATACAGAATTAGCTTTTAAACTTAGAAAGATGGAAAAAGACTTGAAAAAAAATGTTGGTACCAAAAATGTAACTATAGACTGCTCTTCATCAACCTTCACAGTCCAAACAGACACCTTGTTCAAAACTTTAATTTAAAGACCGAAATGGTCACCACCCTTTAAGTCATACCCTGTTCAGCAGCACCTAGCCATGTATGCCTAATAAGCCAAGGGTAGTGCCGTAGAGAGAACTGCTGAGGGGATTGGGCTCAAGGACAATAACTTCTAATAACTTTTTTTGATTGTTGATAAAAAATCAATTTTACTTTGTTTATTTAAGTTGTACATCAGATTCATAACTTACACAAACAATTAAAGTTGTACATTTTTCAAGCTCCTTCTGATTCTCTTTATAAACTTTGCAACACATTCAATGCCTTTGTTCTTTCTGTTTATTGTACTTAAGTCCTTTGAGGGATTTTCTCAACGTATACCCCTCTCAGATGTAGTCACTCTCATTAGAAACTGAATTAGCCTATTATAATCATTTCAAGTATAATTTCAGAACTATAGCTAATAGGGTAATTTTTGTAAAAACATTTTCAAGAAAATACTTGAAACCGAAGACTCTATCTGCGAAAACCTAAAACTGATATCAAACGTGCATGGCTTTTGAAGAAATGGAACACGATTTCAGTTTCGTTTGGAACATTTTGTCTGGAAAAACAGGACTTCCTTTTCAGAAGATCCGTTGCCCCGAAAATTCTCCGATGAAACGATTCAAAAAGTACAAAGTCGTGTTCCATTTACTTGCCGACCGGTTTTCCTGGAAAGTTTTTGTAAATGGTAAACAAACCATGTCCCTGAAGTCGCAGTGGACACTGGCATGGAGAGGAGAAAAATGAGGGCGAGTACAATGGTGGCGACTTTCTCAGTTTTAAGGTCTTCTTTAGTGTATCTTCTTAGTTGACAATTGTAAAATTGAATTAATTGACTTTATTGACTTTTTCTTCGAAAAAACAAACGAACGAGGACAAAACGGTTTACTAGATGTTACTTACGAGCTGAGACCCTTCGTTTTTGTCCAACATGATTCTGATATGTAATCAACGTAAACAAAGGGGACCCCTACACCGTAAGTACCGTGGCTGAAAAACAATGGTCAAGCGACAGATTCAGTGTTAACATTAAACCAGATAGCTCTTGTGTCGGCACGAAAAACCATACCGGATATTGTTACACAGGATATAAACACTGCTTGAGAATATCCCACGTGTATTTTGCTCATAAATTTCCTTAACTTTTACAACTCTCGAGTTCGTAACGCCGATTACTTTTCTAGCACTTTTTTTCGCGCATGGTTTTTTTTTCTTACGTCATCAAAACGTCATATATGGTTTCCAGTCCTTAGGCGCACGGACGCCTGGCACTAAATACAAATGCTTTTAACAATGAAATTTCTATGCCTAACAATATGGCTTCTGTTCACACATGAGTTCGGTGATGTCAAGGCGATTTCTGTAACAGAGCGAAGCCTCGCCATTATAGGTGCATTTCACATGCAATTACATGAGCTAATTCTGACCCCAAATTTTGTTAAGTCTGTTATTAATGGCTTAAAGGCACCTACGTCACTGGCAAATTGAATGCAGTGTATTCAATCGACCCCGATAACTCAAATTGCTTTTCGTTAAGGTACATTGTATTGTGAAAGGTTTGAACGCAGGAGTCATTTCATTTGATCGTCCGGGTGAACGTAGTCCTGAATAGGACTCAAGTTCTTTTGACTCTGAAAATGACCACCGCACAGGTTGTCGAAACGTCAGTCACTGTCCACAACAACAGTCCTATTCAGGACTACGTTCACCCGGACGATCAAACTCAACCTACTTCCATTCAGTACTGTTTTGTTCGAGCTATCAGGGTCTCTTTCAATGCCAGTTATCTCGTCGGGTCCTTGTTACTATAAACCAAATAGCTTTTTAAAAAATTTGCTGACTTAATAACTGAATACAGCGTGAATAATGTTCTTACTGCACAAAACCAGGTTTCTCGATGGAAAACCCTTTTAATAACTTGGCAATATCAGCTTAATGCTTTCATTTTTAGTTTCAAATTACGAAGCCCCACTAACCATTAACAGTGAGCTAAATTGTTCTTCTCGCCGATCGACAAGGAACTGTTTGACTTCAAAACTATAATTTGCAGCCGTCATCAAATAGTTCAAAATATGAATATATTTCGTTTACCCGCTTGGGACAATTCCATATCTGCTCTGTATATAATCAGTCGGCTACAACTGAATACTACTTAGGCATGTTCTCACTGTTCTATGAAAAAATACACTCATGCTGAAGGGTATCGGGAGATCATTGTTCTGGTGGTTAGAGCTAATAGAAACATAAACTTGACTATCGTTATCATAGAACATACAGTTAAGATTATAACCGTGTATCACATTTTCAAGAGGGCAATATGCAAAGTAAATAGTAAAGGTCCAAGTGTGCACCCCTGTGGGAAACGGGTACTCTAGACGCCTGGACAAAGATGTGCTTTCACCAAAAATTACTCTCAGAGAGAGGCCCGATAAGTATGATGAGAACCATTACAGAGCAGTGCTTGAAAAGTTAAAATATGATGTCAGTCTTAATAAGAGGGTGTGGTCTAGTGTATTGAATGTCGCTGACAAATACTATTACCTGGGGCTTACGAATTTGGTTATTTATTAATTTTTTTATTTTTAATCAGCTAGTAAATCAAGCAAATACTACTAAACTTTAAGCTAGCGAAAAAGTGGTATTTTCTGCTGGGTTAAACACATGTCACGAGTCTTGCTGTGGTTACGAGTTAGGGCTTTATAAGTGAAAAAAGTTCATGTAAACCTTGTTTAAAATTATGGGTTTTTAGCACCTTGTGTCCAGATGTAACAGAACAGTACTGAACGCAACAGAAGGATTGATTATTTAGGCAATAGAAACATTTTTCCGTGTTTGCATACCCTGATATAAACACAAGAGAGGTTGGGAAAATTTGAGACAGTTATGCAAACCCGAGACTTCGTCTCGGGTTTGCATCACTGTCGAGAATTCTCCCAACCCCTCCAGAGTTTATACCAGGGCTTGCAAATCCATGAAGAAAGTTTTCTATCGCATTTATAAATCAATTTTCCCGCGAAAAAACGCAAAACTCTTTGTTATGGCTCTAATTGAAAGAGAAATTCTTACCAAGTTTTGCACGCGTAATCAGTTCTTGTTATACGAAAAGGTGTGTTCCAAAATACGGATTTTTCTCGGTTAAAATGCCAACTTAACGAAAATAAAATGACACAGCATGTTTGTAAAGATGTTCCAAGTTTCAGCCTACGAGAGAATGTGTAAATAAAGTAAACTTGTCCATGGATAATATCCATGACTTGTCGAGTTTTCAACTCAAAAACCTTTTTCAAATTCGTGCTTGCGTGATTAGCGCGCGAAAAGCAAAACATCTCAAGGTCACAACTGTTTTTACATACTATTATGCAAACACGCCTCTCAGCCAATCAGAGCGCGCGTTCTATATTAGTTATTTTATAAAATAGTGAAGTTAAGTCCTCATGTGAGAAAAAATATTTATGGTTTCTTGACTTGATAGTACTGACATAACAGTAAAGCTAATTTTTCAGTAAAGACAAAGTGGCACCAAGTTGAATGACGTCACCGGTTCCCAGCAGAACCAATCCCATAATATGTAAATCGTCTTATAGAGCTTATCCCAGGTTTACTAGTAAAGTTTAACCTTTTTAAGATTACTCAAAGGAACAAGATATTACAACCTACTCCCTTGTTCCAGCAAAAAAAGAAAATTCTTTGAACAATAGTTAAACGAACGTGACGCCTTGGAGTTAAAATGCCGAGCAATGCTTTTTAGATTTTCTTATAACCCTTGGAATGAAGTTGTTCCAAAATGCCACTTCTTTTGCTCTATACTGGTTCCTTTTCTCGGGCTTCACGTCAAGGGCCAGGTAGGATTGGTTTTCTTTGGTGAACTTTGGCCACTTGACAGGAGAATCGCGGCCAGTAGGATCCCTGAAAACGAGGCAAAATCACTTAATGACACTATGATAATAACCTAAGTTTATGATCGTGCGTAGATCACACAAGTCTGCATTTAAGAAGTAACGTAATTACTTTAACAAAGAAAATTTACCCCTCTACATACAGGGCAGAACTTTTATGAGACTTCCCAGGGGGACTTTTGAGTTTTCCTTTGCCTTTTTATTCTATAAGGTTAAGCGCATCTTACCAAGAGGGGCTGTCGTCTCCCATGTCCGTCGCCTGTCCAAGCGTTTAGGTTGTGGGACGGCGCAAAAAGATGTGAGTAGGAAAAACAGGGAGGGGGTAGGGTGACTTGGTGCTAAACTCCACCAGGTGAACGCCTGAACAGGCTATCATGTTCGTGAATCTCTAAATTGGAAGTGAAATGTGTAACAGCATTGCAATGATTATTGAATTCCTAATAAGAAATGCAGAGTACCAAAAAAACGAATCTTTCTCCAACTTAGTTTGAAACCTTTAAAATACACACCTGTTGGTGCTGTCAACGGAGATCGTGTAAAAGAAAATAAGTTTCATTCCACTGACACATGCACTATGAGTATAAAATTTTGTTCATTGTCTCAAATGTTCCTGGACTAAACCTACCTTAAATGTCTTAACTGATTGTAAAAAACAAACAAACAAACAAACTGTTAACCAAAAAGTTAACGTTGTTAGGGACGACTTTAAAGCCTGAAATGTGTTAGGACAAAACGCCATTCTGATCTTCTTACCCGAACTTAGCAAAGTCTGTCCACAGCTTCATGATGTACCTGCTGAGTCCCGTCTCAATATCAGAATATTTGGGAGTGGAAGAGTCTACCAGAGGTGAAATTTTCGCGAAAGGGGCTCCAAATACAAAGCCAATGTCTTCCCCATGAAATGCACCTGTCAACTCGGGAAGTTCGGAAAAATCAGGTCGATGCTCAAACACGTAGAAATAAACAGACTTTTTAGCCTGGAGAAGAAAGAGTAGTGAGACAATTAATAGAGTCAGTTGGTGCCCCTTCGGTATTTTTTGACTGGTCAAAGTACAGGTGTTTGTATGGACCAATAGAGTGGGGGAAACCGGACCACGGTTAATGCGACATTTGCACGATGACATCAGTTAACTGTAAGTTCCAGAATCCTTCCTTTTGTTGTTACTTCTACAAATCCGGTTTTTAAAACTTAGCTGGAGTAAAAGCTAAAACGAAATGAGTTCTGGTAGCTGAAGTCAAATGCCGTTATAGTGAAAATGGCCTATTCCGACCTTAAGAAGTGGATCATTTCCCATCCCGGTCTTCAGTTCATTATCGTTTAGTTAAAACGTCTCACTTCCATTTAAGTTATCCGGCGATAAATTTCATCTGTTTTCTTTCATTATGGAGTCATGAAAAAGAACATGTTTCGCCGTACTGAAAATATAGGGTTATAGCGTGTTCGATGAGTTTGACGTGAAACCAATGCCTCGTGAAAGAATAACGAAAAAACTATTTTGGGATATAAAATAGAATTGAGTTGAAGGATGAATTGATCTGTTTCGTCCAAAAACCCAAGTTATATCGATGGCGTGCCCAAAATGATTTCTACTCGTCGATGCAAGGTTCACCACCAATTTAACCGCACCAACGACTAATTCATCCAGGTATTAAATTGGATGTTTGGACCTGGGGGAGAGTCGTGCATAGGTGCGGGATTTGAAATTTTTTTTTCATTTTTTTGGATAGGAGAATAGTTTAAATTTGATAAAATATCCCTTTATGGAGGTAATAAAATTGCAGTTTGGTTCAAAATTTGTGGTGTAAAATACCCAGAGAGGGGAAAGGGGAAGTGTTCGAATGCCGCACCTATGCCCGAATACCCCCCCCATGTCCAAACATTGACAGCTTTGGGGCTTATGAGTCAACGTATTGATTATTATGGCTACTGAGAATACCTCAGCTAAAGCGATTGCCTCAAACGTCATTGGTGCCACAGTCATAAAGTCACTTTCAATCATTCTGTCTCTCGCTTTTGTGTCAGAAAGATCCGCGTACTGGTACTTAACCAGCTCGTCCACAATTTTGTTGTCTATGTTTCCATATTTGAGGGTTTTTGAAATGCTGCTTCTCGCATCTTCTGTCCTATTAATGACATCTAGAGATGACTCGTGGGTTGTAAATCCAGTCATGATTTCAACATTTGGGAACAGTTTTTTCAAACGAGAATGAGGTTGTTTTTTCCCTTTCTTGTGATATTCATACAGCTCCTGAGTAGATTCTTCTAGAAAATCATCATCAATAACTGGGTTGCTGAGTTCCATCAGAGCTTTGGCGTCTTTGGAGGAGATCGAAGATTGCAACTGAATGATGTCCTCAGCACTTTTACCACGAAGACAGTCGATGAGCTTGTCGTTAAAAGAGCAGTTTGCAGCAGCAGCTAGCTTTTGTACTGTCTCGTTAGCTGCCTTTCTTGGTAGGTAGGGAGCTGACGCTGCACCGCTTTGCATGATGGCCCTTTGGAACAGATCTTTTGATTTAGGCGACATTAGATGCAAAGCGACACTCGTGGCCCCTGTACCTTGACCAAACACAGTCACTTTGTCGGGATCACCACCAAAGTAGGCAATATTGTCATGGACCCACGTTAGTGCTTGAATCTATAGAGAAAATATACACTAAATGTCAGCTCCAGGGGGAAAAGGTTAGGTTTTCTCCAGAGTCTAACCCTTCTGGTAAGGTGGGGATTGTTTGCTATTGTTTGTTTAAAAATAAATAAAAATAAAAATAAGAAGATAAGCTTGGCCTTTCACTTAAATACACCATAGCCGGCCTTGTCTTGGACACCTTATCTTGGACATGCTCCGTTGCATTGTTGGGAGGGACAAGGTGTTGTCTGTAGTGTTTCTACGTCATATTATAGGCCATTTTTCACCGAAGCTTGTTACCTGATCAAACATTCCGTAATTTCCCGTTTTCTCTGTCCCAGGAACGCTATTTAAGAATCCCAGAATTCCTAGCCTGTAGTTGAATGTCACAACAATGACATCATTGTAGCCTGCTAAAACGTGAGCCGGATATTCAGTAGAGGAACCAATGGAAAAGCCACGGTATTTAGGGGAGGAACTGAAACTGGCCAAACCAGTGCCATGAATCCACACCATCACTGCCATCTTGCCTTCTGTGCTACTAGTTGCTGGCACAAACACATTCAAGAAAAGACAATCCTCATTTTCTGAAAAAAAAAAAAAAAGAAAAAAAATTTCATATCAGTAAAATAAGACAACGGGAATTTCTGCTGTAAGGGAGTTACCTTCTCTTTTTGAGAAGACCGTACATATGTCTCACGTCTTTTCCTCAGTTGATGATGAGGGTGATAAGGATTGTGATGATGATGATGATGATGATGATTCAAACAGGACGTGCGTCACAAACCTGCCTTGACCTCCCTGGGAGGTACCCCCTTTTAAGGCCTATACGAACATATGCCACTGGATAGGGTGTGGTGTTTGACCTCCCTGTCCTAAACAAGGTGTACATCGTGTGAGTCTGTCAACAGGGTATTGCCTGCACGATTGATTTGATTTGCAAGATAAATTTCGTTTCCTCTCAATTATACAAACGCCTATAACGTAAATTTGTTCTATTGTAATTGCCAATAAATGGCTTTAAAACAAGACTGCGTACATTTTCTCCTTTGTCCTAAACATGGTAATAAGTAAGTATTTATTTTAGGAATTCTTTGTCAGGGTCAGGGTTTTTCAGCGGCTCAAGTACTCCGTTGCCCCTCCTCCCCGGGCTTGACGTAGCACAATACCTAACTTACCTCTCTACTCCCTTGAACATGTGCTTCAATTAGTCCATCCCTAATAATATACCCAAGTATTTTTAACGTGAAATGAAAGGAAGAATATGACGCAGTGTGGAGTCAAGTAAAGGTATATCTTAAACGTTTTGAGCCCTAACTTGCAGATATTCTTTCGGACCGTAGCGTTCGCTGAGATTATGGATTAAGCTTTGAATCTTTGAATGTGCCATAGTATGACATACAACCTCTTACCCGCTTGTGTTGATGCCTCTAAGTACGGTCCCCCCCTCCCCGATGTATACCTGTCTGCAACAGTCTTCCATCTACGGTGATGTTATCGCTCCCTCGTTGCCCGTGTTTAAGTCCATAGCCAAAACTTATCTGTCATCACCTACTGCCTAATCGTGCTATCCATTGCCACGATTAGCCTGTACTATTGGCAATTAACCGATTAAAGATCAAAGATCGTCCGTGAGAGCTTTCTAAAGCTGGCTCGACACACATCTCACAATATAATACTGTTATACGCCTCTTACCTTTTCCTATTTCCCTCTTAAAGTTAGGTGTATCAGGTTGTGGACACGCCGATCCAAACTCCTTCGCTGCCCTTTTTTCTGGCCAAGGTTCTAAGGATTCTGGACGCGCAAACCTCAGTTCATTGAGCGGTGGTTTAGCATACGGGATACCGAGATATTCATACACAGTTTTGCCATTTGGTAGCGTCTCAAGCTTGCCAACAATTGTACCTAATGTGGTGTTTACCTCGGGAGCGCTGTCATTGGGCTGAAACTGAAAAAGGTTTATTTCGTGAAACAAAAGCATGAGAAAAATGGAAAAAGACTGGGGCTGATTACTAATAACAGAAAGATCATTGGACCTGGGAACTCGAGGTACTGATATGAATAAAAAGGTAAATGAAGGATAAGTACATAAATAAAATGAATACATCAAATAAATAAAAAGTATCGATTTAAGGCGGTAACTCATCCACTCAGTGGTTTTTCACCTACCTGATTCCTGGTAGAATTGGAATTTGGAAACGTTTGTTTTTGAGAAAAGGGGAACATTGGACTACCCGGAGAAAAATCTCTTGGACTAAGGAGAGAACCGACATCAAACTTAACCCACAAACGGCCTTGGTGCGGGGATTTGAAGGAAGTTTTGGGTGACATCTTTCTTCCAGGCGTGGCCTCCGTTTTAGAAGGGTTATGCGGTTTAAAAGGGTGTCCTGTTCTAGATATTTTGCTGCTGACACTCCGGCACGTTCGGAGGTAGTGACACCCATTTCTATGGAACCTCACGATTTTATCGTGGTCGACTCAGAAGAGTCAGGAAAAACTGACGCTATTTCTGACGAAAACTCGGTCCCTCAAAGACTTCAAAGTAGGCCGGGATGTCGGTATTTAAACAACGGGCAATTTTGAAATAAACTTACTCTTAAGACATTAAAAGGAAACAGCTAATGGTACTACGTGAAAGTTAACTTTGCAAGACATCAACACGACACGAAAGAAACCAAAACTGAGCAGCTGTTTCACCATTATTGTGGCTCGCTAGGACGGCGTAACAAACAGAGAAGCTCTGCTAAGAAAATAGACCCTCACTAAACTCCAACATCCAGCAAATCACACCATATCACGTGTCTCCCGGAGGGCAAAGAAGGTATAGGATGTCTCGCAAAGAAAGTATAGGATGAACAAAACCAACCTTAGAAACATGGACAAGGCAATGCAAAATGTACAACACATCGGATCTATAAAATAGATCTTCGGCCCAAAAATATAAAAAGTTCATTAAACGGAAATGCTGTTAAATTTACAAATTATAGTTTTTGTACGTTTTAAAGGTAGAATCGTTTATTGCCCTAATTTTCACTTCCATTTGTTCTGTTTATTTTTAAAAGGTGCCAAGCAATCAAAATATACCTAATAAAACAAAGCAAAATAAATAAGCAACTACAACAAGAGCAGCAACAGCAACAACAACAACGAAAACAGTAACTATGGAGCTACACTTGAAAAAAAACCTTTTTTGTAGCATACATATTAAAATTTTGTTGAGTCGGCATCAGTATGAAAACTAAAGATTTGGAGAAAAAAATGTTAAAACTACTTACCTTAGGAGACGAAATTGCTTGTGGGCCTAAAATTAAAAATCATATAGATTCAGTATGTTACTTCTCTTTATAGGACAGAATGAAGAGTGCATTTCAGACTTGTGACCAGCGAAGGGTGCATTTGATTGCTCTCGTTTTGGAATGTATTTGTAACGAAATATCGGATTTCATTTACATGTAAAGTTTCTTTAATCAGGGTTTTTTTCATTATACTAAAGAGCCACTGCATATAATAGTTTTAATGAAAGAACTGATAACACACCCTCGCGCGGAACACAGTTTGACTTTGTTAAGCCCAGCGGCAGTTTACGGTCTTTTATAAGAATCGAAGTTTTAAAGAATACCTTCAACCCGAGGTTGAAACTTTTGAAAAGTATATAACTTATGTGTTGAAAATCTGTAATTACGGTACAACTTAACCGGGTAAAAAGTACACCTTTCTCTAAACAGCAAAACTAGCTAACAAAACGAAAAATACCTGGACTAGCTATAGCCAAATGGTCAATGAATGACTTCGAAGAACAATACACGTAATACATTTGTACACTATACAGCAAGAAGAAAAGGAATGAACTAAGCCGCTTGGAAGATACAACACTGCAGTGGAGCTAAGAGGATATCTCCGACCATTCTCATTGATCAACTTCCTTGTTTCTCTATCAATGCTTTGTAAATCTCCCAATAGCCAATGTTGGGTTCAAATTGGGTATGTCAAGTACAAGCAAGGCGACCGAGTTTGTTGCCTCAACGCGACTGGCGTGGGACAGAAGGCTTGTCCAGATTAATGAGAACCTTTGCAAGTACGTCTTTGCTGCTACTGTAAGTGTGTAAGTGTTAACTTCTCGTCTTCCATCACGGACTCTCTCACACCCAGGAAATTATGCTTGGCCTCAGTCTTAAGGTACTCGACCAGAGTTGTCTCGTCTGGTTTAAGATCTACTTGAGCATTGCAGTAGAGCTAAGAGGGTGTCTCCGACCATTCTCACTGATCAACTTTCTTGTCTCTCTATCAATGCTTTGCAGTTCTCCCAATGGCCATTGTTGGGTCCACATGGGGTACGTCAAGACAAGCAAGGCGAACTGATTTTTCGCCTTGACGCGGTTGGCGTCAGACAGAGGGCTTGTCCAGATTGTTGAGAGCCTTTCCAAGCACGTCTTTGCTGCAACTGTAAGTCCTGATTTCTCGTCTTCCATCACGGACTCTCTCACACCCACAAACATGTATTTGGTCCCACTCTTAAGTTTCTCGACCAGAGTGGTCTCGTCCAGTTTGAGGTTTGCTGCATGTTCAACTTGCTTGCCCTTTCTGACATTGATAACTTTACACTCATTTGGATTCCACTTCTAGCCCATATCCTGCAGGTTAGCACTCATCTCCATACTCCAAACTGACATTTCCCTCTTAGTGGCTCTCACAATACAGTTCCCTTTTCCTACACGAAATTTCTATGTCTTTCTATGTCTCAATAGTTTAGGGAAAAAAAATTCGTCTAGGATGGCACGAGCAGGATTCGATCCCGGAGAATGGAATCTGTAGTCCACCACCCAAACCACTAGATTACCAAGGATTTGGGGGAAGAAGTGGTTTGAGTTGGAAGTGTATAGCATCAACCTTAACCCTGAATAGAAGCTAACCGTTTTTCGAGTCAGTGCTTAAGGTGGCTCGATATAGTTTTTCAAGGTCAATACCTCCCAAGTTTGAGCGTAAACTGCGTCGCCACAAACAAGGATTTGGAAAAATTGACACCACAGTTGTATTAGATAAAGAAGAAAATTGGTTATAATCAGGGTCGCAATGACATCGGAGTTGTCATAGCAACGAAATGACGCCATTACCTATTTTACTTGCAGCAGTATTTCTCGGCACTGGGAACTGTTCCTCCAAAATCGTTTACTAGAGCTTTTACCTACGATAGCTGCCTCGATGTTCGTGAAGTTTAAGCGAAATCTGTAAGAGCGTTATCGAGATATTCTGGGATGAAGTTTTTCTGGTTAGAAATACGGTAAAAAATGGACAATCTTGATGTTGGACTGTTATCTGTACTAAACGACGCGCTTTTGACATGCAATTTCACCTCATAGTAGTTTCAATCTTTTTAAAAACGTGGGTGAAAGATCATGGAGATACCTCCAGCCGATTGCTAGAAAGGAGGATTTGATTAGTATGTATCAAGGCGCTCTTGTTAGCGGTAATGTAAACATTCCAGTCTACTTTAACAAATTAGCGAATAATTTTTAAACCGCTCGATAAATTTTTTAGAAAATTTAAGAGTCTTGAGATTAACCCTTCTTTTATATGACCTCTTAGTTTCAAGATTATTGATATATTGTAAGGCAGTAAAATAAGGGCTTGAATTCGCTAACATTTTGTCAGAAATTTTGTGTTTACAAGTGAAAGCCTCTCATTATTCAGGGCTATTGTCTCCAAGTTTCATATTTTCGTGCACAACAATAGCTAGCAGTTTTGCATATGTCAAATGCATTGTTAGTTACTGCTGTTCACGTGAAAATGAAACTTTGAGACAATACCCCTGAATAATAAGAGGCTCTCACTTGTAAAGACAAAATTTCTGACAAAATATTAGCGAATTGTAGCCCTTATTTTACTACCTTACAATATATCAATAATCTTGAAACTAAGAGGTCAAATAAAAGGACGGTTTATCTCAACACTTGTAAATTTTTTAGAAAATTTATCGAGCGGTCTAAAAATTATTCGCTAATTTTTTAAAGTAGACCGAAATGTTTACATTACGGCTAACAAGAGCGCCCCGATACGTACTAATCAAATCCTTCTTTCTAGCAATCCGCTGAAGGCAACTCCATGATCTTTCACCCACGTTTTTAAAAAGATTGAAACTACTATGAGGTGAAATTGCATGTCAAAAGCGCGTCGTTTAGTACAGATAACAGTCCAACATCAAGATTGTCCATTTTTTACCGTATTTCTAACCAGAAAAACTTCATCCCAGAATATCTCGATAACGCTCTTACAGATTTCGCTTAAACTTCACGAACATCGAGGCAGCTATCGTAGGTAAAAGCTCTAGTAAACGATTTTGGAAGAACAGTTCCCAGTGCCGAGAAATACTGCTGCAAGTAAAATAGGTAATGGCGTCATTTCGTTGCTATGACAACTCCGATCTCATTGTAACCCTGATCATAACAAATTTTCATCTTTATCTAATACAACTGTGGTGTTAATTTTTCCTAATCTTTGTTTATGGCGTCGTAGTTTACGCTCAAACTTGGGAGGTATTGACCCTGACAAACTGTATCGAGCCACCTTAACCCTAATCACTATTCTCATGGCTTAACCCTAATCAGTACTGGTAGTCAATGCGGTTCCTACCTTTGTAGAGAATTACTTTTGTATGAATCATAACGTGTCAACGTCATTTTGGAGTATGGAGATGAGTATTAACCTATCCTGCATGTCGGTACTGGTTGATCGTAGTACCCTGCTTATCTTGCTCTCAGATGAAGCGAACACTTTAAGGTCGTCTACATACAGCAAGTGGGTCACCTTAGTCCCTATAAGCTTATAAGCCTATACCCTCGGTAACATTTAGTTTCCATGCAACCGGGTCTTAAACATAGAGTGACGAGACGCGGGCAAAGTGCGTTTTCCTCGGGCAGATTCTCACTGAATCTGATGGTCGAGGAAGTCTCATTTCCCTGCTTTGTAGGAACTGCGATTCTAGTATTCCAGTTTGCACAGAGGTTCCAGATCGCCCTACAGAGCTAGCTGGGGAACCGGTGTAATTCCACAATCTCGTTTAGCCACTTGTGATCAACGGATAGTCATAGGCCTTCTTAACATCCACCCAATCCATGCTTAAGTTCCGTTTACCTCGATGGCAATCCTGTATGATCATTTTATCAATCATTATTGTTATTACTAATATTATCATCATTGTCATTATCAATATTGTCATTATCAGTATCACTATAATCAAAATTATTATGAAAAATTTTGCGTATAGTCTTACTTACACTCTAAAGAATAAACGATCATGACTTCAGATATATCGATTTTGTTGTCAGTTTTGTGCACTTCACATGTAATGGTCACAGTGTGACCCGTTGTTTTCTGTGGCAAGGTGCGTTTTATGCTCAAGTTGCTACTGGACATGTTTACAACCTGAATCCTCCTGTCTTCCAGAAGCTGACTTTTCTTTTTCCAACATTTCCTTTCACTGTTACAGTAACCGATGTCTCCGTCGGCTCCTTTTATTCTCCAATACATTTCATAGTATTTGCTTGGGTCCTTTTCAATTGCATCACAATCCAGTGTCTGAATATCACCTCTAATGGAACGCTCCTGCCGTGTTATGGCAGAACCTGAAAAATACGTCATAAAAATGATGTGATACTAACTTTAAGGGGTCTCTAAGGGTTTTTTTTTTTCAATTCACTGTACAATTTTACCATTAAAATTAATTATTCTTTACTGATGAGACATTAAACAGTCGGATCCCTCCCTGAGATGAAAAGGAACACAAAATAAAATAATATAAATAAATAAATAAATAAATAAAAAATGCAGACATGGCAAAATGTAAAAAAGCTGTTTGAAAAGTGTGCGTAAGGTATTTATGCCGACGCCATTAAATGACGAGAGGGCTGTAAATACCATAACTTATTTGCGAGTCTGAACGTTCACGAGAGCTTCTCAGTAAGTACATCTCAGTACGCTTATAATAAATCAAGATAATTGTTAATCATTCTGTATTGAGTAGTCAATTCCTTTTACTGTTGTATAAGCCTCAAATTTCTTTTCCTATTTATGTTTTATTGTAAGTTTGACGAGGTTGCCTAACCTGTGGTATCTACCATCAAAACTTGTTTCAACAAGAGAGAATGATTCAGTCTCTCTTGGTTTCAGTCGATCATAGTGAGCAGGATGGGCTCCTGAGTGAGTAAATTGTTGCTTTTACTTTGTTTCCTGTATTGTAAAAATGACTGCATCGATAGCAAAAATGTCTGGTTTCTTGGAGGTCGCTATTACCTACACTTTTCACAATCCCCTTTGCGTAAGATCGTCAGGATCGAGCGCTTACCCGCGCGGTACGTGTGGCCATCTTGGTTTCATATATGTACAGAGGGGACGGGCGTCGAAATTTTGACGCAGCCGGGGAAGGGAGGCGAGAAAAATTTCTTTCCAGGTATTTTTCCCGCTTCCTTCCAAACTGTCCCCTTCCCCTTAAGTTGATTTGAAACATATCCAAGATGGCCGCCCGTAACACAATACGCAATAGTGGGCCTGGCCTGTGAACAGTCTAACTACCATGATTACACTTTGCCGGAAATGCACCGGGAAAGGGAATTTCTCGGGAAAACTATACAGTCAGGAAGTTCCCGTTCAGTGAGGAATTCATGCGATCGGAGAAACATGTAAAACATCATTCCTACCTGATGTGTAATGAAGCAAATTTCCTGTTGGGAGAGCATAAAATAGCAATTTAACACTTTCACTTTCACAAGCAAACCAATACCGATATATAATAAATTAGACACATCATATTTAATACGTAACTGTCAGTGTATACTCTAGTCTGCCTTCGCGAGTCTCCGACAGTTATTAGACTCTTATCATCTTTTAGACAACATAGCTTAGTAAAACACTTGACAACCGTCTGTTTCAGAGCGTAATTAATTGAAACTGCTGTAGACTGGCACTGGAAATGGCCCAACGATAATTTGCATTGACATTCCTTACATAACCTATTCTCAAGCAACGGCAAAGCGATACCTTTCCTCTTACATCAGGCAAAAGTTTTGAACTATCAAACTAGCCAGTATTTGGTGCAAAGAACTGCTACTAATGTAATAGTTATCGCTTTCACCCGGACACTAAGGGCCCCGCTAAAGGTGGATTCATGAAGCCCCCTTTACATGTAAAACCCTCCAAGATCAATCTATTGTAGCTATATTTCATAAATTCATTTGACTTTTTGTAAACTCACAGAGAGTTAAAGACTGAATAACCTATAAACTGTTTCGATGAAACCTTGAAAACATCATGCTAACGAAAGAAAGATCAACCTTAAATCGAAAGTACTTTCATATCCGTTTGCATGATCTTTGCCTGAGCCAAAAGATTCGCTGAAAGCTTGGTTTCAGTATAGTTCCAGCGCATATTTACAGTTTCCGGCTTGAATAGTTCAGATGCTCAAGCGACCTTTTTTCTCTCTGAAAGGGAAGACGTATATCTCCTCTTATATTTTCAAGTTTTACTCAGTGGGAGAGAAATGGCGATGCGATATTAATAAAGGGGGTTTTCCCTTTCAAGGCCTTTCAATATAGTTCATCAAAAATGTGTTTTTAACTCAAGGGGTATAACTAATTATTTCTTTCTCAAACCAGGAAAACTAGAAAGCACGCTCAAAAACACTGCATTTCAAATAATGCCAAATCCTCAGTGCTAATCTGATAACAGCTCGTTGAACCGGTACCTTGGATACTCTATGCAATACATGTTAAAACGGAAATGACATAAACTTCAGATTTCTCAACCGTTAAGCTTCAATTTAAGGATAATAAAAGAATATTTAAGCCTAAATTCGGCAGAAAATAGGAATATTTAGCCTAGACCAGAAAAACAACATTATAAAATTATATCCTATCGAAAATCTCTGCCTCGGGTTTATTCTTGCAATATTCTTAAAATTTTGCAAATTTCAGCCTCGATATTCTTATAAAATATATTCTCAACGCGAATTTACCGATAATTTAGGAACAAACACCGTTTCTTGTTAGGGTGTGAAAATTGGACATATTCGTTTAAACCATGATTACGTTATTTGTCAACAGTCAAACGTTTTATATTGACGTTCAATTTGCATTTAGTAATTAATAGCTTGACCAATTCCGTTATACAGGCATAACTGAAGCTGTACAGAGATCTGGGAGTGAACCCCTGGACAAATTGTCGTCTTAGGGAAGTTGTAGGTGAGCAGATCAGGCCCAGAAACGCATAACAATCCACAATTCGCAGAGGCTTTTTCTGGAAGGCCCCCTGTAACCGTAACCCGCTTTCCCTAATTCACACTTTGGCACCGATCTTAAAGTGACGAAGAAATATACTTATTTCAGACTCAAAGTTGAGTAAAAAGACCATATCCTTTAGCGCTTCACATTCCCGTTTAGCGCTTATGCAGTCTAAAGGGACCAGAGGGGCACCTGTTCAGTTCTCCTCTAATTTAAGTATTTTACTTATTTAACCACACACTTATTAATAAAGAAAACCTTCACCATATCACTCACTACAGGATAAGATTTAGACAGTCCTTGTCTGCGCCGTTAAATAACATTTTGCATCCTTAACAGTAAACTTTGTCAATCGTAAAGTGAAAATATAATCTCATTTATTCAATATCTGTTTTACTTGTTTTAGTTAAAAGACTGAAGCTAACAGGAAGTACTATTTAAGGATCACGCCTTACTAGTTCGTCGATATGAGCGGAACACGTAATTTAATCCAACTTAGTCTTGATAAAAAAAGCAAGCTGTTATAAAAAAAGAAAAAAAAAAAGTCACGTGCACGGGTGCTTTCAACTTACCCCAAAGTAGCAATAACCACAAAGCTGAACTAGAGCTCATGTTGACCTTTTTCTAAAATGATTCTTGCAGTTGCTAAACAAGTTTCGCTGTTGTAATGCTTCGCCGACCAAGAATAATAAGACCGATTCTGCAAGAAAGAAAAAGGGACGAATTACTTTGTCATCACTGAAATCGTAAAGAAACCCAAACGGAGCTTTCTCTTTCGAAATCCACTCTTTCTCTTTCATTTCCTCTGCTAATGAATTGTTTTGTTCTCGCTATGCTTTAACGCAGTGAAGAAATTAGGTGTTTCTGAGTGAAAGTGACCAAGAAACGTTTTACGGCAATCTAGAGAATTAATGTTGAGTCCAATTTTGCACCCACATTGATTAATATATTGTTTGAGCCTATATTTTATTACTAAATTATTCGTGCTCCATCTTTCTGAGAGAACTGACTGCTTCTCTCGCCAAAATGGGCACCCTTTTCAAGTTTCGTAATCTACTGATGATCTTTGCCGCCGCGCGACGTACTAAAAATAGTCAATTTCAAAAGGCAGTTCGAATTCTTGCTTAGTCAGCTTTGGGATCTGTGATCAATAGCTAGAAATGTACCCTCTTTAATGTCGAAATTCTATCGTAAGAGAAAATTGTACCACTGTAGTGGAAATACCAACAAAGTATTTCAAAGTGCATTCATCAATTTTCGTTCCTAAACACATTTTAGGCTTGAGCTGCCAGGTCAAATCCTTCGTACGTGAGTACTACTAGGCTTAATTAACCGTTATAACAACTTCTTTTTATGTTGGGGTTTTTTCCCTTTTTGTCACGGTGAGGCATCCTTGCCAATATCGAGCAGGCTCTGACATTATGTTTGGCGGTATCTTTTTTAACACTGATTCAGCTAATTTTCGATATGGTTACTTTGACCGATAATGATGAAGTGATCGACCAAATAATCGCAAACAACAGAGAAATAATATAAACAAACTATTCTTACAAAGGAATGGACCAACTAATATGACCAACTTACCTTCTCCTAGTATCCCTTTTCCGCTAGTTGTGGACTGCGCCCTGAAAGTGACTTCTTTAATGATTCACAAGTGTTTTATAAACATGATCATGTGACCATTTTACCGATACACGGCGACAGTAACATAAATAAAACTTTTGTCACCTATTGTAACGTATACCCAAACAGGAAAAAAGAGAACACCAATATGGTTAACGAACTGTTTTTGAAAATTCCGGTTAAAGGGTAAATGAATTAAACACCACTTTTGAGTCTTTTTAGGACAACCTGGGACCACCTATAATTTAGCGGAAACTTTCGAGTCCGGAAAAACGGGATCACCTGAAAAAGAATGTTCCAGACAGAAATGCATGTTCTTGAGAGATACTAATGACCGAGTTACGAGTTGAGTTGAGTTTGAGTTGAGTTTGAGTTGAGTTTGAGTTAAGTCTGAGTTAAGTTTGAGTTACCGTTGCTTTCATTTTTGTTAACTTAAAAGTGATTAATGGAAGATCCAGATCGTTTTTACACAAAATTGACCGACTGTTCGTTTTTTCACGAATGAAAAAGTGTTTAATAATTTTACATTCCCAAACGTGAAGCGTTGAATTGTCCTCATTTTGTTGGCCTTGACGGTCAAGATGACCGGTCACATTCGATGATATTGAAATGAACTAAAGTTTTCTATGCTGTTGTTTACTACCAGTATACACCTGGCTATATTGGGAACTTTGATCTAAAAAAATGAAGTAGAAGTGAACTGAATTAAACTGTTGTTTACTTACAATTCACGAATTGAAACAGAAATCGGCGCGGGGTTCGCGAACTTCCGGTCTCAAATTTAACAAAACCCGTAAGTCCTGAATTTATGTATTTCTTTCCAGCAGATAAAGGATGAATTTTTAAGCCTGTGTAGCGAGACATTTTAGGGTCTTTTAGTTATTTATAGCATTGCGAATGAAGTGACTGCATTTGTATTAAAGGTGTCGCTTGATATTGTTTTTGTCGGTATGCAAAGTTATTACGGTCCGACAAAACTAAAGCAATCCGTGCACGCTGTAGCCTGTGTACAGACGCCCCTCCCCTCCCCTCAGAAAAAAATCTGAGGGGAGGGGAGGGGCGTCTGTACACAGGCTATGCACGCTGTGTTTTTTTCTCTTCGTATTTCTTTTCTGTCATTAACTTAAAGAATAATAGAATTAATGACAATTCCATTCAACCTCCCCGTTTGAGAGGCAGATATATATGCGTAACAACGTACGTTTCGAATCAAAGGTTAAAGTATCGCTTTAGTCGCTGCGTATGTAAATTAACCTGAACTCACTGGAGACAAAAAAACTTGCGATATCTCGGTTAAATTCTTGTAAATAAATACTGGCATAAGAGCCAGCCCGTGAATAAGAAATGCTAACGTACGCAATATTGCGGTAAGCTTATGTTTTCACAATGACATGGTCAACAGTTTTTTTAAAATTATTTACAGAAAAATCAAAATACGGTAGATCACTTTCATAATGTTCAGTCTGAATTCTTGAACACAAAAGTGCTTGTTTTTACGCTCCGAAGGCTTTCCGAGGAAACACGAATGCAAAAGTATATGGTAATTTTGCTAATTTTAATCCACGGACTTTTGTCAACACTTCATGCAAAAACAACAATGCGTTGCAAAACAGTGTATTTTACCAGACAGCGTTTTGCACATGCCATTATTGATGCAGAAACATTCGGGGCCTCTTCGTGAGTATTTCGCGCATTTTCGGTATCAGCCGTCGCACTTCGTGCATACTCTTTTCATAAATGCATACTGAAGAGCGGAACCTTTCCCCCACGACCTGAAAGAGACAGGCGCCTGCCTTCAAATGTTTTTTGGGCTTGTCACGCACTCCTTTTTCCGACGGCGTGATGGGCGAAAAACGAACGTTTATTTTTTAATTTTTTTCCTTTAAGTTAATGTTTTGAAATATCATTCGAACTAAAGAGAGTATATTCCAACAACAAAGGAAACTCAAATGAAAACAACAACACCAAACGGGATTTCTATGTCCTGTCGCTCTTAGGTCCTTACATTTCTTTACATTATCTCCTCGTCAATCAATTTCTGATATTCATCGGGAGATATTTTGATATTCTCGTCTAGTGCGACAGCCATCGGAGGAACAGTCAAATTGCTTTGTCTTGGTTGCGTGCTTATGCAATCTTTTTGGGGGCAAAATCGAAAATTACGTAGTACCGCGAAGCGATTTCCATCCGCGGTTGCATTTGGTGTGACATACAGCCCCTCGACTGTAATGCAAATGTCTCCATCTGAGAAATGAGTCTCGCAGCCTGGTTTAGCACACCTTGGTTTTGGGCCAGGTTGTGATTTAAACCGCTGTACTTGCCAAACTTGCTTCCTTTTTGCAGCGTGGTGTGCGTTAAAAATGGCTACATTTGTTGGTTTAGTCACTACGGGAGATTTCAAATCCAGCTTACTAAATAAGTCGTCCAATTCATTTTTTGTCAATGCTTTCTGATAGAGACGATAGTCTTCATCTTTCATCTTTCATCTTTGTCAAGTTTGGTAGACAAAGCAACACTGTATTCAATGAAGCGATCCTTTCTATCAAAAGTGAACGATACGATAAGTTCTAAATCTCTTTTTGTTGGTTTGAACGGTTTGTTTACATCGAGCTGAGCTATGCGCGGGCTAATCACGCCATCATAATTTTGAAAAAAAGTTTTCGCTAAAAACTTGGCAAACTTGCGTTATTTACTCATTTTGTTCGACGCATGTTTCTTTGAAAAACTTCAGAAAGATGTTCTTTCGAATTTTTTATGTTTCAATGAGTAATTTATGGCGTGAAAAGTCGGGTTTTTCGAAACTTTTTTTGCAAAACAAAAACCTGATAACGCGTATAGCAAGAATTTTTGTTGAGACGGCAATACTGCACTATATTGACGGCTAGTTGGATCTCCGTATTGAGCCGAAATTGAGCCATCACGAGGAACACTGCTTCGCGTCGCGCCAGAGAGAGAGGAACCTGGGAGCGAGGTAACTCCGTTTACAAGATGGCGGCTAGGCAAGTCGCAGGTAAAACTCCAGGGATGTTTGCTGGTGGAATAATCGACGACCTCCCCGACCAATTTAAGAAAAACGGAATTACTCAAAAATGGCTCACAGGCATGGCTCGCATGACTCGCACCGTGGCTCGCGTGGCTCGCAGATTTGGTTGACCCAACTCGATCGGGTATTAAAAACTAAAATACCACCTCAAAAATAATAATTTTTATATAAATAATCCGCACATTTTATGTCGTGTGGATAGTATTAACGACATTTTAAGTAAAAACGGTAACTACAACTTAACTCAAACTTAACTCAAACTCAACTCAAACTCAACTCAACTCTTAACTTGGTAAATAGTCGATCCCCATGTTCTTCTTCCTCAAACCCATCTTTAATACCTGTTTTGGTAGATGCGACTCCCGAACGTACCTGACCAAAATTTTGTTTACCGTTAATATGCGATTCGTGTACGGACTGGCTTGCAAATTTAACTTATAAACATCTGACTTTTTTTACTTTTTGGAGGCGCCTTCAGTATGACTCCAGGTAAGTGTACAGTTGTGGAACTGAAACTCTTTGCATCATAGACAGCCCAACTCATGAGGCCGAGATAATTGTCAAGTTCTGCCACCAGTTACGCCAGACGAAGTTGAGAGACTGGGCCTATAAGGAAAGTGGCATCGCCGGTTATTCTTCCAACTGTTGGCAATCTGGAAGCGCTTAGATTTGATATATAAAGTTCACATTTTCTTCAATGAAAGGAAAAAAAACAATGTTCCCTCTTCTGTTTGCTTGTTTTATTCAATGAAATTTGCTCGTTTTAGGCTTTTCTTGATACCACTCGGTGTAAGTGCTATTAATAATTCCCTTTTCCTGCTCCGAAGGACATGTTCCGTCACGCAACAATTGAAGTTAGAATTAAAAGATCTCAATCACACACTACTTCCCGTAACTCTAGCTGGGGTCGACTTAAGTGTCAATCCATATGAATCAAGTACCACCA